GTTTTGAGCCAGATTTTATGTGGCAGATAGCCCCAATGTAGCAAGCTCAAAATTTGACCATCATTTGACCTGATTTTACCCTGAACGCGCTTAGGTGTCCGAGAATTGGTGCTTTTACCTTACTGGTCGCTTGAAAGCAATTGACAAATTTTGACACCGGCCAAACATTGAGGATGCTTCTGCATGGGTACTTATGTGAGGCTGCATCATGCACCATGTGCGCACGGTGAATCGCAAGCTGAAGTCCAAAAGTTGCAAAACAGTCCACCTTGACGTGAGTTTGCCAGGGCGCTTGAGGGGGCGCTTGCAGGTTCAGAAAGGAGCGCATGATGCAACATGGCTGCGCCTGATTGACAGGTCGGGAAGCAGCTCAGAATTTGAGGGAAACCTATCATCTCCGAGGTGGGCACCAAAGGCTGTGGGACTGCATGTTGCATATTTACTTGCACGACCACCTTCTCATTCCCTGGTGCAATAAAACTCGATTAAGGTCAACGCACGGCGCTCAGGAAACCTTTCGGAAGGTTTTGAGCCAAGAATGCAGGCCTTTGAGGACACTGAAAAGAGGCTCGGTGAAGTTCTCAGATAAGCCAATAAATAGCCTGCCTCTGATCATCAATCACAATTTTGGAAGTGTTCATCATAATCATTAGGGTGGGGCGAATGCTTCTGAACTGCTGCGGAAGAAGAGACAGAGCGCAAGGCAATGAGTTGATAAGCGTTCCAGTTCGTCATATCTACTCATTTTAGCCAACCCCTGCTTCTTGTAGCCCCTGGGAGCTAGTCGGACAGCACGATGTGCTGGCGGCGCGTCCTCACCTTCCTCGCGCGCTTCCCCTCCCGCACGAACCCGGACGAACCGGACACCTGGCCAAAGTTGTCAAAATCCAACATCATCCGGCAGCTCAAGGAACTCTCCGAAGAGGCACTCCTGCCACCCCCCCTATTTGTGGACCTGCGGCGCAAGCACCTGTCCAACCCCCAGGCGCTCATCGCCAGCAAGGGCCTCGCCATCTCGCGCTCCTCGCTCGCCGAGTCCCTCCGCTGGGCCGAGAATGCACAGCGCGTCTACTCCAGCCAGGATGACGTCAGCATTCCCCTGGACGACGGGGGCCGCAGTGCGTCTCGCAAGCGCGCGGAGGCGGTGAACGGAGCGTTCGAGGTTTACGCGTGTGCGGTCCTCAATGACGAGGACATTGTGAACGTGTGCACGTGCTTCTCGAGGAGGTCGGTGCATGATGTGAACCGGTCGGCGCTGTTCCTGGACCCCCCTGGGACGAGTTTGTCGGGGCCGGCGCACGAGCGGGACATCCGGAGCCGCATTCTGCTGCTGCTGGTCGTGATGGGGGTGCAATTCATGAGCTTTCAGGTATGCCTCGGTGTCGGATCTCGATGGCCCTGCGTGCTGTCGACTCTTTTGAACCTCTATGTTTCTATGAGCTTCTTCCTCTCTCATGCTGATGTGTAGCGCGCAAGGTGTTCAAACTCTGTGTCGCATAATCAAGATCGGCCATCCATCCATCCTATTATGCTCAAATTGCTCAAGAGCGTTTGGCTGGTTCTATGACGGTTTCGAATAGTCCCATCGAGTACCCAATCTGACAGAATAGCGCCCAGGCTTTTCCTAAGTGATTCCATGGGTCTGTCAAAGTTGTCTGTCAATTTTCCGATATCCTCAGAATGCTCAAGATTTGCAGACACATGCCATCTTGATTTCGTAAAGCTCCCAGCTAGTCTCACCCTTCTTTTGAGGAATTGCCCTTGCGTGCTCCCCATGTCAGCCCGTGCCCCTCTGTAAAGTCGATGTTGAAAAACCTCGAACTTGGATAGCCTTGAAGTAATTCAAGTCCCTCAACAGTCCTACGCTTCCCCTTTTGACCCGCTGCCCGTCACACAGGTCGCAGCCACTGGTCAATACCTTGAAAGAACCCTGAACTGTTCGTAACCCTTTCCAGTTTCAAAGAAGCTCAAGTTCCTGACCTTGGCCTGCACGTTCTCTGGTGAGGCCCGGCACACTCCCCGGTGAACGCGCTGCTTCTCAAAATGATTCTGAGGCACTCCAAAACCTTCAAAGCAATCTGAAGTCTCCACAATTTCAAAAGAGGTTCACAAAGATATCATTCGCCCATGATTCCAACTCTTCCCAGGTGTGCCGCGGCGCGCTCCCCCTGTGGACTCGCTGCCACGAGCGGTGCCGCGACGCCGCCACCCTTCCGGAGCTCATCAAGCGCCGCCGCTGGAAGTTCCTGCTCTTCCGGGCGGCGTGCTTCATCGAGATCGCGCGCAAGAAGCACTACACCGAAGACGACGAGAAGCGCATCGTGGTTTTTCTGATCGAGGAAGAACTAGGCGTGCGACCCCAGGAGCCGATCTTCGACGACGTTGGTTACCGGGACCGGGCTTTGAAACTCGCTCTCAGGGACCTTTCGGAGGCAACTAGGGACGGATTGACGGTGCCAAAACCTTCGGGGGGGGTGGGGTCACTGCAGAGCTTGTGTGTCGATCAGTTGTGCACGCAAACGAAGGATGTGTTAGGGTTGATAAAGGAAGCGGACCCGAAAGTGGCGGGCCCTGTTTTGCTGCATCGGCCCGAGCTTGAGCTGGAAACGTTGCAGGAGCGAAGGGCGGTCTACTTTTTCCGGGGCCTCACGTGGCGGGCTCTGGGACAGACCCGGGAGGTGAGCCGTTCGCCGGCAGTCGGGTCATGTGAAGGTCGGGGAAGACGGTTCTGATTATGGAAAATCGTTTGCCAAACAGTTTTGCGGTTGAAGTTGACCTCTCGCCAGACTGACGTTGCCTCTGCCATATGCTGTGCTCAGAAAGGCTCCTTCAGACTGATGCAGGCAGGCGCCAAGTGCCGTTTCAACGAGTCTGCTCGGAAACTGACTGTTCGGTTTGGTTAGATTATATTTCTCAAGTTCGTGGCATTTGCCTGTTACATCCGTCCCCAATCCTTCGTTCAAACGGTTTCCATCTCTTGCTGAACTCTTTACTCTGTCTTGAAGTTTACTGCCTTCGCAAAACAAACTCCCACCACTGCTGACGCGCGTTACTGCTCTGCAGGCGAAGGCGGACTTGGAGCTATTTGTGGAGTTGGAGCAGTCTGCGCAGCAAAAAGACGACGCCCCCTCCGGCCGCTTCCTGCTTACGGCGCTCTGCCACCTGGCCCGCCTCAACCTGCTGCAGACGCCCCCCGATGTCGCTGCTGCTCGGAAAGCGATGGAGACCTTTGTCGCCCGGAAGGTAAGCCGACTTCTGAGAACGTCACTCAACGGTTGCGCAATCAGGAAGAGACGGATTGGCTCGAAAGCCAGACTCGGTTCTTGTAATGGTACAAATGTGGTCGATTGTTCTGAATTGGAAAGCTCCTTGCTCCATGGTCGATGGGCGTTTGTTGGGAATAGCAGATTGCAGACTGCATCGTTGACTGCTATAGCATGTACTTATGAAGGAGCTTTCCTGGTCTTCCCCTCGCAAGTCTGGTTCCTCACGTATCTTATGTGTTGCGAGGCCAAAGGATACTTTCAACGGATAGATTGTTGTCTTCATCAGGCACCGAGTCTGTGACTGTGAATGTACCCGATGACTCTTTGTATGCAGTCTAGAACAGGTTCCTGCACACACTCTGAACGCTTGAGATTGCATTTTACCTTGGCTCTGAGCGAGGGGTTTTCGCTCGCAGGACTTGACGCAGGCTTTTTGGAACATGGATGGCTCTGGGTGCGACACGTGGGAGCCGTCTGGTAACCTAGGCAAGGTTCTGCACGCTTGGTACAAACGCATGAGAACGGTGGACCTATCGAGCAACGCGCAAAGAGCGCAGAATTCCCCCTTGGGCCGGGTTGCCAAGTGGATGTCATGCGGCCCAGTGGTGTAGGCGCAAAAGGTTCTATGATACCGTGTACAGTTGTACCATAGCGGGATCGCGAGAAAGTGCATACCCTAACAAAACTGCAAAATCGGTGATCGGAATGTGCAATATAGCACTGGCTCGCTCCTGAGTGGAGACAATTGTTGGATATAGGGAATAGGAACACGCATCCAGGTCATTCTTGTGTAACGTACGGCCAGTGCACATAAACAATCCTTTGCCCGATTTTCAATCTGCGCTTGGAAACCAAAGAGCTGCAGCCTAGTGTTTTCGTTCTGTCACTGAGCCGTTTGCCGCACAAGTTGGTGTACATATCAGTTAGACAGATGTACGCCATGTTCTGCATGCCGCACTTTCTTCCCGCCAATGAAGGTCCGACGCGGCGGCTCAGGCCGGATCGCCGGATCGTGAATGCATTATACCGTCATGTGTCTCATGTTACTCGATCCGATCACATGATTGAGCTGCCGCCTGGTCGCGCGGGCCGGTTGCACTACGCCATGCATTACCCGGCTTAATTGCAGCCTCGCGTCTCGGTCGCGTCATGCAAGTCGACAATTAAAGATCTCCATGATACCATGTAACGATAACTACGTCTACTTGCATTTGCATTCTACTATGTCAGTGCGCTTATGCGCAGCATACAGGTGCAATGTATATACACAGATTTCTGCTTAATTAGATTTTGGGATCTGAGCAAAGCACAAGAATACATATTCCGCCATGCCGCCATCATTACCGAAATCCGGCCAGCCCATGGCCGGCATGGTGATGCACATGAACGAATTGCACTTTAATGCACTTTAAGTGCCTGCAAGGTATCTGCATAACTGCGGGCTGCAGGTTCCGTGAGCTCAATCAATCTGATCAGTGCGCGCATCTTGTTGGTGAATTTGAGGCCTCGATGTGGCCGGCGAATCGTGGCAAGTGCTAGCTTTTAATCTGTAAGAACATGTACAGGTGGCTTGTCCAAATCTATGGCATACCTTGAGCGCTGCGCAGTATTTACATGACCTTCTTTTTTCGTGCCTCAAAGACGGCTTTCCCGCTTGGTTGATGCCCCCCGTCTTTCCAAATCGAAGCGACAGGGATGCCGCTGCAAACACGCAACGCGGGTTTGTGGGGCATATCGAGACCGTAAGAAATTGGCGATTCGCAGACAGGGAAAGACCTCTGTGCGCTTCCAAGTCGCGGGCAGATCTTCCGGCAGCAATCACCACACGAACCCGAAGACTTTGAATGCCTAAGTCGACAGAAAGTTGGTTCCCCACTTTGTGTGCAATGAAGTGGGCACAATTCGACCCAAAGAGCGGGCTCAAGTGTTCGGCGCGGCCCACCTCAGTGAATGGAACATGTACTCAAACGGTGCGGTGAAGTCAAGCGGCCAGCCTGTCAGCTCGGCCCCTAAACTCTGCGCGGCCTGCAGCAACAAAACGACGGCGTTTCATCACCGTTATTTCTTCCTCGCAAATTGCATTGCGTTGAAGAAGCTTTCAGAATGAAGGCACGCAGGGCGTCATCGACTCATCCTGGCTCTGCGGCCGTTCTGTTCTCGCAAGAAACCAAACTCCACTGAAGAGGCTCAAGCTCTCGTCTTTGCGTACACATTTCATTAGAAAGCCTTAATCGACCATAGGAGGATCCCGAAAGCCACGAACAATTTGATGGCCGCGCAAAGAAGGGCAAGCTGAGAGCTCAGCGGAAGACGAGCGGGAGGAACGAGCGGCAGGCTTACCAGAACGGAGACACCGATAGTGGTGGCCACGTCTTGCGGAAGAATGGCGTACCAGTGCACAGCGAACAGGTAGAAGGCGGCGCTCAGAAAAACGGACCGAGTCGCCCTGCGGAGGACGAGGAATCAAGGTGTCTGTCGCTGCAAGAAAGGGAAAAGGCAAAGACGAAGCAGACAGCAAGCCATTGTAACGTGAGTATCCAAAGCGTGAGAGCTGCTTTTGACTGGAAAGAGTACTGTGTCAAGTATCGTACTATGCCAAGTCTCGTAGGGAATAGGGTGTTCTTCCAATCAGCAAAGATATCGAGGGCCCATCCTCGAACGCTGGACGGACACTGTTGTATAGAAGGTGCGGAGGTATTTGGCAGGTGACCGTTAAAAGGGAACATCAAGGCGACCAAACGGCCAATGGGCTATCTGGCAAAGTTGAGACTAGAAGGAACAGCATAAAGATCAAAACGGTCTTACGGAACAGCCTTTATCTGGATCGAGCCGGACAATTCCACCTAAGAATCCGTTTCTCGGTTTTACGGCACAGACTTTCTCTGGATCGAGACGAAAGTTTCTACCTACGAACCCGTTTTCACCGTCTTCAATCAGATCACGACTTGCAACTGTAGACTGCTGGGGTCAGATGTATCTCGATATTTGACTAACGACCCTCGACACCTGCCCTTACCAGGACGGTTCGAGGAATTCGATAGGCTTCTTGATCCCCAAGATATAAGAAGCCATGTCCGTGAGATAGGTGCCCCCACACCCCCCCAGGACGCCGAAAAACAGCGGCGCCACGATTTGGCTAGGGCCAAAGACTTGAACGGCGCGGTGGACCGAGTTGGCGACGTTGCGGGCTTTGAGAAGCGTCGTGGCCAGCTTGCAAGCAGCCTGTAGAGAAAACCGTTCACTGTCTAGAGTCGCCTGGGAGTCGGCGGATGAAAATGACGTTGTTTCCATTGATTGCCGTCCAATCACGTCATAGGAGGTGTCAGAGATGCCGGAGGTTTTATTGAAACTTCAGTCCAATAAAAGGGAAAGGTAGCCAGTACGCCTCTCAGGTCAACAGTCAGGCTGCGTCTCGAGGGCTCGTTTTCAAAAGGACACCTATAAAAGGTTCGTGGCCTCCAGCTGAGAGAGATGCAACAATTAGGAAAGGCTTCTTCCAACAGTAAAACGTTTTGTAGATGCCTCCCTTGTTTGAAGTCAGCTCAGAAACAAACTCCAGCGATATCAAGGCATTGCTAGCAAGGTTAAGTTCGGTTTGCAAGTCCTATCCAAGCGAGAGAGGAGAGAAAAGTCCATCAGAGAGCGCTTCTACATCCCACGGCTTGCGTCCGACGGGACTACTCACCCTGATAGGCAGCATACTGTACACCTTGAAGACTACGTCCCCAGGACTGAACAACACCAGATACCAGCAGACTGCGTAGGTCAGCAGGATGGCGTCACTTCTGAGCCAGGCTGGGTAGTCGTGAAAACAGATGTTGACCAGGCTGCCACTCCCAAAGGCGGCGATGAAGGACACCCAGAAGAGGGCCGGCCAGAAGCGTGTGTACTCAGTCCGGCGAAAGAGGGAGGCGACGTACAGGGAGTGCATCACTAGAAGCAGCTCGAAGGGAAGCCTGCGGCGAGGTAAATACTTTTGGTCATTTGAGAAAGGAACTAACAGGATTGAATACTGGAGTGGATTTTGACAGTGATGTCAAGATTCCGTCAACTGATTCCTCTGATGCATAAGATTCAAAGCTCCTAGAAAAACCGTGGATCAACGAGAACAGAACCATATCCTCAGCAACCATCATGACTTCAGGAACATCTTTTTGGGTGGGGGCGAACATTTGGAACTGAATGTCTCAAGCTGGATAGTGAGGAAAGACGAGGTCTGTGATGAAAAAGCTCAACCTGGATTTTATCTTGACCAGAAAAGCTTGACTTGCTGCTTGTCAACTGAGAAGGACCGTCTCTGGCAATCATGAAGGACATCACCTTATAAGCTTTCGCTAATTAAGTTTGTTTCTCGGCAACAACCTGATCGGGGAAGCTTGTTGAGAGCTAAACAGAAATAGGTCCTGTCATTGGTCACGTGCTCACCAATCATAGTGCTTGCCAACAGCTCTCAACTCGTCATGAAAAGGCTCCAGCCACACCCTGGCGTATGCTGTCTTATTCTGCAGCTCAGATCTTGCAGCCTGGATGAGTGGATCCATGTAGCCGGAAAAGTCCAAGCCCTGAAGTGCAGCAGCCATCGTGAGAGAACATCAGCAAGCTATATGGGGCAGACAGAATACAGGGAGGGAAAACAAGATTCTGTCCAAGGAAAAGCAATCTGGCAGTGGAAAGAGCTGCCAGTGCAGGCGCGCCAATGCTGACTTCTCATGGCTTCAAGTTGCTGAACAATTGGATCTCTTCAACTTCAACTTCAAGGCTCAAGGCAATGACAAATCAATTTGTGCCCTTGCCATTGGAAGATATTTTCCAATTTGCGAGCGCCATTTTTGACATATCTGGTGAATTGTCGTGAAAGGCGGTGGTAGAACCTGCCGGCTCTTTGCACAGCCGCTGAGCTCTGCCCCGCATAATCCTCTCGCCACTGACGCCGACACTGACGGTTCTGAAGTCTGCACGACGAGCTAGGCGACCCCAACAAATATCTTAGGATATTCCGTGGAATACTGCCAGAAATGCCAGAAAACCATTTGCAAAATCACTGCCTTCACAATTCTCTTTCAGCTGGACAAGATGGCAGCAATGGCGTGCACCTTGCATACGGCTCATGCCTTGAGCTGTTTTAGCTCCACCCTCAACAATGCTGGGGGCATCAACGAGGCTTCACGAGCTTCTCCAGCGGAGAGCTGGCTGCGCGCTGCTGCATTGCCTGGTACATCATCGATTGGGCAAAATACTTTCTGCTCAGGAGGTCCACCTGTAAGCCAGTTATTCGATGCTAGGCCAAGGCAGGTGAGCATATTGGTCAAGCAATGTGCTTTGAGACGCTCAGCTTGTGGAATGAGACTTCCTTTTTAACGCGTTCTTTCTAAGGTTGTCTCTTCAGAAAGGCACAGCCAATCTCGAACCAGCAAACAATCCTTTTAAAAAGCCTTGCTCAAACTCGCAATTCGATTAACCTGCAAGCCCTGGTCTGTCAACTGTTTCATAGAAGCGGCGCCTTGGCACATTAGCGTCACATTTGTTGGACTTGGGCCTCATTAGAGTAAACACCATTACCAAGAATGTATCAGACAGCAGTCCTGCTGGCTGAAGCATGTCCAGCTGCTCAATGTGCACTGTCATGAGGGCGATGTCAAATGTCGTAAAGTGGACAGCAGTGCCAGCTCTAAAGCCTGAGCTCATTGACACTTTTCGAATGCTCCTTGCTAACATGAGGAGATACTTGTTACATAATCATGAAGTTGTTGAAGAGGTAGTCGTTGAGCGATTAACATTTGGACAGCAAACCGAACGGCTGGCCCCAGTAAAATCTACCCAATGCTGCAGATTGCCTGAAGCCGTCCCCTTGGTCTTACAGATTCTCCGGATCCATCGCCCCCTTGTGCTGGCGTCGGCTGACAGCTTCACAGACGAGTACAGTAGGGGAAGAACAGAACAGAAGGTGCGCTGACCCCTTACTTTGTATCCAACATTGTGGATGCTCCCTTGTGGCTCTGTACCTTGCAACTTGGTGCCTTCCAGTTCTTGATCCAATTGTCTACAAATCTCAAGAGATTTCCAAGATCTCAATGTATCAGCAGGGTGTTTCCATATGAAACGCCATTCTTTGACGTATTCCTGTTGTGAAATGTGGTTGCTTCCCTTAACTTCTGCAAAGGGTATTCCTTTATGGGCAACTCGCTGCGCTAGCTTTGCTTATCGAGACCTTGGTTGTTTCCATTGACGTTCCAGGTGAAGATCGCTCTCGGCCCCTACAAAGATGGAGCGATCAAGGTTTCTGCCAAAAAGTTTGAGGTGAGCACTGCGTGCATTCAGGTGCACAGAAGAACAAGCGATATGTACGGTGATCCCAGCGGTTCCCATCCAATGTGTTGAAATGTGCAAGGAGCAAGCAGAGACCTTAGCTCCTATGACTCAGGCTCGAATCTGATTGAATGCAACTTGTTCACCTTGCCATAAGTGGACTGGTCTGAATGCTGCGCTGACACCGGAATTTGCCATGCAGGTCTCCAACGACGAGATTGAGAAGGTGGGTGGTTGTCACTGGGTACTTATCAAGAATCGATTCTTTCCACATGTCAGACCGACTGCTCAGCACGGATTGGATCTTTCATTTCCTGAAGTGACCTCTACTTCAATGACTGTGATTCTCCGAGTTAGAAAAATTACGAGTATTTCACCGTTGCTTATACTGAAGTGTCGGCTTACAATCTCGACAGGCTCTCAAGGCGAAGCTTGGAAAGACCTACGACTTTGAGCGCATCAACTTCACAGGTATGCCATATGAAGCTCTGCACATTATGCAAATGGCCAGAATCGCACAAGCAGAAGGCACTGGGACAAACGTAGACTTTGAGGAAAAAAACGTTGCCTTGAAATACGACTCTGCCTTAGTTCTGAGCATCTTGTTTGCTCGTAAACTTCGACCGTAAGTAGTAATCTGAGACTGAAGTGCAGGAAATGGCTATCACATCGCGTCTTCACTGCTAGTGGGAATGCTGAAGCAGATTCTGTTTGCTCGCAGGTTCTGGAGCCAAAATCGGGCACATGGTAAGCACGGGCACAACCCTGTTTTCAGCTTTAGCTCTGCTCGAAGAGTACTCCACTCGTTTATCCTAAAAGTAAATGATGTGCTTCAAGGATTGTTTAGCGCGTCACATGTGACTCCGTGGATCAGCTGTGCTTTTGAGCTTTACTGATCCCAGTTTTGCTGAGACGTTCGGTCCAGGTTTAGGACGGTTGTTTCGCGCACCTGAAAACGAGAGCTTGGCTGTCCTCCTCTCCTCCTGGTTTCGATCTATCCGCTACTTAATCTCGAGTCATCATCGTGAAGGTCAAGGTCAGCTTTGAGGGCAAGTATTCCGACGGGCCAAACGCAGGGCAACTCATCCGGGGCACCAAGGCGGACTTCTTCGAGCTGGAGCTTCAGGTGAGATTGGTACCATTCGTCAAACCTGGTTTCAAAGCCGATTCCGCCCGCTGCCAAGCCCTCCCTTGGTCTCGCTGAAATTTGAGAAGTAGTGCTTGAGGGTTGGTGTCGATTGGAGGCGAGCCTGCGCAGTCTCGAGTTTCCCCGCTACGACCCTGCCCTGTTTGACGAGGAGTCCGTTCCTTGGTCTCTCTTCTGTTCTGTTCGTTCCGCTCTGTTTGGCATAAGGGGACCTAAGCGCCAGTCAGTCCGCTTGCTTGACCTGTGCCTCATTGCTTGCCTTCTTTGGGAAATCTACTCATCCAATCGGATGCCGTTTGGTGGAAGAGCAGAGTTACCTTCCATCAACCCGCTAACTTCGTCCCAGGCTTTCTCGAGTGCCTTGGCAAGTCTCTCCGTCCAGATCAGCCCTATCCAGTATGCTGCGAGCTTGTGATCAGATTACTAACGAAAGAGCATCCGGCTCGCAGCCAAGAGAGGACGACCCTTGGAAGACCTTCGTGGAGCAGATTGTGAAGAACGGGATGGGCCAGGTACGGTTGCAATTCTCCGCATCCAGTTTCAAGCCAGCTGTAATGCTGTCAAAATCTGACGATGTGATGACGTGCAAGCTGCCGCACCTGTGTCCATAGGTACAGCGTCGATCGCTTTCAGTGACACCTGCGCTCCCGCAATTCATGGGAATTTTGCCCGCAGGAGGAGAGCAAAAGTTTCACGTTGACATTCCCTGCGGACTACAAGGCTGTGCCGCTCAGGAACGTCGCGTGAGTACCCAGTCGCTTGTGTTCACTTCCGGAAAGTCGAAAGGAATTAAAATTTCTTGTTTCGAGTGCACAAAATGAATCACAGGAGCTCGTTGACGCATCCTTCCCTCTTAAAGCAACCGTCGTTTTGGTCCTTGGGACGTCGTGAGTTGGAACAAGCGGCTCCTTCCCGTGCTGAAATTTGATTAGAGTGCTAAAATCTGATTAGCATTCTACTGGAACTTGACCGCATACCGGTCGGCCCTCGCCTCTTCGCTCTTATCCTTCTCTGAAGTCCCGCTTTCCACCGCTTGATGGCTCCCTTTCTCAAGAGGCCCACCAATTCGTGCATGATGTCAGGCCTGCCGAATGCTCTGGTCGGCGCAGCGATGCCTTCGTCTCTAACTTGGTCTAGCTCTCTGCTTGTGCAGCGCCCGGTTTACTGTAACCGTGCACGAGATTGGCATCAAGAAAATGCTGGAGAAAGACCCTCGGCCAGAGGCGGCGATCAGGTGAGCTGGATGCGTCGTCCATCAAAGAGGCCGTCCGCTAAGCAAGGCGTCGAGGCTCGGATGAAAGTGACCAACTCCGGTTTCGTATCCAGGTTACGATGACCAAGTCATGCTGTAATCCTAAGCGGCCGTTTGCTCCCCTGTATCCAATCACCTTCTCCGCATCCGTTCAAGGTTTGCGCAAGCGGCTTCAGGTCCCTTATCCAAAGACGCCTTTGTAAAGGCCCCCACTTAGGAACCAAGTGAGCCATCGAGCTCACTTCGAAACGGCGCCTTATGAACACCCTCTGTGCTCACTCGGACTTGCGCTCCGGTCTGGCAGGGCGGACATCGAGGCGGACCTTCGGGCGACCGCGGAGCGGAAGACGAATGATTTGATCGACCAAGAGGTTCGGAGAGTGTTGCTGGAAACGAGCGAAGCAGATGTAGACAAGGTGGGGTGCCCTCGCGCAAGTGCAACGTTTCGGGAGTCGACGGTCTGGTTAAGTAGCGCCAAAATGTCGCATCTGCGTGCTGGCTTGTTCCCCAAAGCTTCGTAACTGTTTTGTCGTCCTTTTTCCGAGCGTGATGGCAACATTTGATTGCTTCATGTGTCTTCGTTCCTCGAGGTGATTTCTGCTTTTCTTCAGGTGGCTGCTAGCGTGTCATGGGCCAAGTTCGGGGAGAAGTCGCTTCAAGACTTTAAGTGGAATCTTCTACTAGAAGAGGTAAGCGACGTTCTTCACATTCTCCTCGATTTGAATGTGGTCCCCTTCACATGCCTGTGCGTCGGCAAAGCGATCGTAATGTTCGTGATGTTATGCAAGACGCTCTCAGTGAACTCCCCGTTGGCCCCGATTCTCCGACATAAGTGTGAGCTACGTCATCTGCGGAGAGAGCGTCCTTGAGCCGCTCACATGGGGTTGACAAGGCCCACGATTTCCAAAACATCGCTTTCTGCATTGCAGGTTGCTCGCAATGAGAAAATCGAGTTTGAAGAGGCGAAAGCCTTCTTGCGACGACAAGCTACGGTAAACTTCACACCATAGGCGGATGAAGACCCAACCACCGATGCAGAGTGTTACCCTTTTGTGTACCGGCAGTAACGAGAGCAGTCAAGTCAATTAAGTCAATAAAGGATGATGGTAGGGTTTCTTGTTGCCATCTCTTCCACTAGCCTAAGCAATGGCTGGTTTGTTTGTTGAACTTGCATTTTGTCCGCCACTTCTTTTGGTCAAGAGGTCGAGGGCTGTCCATGCTTGTTCTGCTTTCGTATGAGATTGAAAATGTTATGTGTGGGAGTCTTGGCAATGATCCTTTCAACGATCAAGGCATCCAACTTGATTGATGGCAAAAGCAAGCTGCAGCAGAAAGCTTCACCAATTTGTACACAGTGACTGAGATCACTAGGTTTTGAGCCGAGTATGCTTACATATCTGCGCTGTAAAGCATCAACGGCTTTCATACTGTTTTCTGTACCGTGCATGCTTAGAGCAAAACAAGCATCTGATATAACATATTAATTGTTTTTACTTCTGCATTCTGCCCCATCAAAGCGTTCAACAAGTTTTCAAGCAATGGCGGCCGATGTTCTCTTTTCAAACGCCGATTATGCAGCCGAATTCAGGCATGCCAGCGATGGCAACATGCATGAGACGAGGACTCAGGCTGGACTCAGGAGGATATTACCTAGGTGGTTCGCTCCGGCCGACCCATAATTAATTGAACCATGATTGGATTCTGCGGCCGTTCAAAACGCAACCTGCATATGCGCACAGCGCTTCTGCGAGAAAAGTCGCTGGGTTTACATCCTGCATGATCCCTGTAACTTACTGTGTAACGCCCGCACTACCAATGTACCGTACCATGGTCAATAGGTAGGTGCGCAGCCGTATGCATGCAACTGCCTACGAGGTGGTCCATGCGTTACCTATCAGAATTGGGTTTGAAGCTTCGCCTCTCTCCTGAGTCTTGACTCTTGGACGTCCGGGGCAGTGGTTCTAGCGGCGTGCAGATTGGCGTGCATAGCACGCCCGGGTGATTGTCTGCAGGCAGCCCGGCGTGCAGGTTAGCGTGCAGGAATTCCCAGGGGTCTAAACCCAATGCCCGGTAGTCATGACTTCGAAGATGCGGCTCAGCAAGTGACTCAGAAATGACCATTGAAGCTTTTGCAGACCTCTCCGTTTATATCTCGGGCTGACGGAATATCGGGCCAATTCCTTCTTCGCTTGAGCCCCGAGCAAACTTACAACCCCTGTAAAAGCTTACATACAGTTTGTAGCCAAAATGACCGTTCGATAAGAATTGAACGACCAACAACCGTGGATAGAAGCAACTTGAGCTGAGGCCGTCAGAGTCGGTGGCTATACGTATCGGTATGAATCGAAATCTGGGACTGGTCACTGGCCGAAGGGAAGATCTGGGCCGGTCCGGCCAATATGCATTGGCTTACGGCCAGGCTATCGATGATATCTGGGGTTCGCGGATTATGATGGGGGGGTGATGGGGCCGGCATGAATGCCGGCCATGCAGGCCGGTAACTCCCGGTCGAGAGCTTTGGGGCGAGCGGCCGCAGGCCGGGGTCGAATGCAGCTCTGTGGTGCATCGTTAGTCCGACTTTGGATTTGAAGTCGGACTAACGTGCCATCTGGTTGCTGCAAGTCCGACTAACGAGCCACGACAAGCCAGAAAGTAGTGCGCAAAGTCGGACTAACGATCATTTAGCGCCCGTGCGATATTACACTGTGGCACACGATCGAGCGGCGGAAATGGCAGCTGCTAACAAATTGTTCTGGGGGGGTCATTAGGTGCAGAAGGCTGCGCTGATCTGGGGGGTGACAGCGCTGGCGACCAGATAGCTCCAATTCCGTTCCGCTTCGGCGAGCCGCAAGCCTGGTTAGCAGAAACCAGGGTTCAGAACAGGTAGGTCTGAGCCTTGGTTAAGGTTTGATGATTTGAACGTCGATCAGCCTGGCTTGCAGGCTTCTCTTTGTTTTGGCAAGGAGGAGCTCCATGACAGGTACCAACCGAACCATGGCGCCTGGCCCGGTTGAAGCTGCGGGAGCCGCAACCTACGATCCAAGAAGTGAGGACGAAGTTTGTGCAAAGAATTTGGCAGCCTGGTGTCACAGCCAAGTGATGCCACCTCCCGACTGGAAAGACAAGAAGTCACTCCCCCCTTGGATAATCCCTGACATAGACCCCAAGAAAGGACCATCAAAAGATCAGGTTCCTGACCCTCGGTACTGGCCAAGCATGAAAAGGGAATACCCCAATGCCGTGCAAGCTAGCAGGGGCCAAGATTGTCTTAAACCCAATCACTTCCACTTGGCTGGCAAAGTCGTTTACTTTGTCTTCTGGCAATTCTTTTTTGGAGAGCTGATCCCCATCATCTACTGTCCCAAGTGTGGAAAGGTCGACAGGGTCTGTCATGACGGCTGGTCGATTGACAAGATCAGGAGAGTGTGCAGTGCAAACGCGCCTGCTTTCCTGTTCAGCAAAGTTTTTCGGTGTGGGAAGGGCAAGAAGGTGGGAGAGGGTTGCCCAGGTGAGTACACGTCATACTATTTTGTGTTGGAAAGTTGGCTGCGGCTGCGTTTTGAAGTATGCATCGAAACGCTGGCCCTGCTGAGACCTGCATATTCCGCAATTGAGCTACTCTAATGCTGGGATTGTGGTGGCACACTGACACAGCTCTTTGACATTTCATAGCTGGGCACGCATTCCACCATTCAAGCTGTTAAAGCTACATCAACACTTCTATTGCACTGTGGTTCCTCTGTGGTTCCTGACAATTACCCAATGTTTGAAGTCTGGTCAAGCTGGACAATGCATTGTCATTTCCTTGAGCATTCATTATAGCTTCGAAGTCTGCATCTAATCTGCAAGCAAAACCAGATATACATGCCTCTGTTCTGCTTAAGCGGCAATCTGCTTACCAAGGGGTTGCTTGTCTTGCAGCAAATGGTGGCAAGGCCTACCAGTTCCGCTCTCATGATGAGGGCGTGCTGGACCAGATACGGCAAAAGCAGCCAGCTGTCTTGGAGCAGCTTGCAATCGTGTTCACTCGAGGGGGGGCCATTGAGCGCAGTCTTCTGGACACCATGGTCCGCAACGTTGTTAGCGGGGCGTCTATTGCTGACCAGCAGAGAATGGTCCGTGAAGCGCACATGCGCACGTTTACGCAGCATAAGTGTACATACATCCAGTATGCTGCAGCGCGCGCTAGGCGGCGACAAGAGCAGGGTGGTTCGCTCCTGTTTCCTGGAGCTGTTCAGCAGACTCCCCCTGCCCCTGCTGACTTTGGGGAGTACGGTGACAAGGACGGGTACAGGGGTTGGATACCGTCAACCTCCTGGATAGCAGGTTTGTTCATCATTGTTCTTGGAAACCAAAGTTGACAGTCGTTTGTACTGAAGGTGCTTTCCAATCTGTGGTGACTGGAGGAACAATGCTCTTTTTTAGCAGTAGCTTGTTGGATGCTTTCTCTGATCTTCTCTTGCACAAATGCTGTCTACAGTATGTTTGCCCTTCCTTTCGCATGAAGAAGCATTGCTTGATGCTGGCCTTGTAGTTACGTGTCACTTTCTTGTCAGTGTTAGCTTCTGCTTGATGTTTGCAGTTTGATGTGCCGTGAGATCAGGAAATATTCTAACTGCAAGCCTCACCCCGCACCTTTTCTTCATGCAGGCGTCATCCTTGCGTCCCTGACTTCGCGGCTTGCGTTCCTTGAACGCCACCTGGCTGCGGTTGACGGAATGTTCTGGCGGGGGGATCACACTTTCCAAGCGGCCTCGCGGATCCGCTCAGCAGATGGGCGCAAAGACTATGCAGCCATCTACTCCGTCATGAACGAGTGGTCGCAGATCGTGGGTCAGTGGGCCGTGGGGGATACATCCTTTGACGAGTACGCCCCTGGCATTCAAGATGTGCTCAAGCGTTATGATGAGCTTGGGTATCAGGTGCGTTCAAAAAAGCCTTCAATCTAGATGTTGAATTGAGGTTCCTCTTGTTTGCAACAACTCGAGGCTCATGCCAAGCAGTGTTCCTTTCTATGCCAGTGTGCATACGAGAATCATGCAATCAGTTGCTCAGGTAGTAAGGGTCGAGGTGGCATGATTGGTGTCATTTTGCACGTGTCTTCTCATGCTGCTAGTTTGCCAAGTCTGATCCAAAGTGTTCTACCTTCCTGATTGCAGCTGCCCAAGTTCATGTGGGTTGACAACTCCCGGACAGTGGCTGCCCAGCTGTACGGGGCCATCCCCAGCCTCAGTCGTGTTCTGGAAGATGCCACACATGTTCTGCGGCGGGTTTTCGAGACCATTCCAGATGCCCACTCTCTCAAAGGTGAGAAAAGTGAAGGGGTCAATCGTGTCAAGTGCTTAGGACGCGGGAGGACTTCCAACTTAGACCTGTAATTTGCTGCCTATATTAATGAATTTCAGTCGGAAGATTGCGAAAAAAACAACAGGTGAACAACAGGTGTACAACCAAACCTGTTGTGGCTGGTTCTGTGTATGTGTGAATGTCAATTTGGCTGCCTTAAGTATGCAGTTTTTCATCAGATTGTGTGGCACTTCTGGATTCAATTGCCTTCTCATGTTGTACAAGAATTGTGCGCTTTCTAGGTTGTACAAGAATTGTGCGCAACACGAGCTACTTCAGGCCATCTGCAAGATCTAATTAAAGACTGCTCTAACGAGAGGGCTTGGCCTTCTTGTGCAGCTGACTTTTGCCGGGACTACTCCAGCGCGATGTTCAAGATCCACCAGCCGGACAAGAGGGCTCTGCGCGAGTTTCTCCTGGATGGAGGTCCGGGAAGGCGGAAGTGGACGCAGGCTGAGGTGGCAGCTAAGCCTGCAAGCTATTGGCGAGCGCGCTGCCGGCACACCATCCCTGCCCCGCAGGAGCTGGTCATCGGAGTTGAAGCGGTGATGAAGAAGTATGCAGGAGGAATATGCGCCATCAATGGTGACCCTCTCGTCACCGAAGAAGTGCAGCGCGTGCACAACCTGCAGCTCCAGCTCATGCAAGAGGGTTTGTTGAGTGGTAAGCTTTGTATAGTGTCCTTGACATCATCTGCTGTCCACAATCTGCTTATCTGTATGCTTCCGGAATGTGTTTCCTGCTGAAAGCTTGTCGCTTGTGCTTGTCAAACTTCCCTATTTGAGCTCGTTGCATACTGACGCTGCTGCCTTTAGAAAAGCAATCGTCCTTTGTGATTGAAACTTGAATCCTGATCGAGCAAGCTTGCAATGCTTATGTGCTGCTCAAAGGGAAGTAACAAAGTAGACCTGCATATCTAACGGTTTTGTCGTCACTTGCAGATCCGCTCAACGTGGATGAGATGTACATCCCCGTCAGTGCTCCTGGCTGTATGCCCCGCTACATCGGTGTACGGGGTTGCTCCTCGCTTGAGGGCTATCACCGCCACCTCAACGCGCTGCTTGGCGGGGGGAACTACTCCCCCGAGCTTGCGGGGGCTCTCATCGCCCTCTTCAAGTACCGCTGGAACTACGAGTGCGCCGTACGCAGCAAGGGGGCAAAAGACTGGGGAATGTTCGACCACTGGCTGCTAGAGGCGATGCAGAACACGTGCGCAGATATGGGGTGGCCAAACCCCTGTCCCGAATGGCAGCGCGCTCCGCCTACTCAGGAGCGCTTCGGCGTCCATGCGGCTCCCGCCGTCTTGCGGGCAGGGGTGTCTCAGGGAGATGAGGAGGACGAAGCTGGTTTCCTGGATCAGGAAGCTGTTTTCGTCGAGAATCTCCTGAGCGAGCAAGAACTGAGAAGCAAGCAGGCCGCTGGTGAGCTACCCACCGTCATTCGGATTACCTTTTGAAGGCGAGAAGACAAGGCTTAGAACGAGACTGGTTACTTCTCTGTTGTAAATGTCAAGTCAATCTTGTCAATTCTTGCCATTTAGGGGCTGTTAGGCAACCAGATTAAGTAGGAAGCTTGTCTGCACCAAAGCAAGTAACTAGAAGGGGGGGTGAGAGTTGTAAGCTCAGCATCCGCAACAGGTTGCTCATCAGATTGTTGATCATCAGCAGACATGCAATCAGGCAGTTTCGTTTGATATGTTGAGTGTTTGAATTGACAACGTGAGAACGAGTGCTGTGATTCCGTCTTGAAAGGAAAGGTGCAAAGTTGATGCAGGTTTTTGAATTCAGGGATAGGTGAGCATTTGAGATTAACAAAATTTGGCAACTGGTTGACATGCCCGCCTACAGTGTTCAACTAAGACTGCTCCTCAAAGTCGGGGTTCTTGCTTGCACAATCGGGGTGTTGCTTGGTCCCAGACTTTAGCTTGCTTTTGTCGTCCTTTAGTCTTGTCTTCACGTTGGTTGGTTGTTCAGAATCTATCGTGCAATTTGCAGGCGCGGCCGGGCCTGCCAAAGAAGCGTCTCGAAAGCAAGCTGCCACGGCTGTGTGCGCCCCGCAAGCGGGGCCCTCTTCCCCCCCCCCGGGCCAAAACAGAGAGCCTGCAGCTGCGCGCCCCTCGCCGCCGGAGCCCTCCTTCGACCGCCCAGGCCAGATTGGGCAACCAGCAACCGCGTGCGCCTCGTCGCCGGCGCCCTTCTTCGTTCCCCCGGGCCAGAACGAACAGCCTGCGCCGGTGCGCACGGCCCAACAGGGTAGGCAGCCCATGCTCTTTTCATGTCCCTGGCAAGATGCACGTTATAGTGCATCTGGGTGGTGCGCTTCCTACTTAAGCTTCCTTTCATTTTGAGATCAAGTAGATTCCGAGAAAAAGTTTTGGACAATCAGTCACTTAGTCATTTTGTGCACACAAACACGTAAGCTTCTTGAGCTTCGAGTGGACTGGAGTTCTATTGCGCACTTGGTCACGTTGTAGCTTTTGCTTTTGCTTTACTAGACGTTGCTCGACTTGAAGCAAAGAATGCCTTGGATTCGTTGAGCCGTATTATCCTGGCGAATGTTAGCTAAGTGAAGTGTGGCCCTCTTGCAGACGCAAATGGGCCTGCCCAACATGCGCTAGGACCTGAGGAGCAGCGCGCACACGCCCCCCAGCAAAGCGGACCGCCTTCAGTCACGCCCTTTGCAGCGCAACTGTGGGGGCAGGCCAGTCAGCTCTGCCCCCCTTCTCAGAGCGGACCGCCTCCGGTCGTGCCGGCCCCGCAGTTGGGGGGCCAGCCCCCTCCTCGCTTCGTCTCCCCTGGGAACGAGCAGGCTCCCGTTGACAGCGCCGCGCCGCAGCGGAGCGATGGGCTCGCCCCTTGCTTAGCCGCTGCCCAAAACGGACAGCCTGCTGACGTCAGCGCCGCATCGCAGCTGGGGGGCCAGTTCGCCCCTCACTTCGCCCCCTCCAGAACGGGCAGCCTGCTGACGTCAGCGCCGCATCGCAGCTGGGGGCCCAGTTCGCCCCTCACTTCGCCCCTCCCAAAACGGGCAGCCTGTTGACGTCGGCGCCACGTCGCAGGTGGGGGGCCAGTTCGCCCCTCGTTTCCGCCCCCCCCTAAAACGGGAAGCCTCCCGAATTCTGCGCTGCGCCGCAGCTTTGGGGCCAGCCCGCCCCTCCTTTGGCAGCTCCCCAAAACGAGCAGCCTCCCGACTTCCGCGCCGGGCCGCAGCGGGGGGCTTTGCCGGTCCATCTCTTTGTCCCCCCCCAAAACGGGCAGCCTCCCTCCTTCCGCGCCGCACCTCAGCCGGGGGGCCAGCCCGTCTCTCCCTTTGCCCCCTCAAAAAACGGGCAGGCAAGCTTCAACTTCCGCGCCGCGCCGCATCCGGGAAGCCAGTCCGTTCCCTTCCACACGGGCCCATCCCAGGGCGGTTCGCCTCCACTTGTGCCGACAGCAACACCGTGGGGAGAGCAACCCGGATTCTTCAGTCCCACTTCCCAGGGCGGCCAGCCTTCAATCGCGCCGGCCGTGGCTCAATGGGGAGGGCAGAGTGCGGATAGCCGGCTGCCTGGTAGCGCCTTGCCAGTTGCAGCTCGTGTGTTCCGCCGGGAAAAGCTTGGTAATACCTCTTCTCTTTGTCTCTCACCTGCTGAACACAAGAGTCTCGAATCTGTATGTTCGTTGAAAGCTTATGAGCACTCTGGTTGCAATCCAATCGACATGAGGCTTTTGTTGTTTAACAGAATTGATTGCAGCAGTGGTACTGTGGCCCGAGTTGTCATAAGGTATGTGGTAAGCGACTCTTTTGACGTTTTATCTTGAAAACTGCAGCATCAAAAAGAAAACGGGTCGACCAAGAAGGTTTCGCTCCGTCCAGCTCCGCATCAAGTGAGTTGCAGACTCTCTTTAATCGTTGCAAATCGCTGACTGAGTTGTTTGAAGTTCCGAGTCGTCCTTTTTATCATCCCAGCTACTCCGATCTGTCCAATTGCTTCCACTTTTGAACAAGAAGGAAACTCAAGTGTCACCCCGACCGTACATATAATCTTGTTATAAAACGGCAAGATGACATGCGGTCTCTTTCATAAGCGCTGATTGCAGGAGAGCAAAACGAAGTTCATGTCAGCGGCGTCCCAATCTTTTTTTCAGGATTGGAGGAGCAACGTGCACCTTTCCCGCAAACCAGTGGAGGCCCGCCCCAGGGCTCTTTGCTAGGTAAGGAGGGAAGAGTCAAGAGTTTGGAGTTGGGCTTTAGCAGATCCTCTTCAAGACAGTTTTCACGCAATCCCTCGATCTTGCGGATGTTCTTCTAATGAAACTCACGCAGTGCTGCCCTCCGTCTTCGAATTTGTGGATCACACGTCCAGGTTGCAGTTGCGGCAGTAAATCTGTTTCTCTTGGATGGCATCTAGCAATTCAAGACCTGGCGAGGAGTCTGTTAAGCCTTATCCCAGCATTGAAGCCTAAAGTTTTGTGAGTTTTTGGTCAAGCAGGTGGGCTAGGCGGATCCACCCAACAGTCTGGTGGAGACGTTCGACACCTGCAAGGGTCCGGCGAAGAGGTGAAGAGACATGGGCGGCTTCCGTTCATTAAGAAACATGGCGTACGACGGCCAGCGCTTCGCGAGCTGATCCGCCCAGTCACCACCCCTGCTGAGATCCGATTGTTCACAGAGCTTTACTCTAGGCACTCTTCCAAATCCTCCACCAATTGGGTGAATATGTGTCACGAGTGGAATCAAAGGGCTGCTTTGACAGCCTCCCAGGTTTCAGGGGCAGACAACGCGATTCATCAGAAGAATATCGTTCTTCTGAAAAAGTACGAGAAGGGCTTGGTCCAAGAATTTATTCGGAAAGACTCCCTTAACGCCCTCGCCGCTCACAACTCCATTTCCTTGCAGCATTTCAGCTATGCCCCTTCAACCACCATGTACCCGGTGGTTCCTGGTGGCATCCATTCGTACCCGCCCACCTTCCCTCAAAACCCTCACTTCCCATCCACCGCAAATTACTCACCGTTTGCAGCCGTGCCCATGGGGGCCGGTTTTGCACACCCTCTCTTCCACCCGTCGCTCACAATCACAACATCCAAGATTCATGGTTGTCAATCGCTCCCTTCTCTTCCGGCAAAGAATAATAGGGGCGGCAAGGGTGTTAAGAAGCATTGTAGAAAAGGTTGCGGTAAACCTGTAGGACAGTGTAGATGCCCAAAAGGTTGATTAATATTTATGTACGATAAACAATTTTGTTAGCAATTTTGGGGATTGCTCATTTATTGAGGCACTAATCAAAGCCATTGATAAAGATAGTCGAGAAATTGAGCGATGATTCATTATGAAAGGTTAAAATGACCTGAGTCACTGTCGCTGGATTTACATATTTAGCTTTACAGATTACTATCCTGATTTGCAATAGTGATGATATTTCCAATCAGCGTTGTTGCGCATTATGAAAGTAGGCCCTACAATTGGGACGACAATAGCAGCTTCATGGCAGTGGCAGTGGCAGTCAAGAGTACCTATGTTGCACTACCTCAGTGTTGCACTGTAATCAGCCCACCAGGCTTATTGCCACTAGGCACAGTCCGATGGACGGCCGGGAGCGTGTCATAGCAGGGCCAAAGCAATGACGTGCTCCTGCGACCGTTGATCTACTGTCCTCATTACACGAGTCTAATGCGACATCATGCGACACAACTACAAATGTGAGTGCGCATCGCGCCCTATCAGCGCGAGTACACGCGCTGCACGTTGACAAGCAACTTCCGACAAGTTTCGGGGGTCCTTTCGGACCCCCTGGCCCCGGGGCTTCGCCCCGGAGGACCCCGTGGGGCCGCCTCCGGCGACCTCGACCCCCCATTTTCGCTCACAAAAACGCCCCGACCTGTACAATATTTTTTATCCCGGGCCCCGAGCGTGCACGCCGGGGAGCCAGCTCTGCACGCCCGGGCGGAGCCCGGCGTGCAGAATGCACGGCCGGCGAAAAATTGCTAGAACCTCTGGTCCGGGGTCCCCCTACTACCGTACCCAGGCATATACAGCCTATAATACAGGGTACAGGTACATGGGGCCGGCCGGCGCCCTGCAGATCAAGGTCCTTCGCTGTGACGGTCGTCGGTGCCTAGTATAGCCTAAGGAGAGGTCGAAGTAGGACGTTTGTTCGCTGAACACAGCCTTCTGAAGGGTCACCTGAATGAGTCCACAAACGTTGGATCCGTTCACCCAATTGACAACCCTCTAGGAGCTTCAGGAGTGAAGCAGTTGGCCACAAACTCATGCTCGAACTCGATTATGGTCGGTTCCCCTATCCATTGTTAATCTCACGTTGATCTGCTTCACATTTGTGGAATTTTGACTTGAAGGTTGAGCACTCATGGGAAAGGTAGGTCCCTGAATCCCGTGCCCGAGCTATGTTAACCCAATTGGAAGAAAGCCAATGCAAAGGGAAAGTCTTTGCATATTAGTTGCTGTGCTCACCGCTCATGCAATCAAGAATCTGGGTAGAGCAGGTTGCCACACGTCACGTTAGACAGGGTCCCTGTTCTCAAAGAAATCGCGCCAGCAGAGCTATAGATGGACTTCTTTGGAGGTCTCACTATTATCGAGCAGTGAATGTCTGAAGACAAGTTTTGCAAACACAGCTCGTTGCTGTCTTTTCTTGGAGACTATCGTAACAATCTGGGCCGCTGCCTGGTTCTCAATCACTTTATAAAATGCAGAAGAGTAAGGCTGGCTCTTCAGAGGCCAAGGCAGAGGATGTTGATTCAGAGACCAGTCGGAACACAAAGCTTGGCACTGATGTGTGTCAAGCTGCGCTGAAGGCGCCCATTGGTACCCAGGGGAATGGATGGAGAAAGGGTTTGCTGATTGCTCTCATTGTCCTGGTAAGTTCTGATGCTCCAGGTCATAGAGCCCTGAAGGAAGTGCTTGTCCATTTATCAATTGCAACTCAAGTCCAAAGGGGAAGCCCTTGATTTGATAGGGTAGGGAATGTTAGTCTCTGCCACCAGAACCTCGTCTTGCCCATGTATTTCAAATGACTCCTTGCACTTTTTTAGTGATTAGGCAACAATTTCAAGTTCCTGCCTGGCGTCGGTCCTCCGCAATGCCCCAGTTGTTGACCTTAGTCTTTATTTCAATTTGTTGTTGACATACTGTCGTTGAGTACGACTGCATTTCCGTCTGCTGCACGGTGTGACTCATAGTAGTCCTCATCAGTAGATCTCAATTTACAACAAGAAACCCTTTCAGTTCTTTATCAATTCAATCAGGTAATCATATTCTTGCAGAGTGGCGCTCTTATCCTTGGTCGACTTGGAAGGGTACCCGCCTCCACCACCGAGGATCATACCGTCGTGGTAAGCCCCTCACACAATCCAGTCATAAAGTATTAAGGTCAAGACAAAAACTGGCCTAATGGATGAGCAGTCAATGCCGGACATCGACTAGTTTCTCACGTCACAAGATTGTGCACGGAACCTAAGGATCCAGAGCTCGTAGAGATTTTTGCACAAGTATGGAAAGCTGTAGGGCTTGACATCATCCACTTGACAGTGGTTGAAGTGCCTCTGACAGCCAAGGAGATGCACCACATTTTCAGCACTGGTCATGTAGCGTAGACGGTATAGAAGAGTGCAAACAACGAATTCAAGGCGCACTTAATGCTAGCAATATGCTGCGAGCAATTCCAGGGTGTGCTGAGGATTTTCAACGTGTTTGAGGCATTTTGATTTTGGATGTTGACTGTGAGCTCAACCAGCACGGTGAAGAAAATTGTCATCTGTTCTTCCCACAGGAATCCCTTGCCGGGCTTAAACAAGCTGTGCGGTCGCTGGAGACCAAGTTGTCATCTCTAGCCGTACAAGGAATGGAAAAGATCGCGGATTTTTGGGACTCAGCTGACAGCGAAGATTCTGTCGGTGGCGGAGACGATGACCGAGAGTCCACCCCAGTTGTGTTTTGGAAGAGAATAGCCCTTCTCGCCGCCTTGCTCCTGGCACTAAGCCCTTTTGTACTGGTACACTACGTGGATTCAGTTGCACGTGTTCTGGGAGGGGATAAAGGTGGCGACGGCAGAGTCGAATCCTTCAGCAGAAGATTTGAGTACAAGTAAGTGGCTCTGCATTTATGCTGTCTGAGCGGATCAGCTGCTCACATCTGTCTCGAGCTAGCGGTCCTGTCTTAGTTGTTTCTGTAGCTGAGGTTGCCAGCTTGGTATTCATGTTGTGACTTGCAACAATTGCAAATTCTGATGCATGTTGTTATCGACTCCTTTGCCTCTGACTTTCTCGCTGGACAAGCTCTTACTCTGATACTTGCATAGATGCTCACTTTACATTCTGCCTGTGCTCACAGGGTGGATTACTGGATGTCCGCTTATCCCTCGGTGAAGCCCCTAGGTCTGCTCTTTCTGACCCTTTTCCTTATCGGGGTTGGCGGCTTGGCCCTCTACTCTGTGAGCGAAGCGCCATTCCATGCTGAAGCATGGAATGCTTGGAGCTACTTAGCGGATGCAGGTAACCGATTCTTTCATGCATCTGCTGATCAATTGCTTTACTGTGCGCTGCGGAAAGTGTTCACTGCTAGGGTCGCCCATCTCACGCGTGCGACTTAGAGCTCAAAATGCCGATGTTTCTGGAAATCTATGACAAGCACCAGATACAGAGTGCTTGGTAATTGGCGCGCCAAAGACCTCATCTCGGAAATATCTGGGAGTCCTTGAGTTGCACGGTCACAACATGCTGCCTCTCCGCAGGAAATCATGTGGAGAGAGAGGGCTTTGGGGACCGGCTTGTGAGCCTTCTCATCAGTTTTGGCGGGATGCTCATCTTCGCACTCATGCTTGGACTGGTAAGATGTCGGCTCCTGCTAACGAATGAAGGGCAGAAAGCAGGCTGGCTGGTTTCCAACCAGAGCATCATCTTCCGACACCCGTTCTTGATGCACCTTCGATTGCATGTGTTGTTGGAGCAATACGACTCTGCCTGCACAGAAGTCATGCTTTGAAGAGATGAGACTCTGCTTGCCTTCAGCATGTCAACATGGTGCTGCCTCATCATGCGCCCGTATTTCAGGTCAGCGATGCCATATCCGAGAAGGTGGACAGCTTGAAGAAGGGTCGGAGCTCTGTGATCGAGAGCAACCACACGCTCATTCTCGGCTGGAGCGAGAAACTGGTGAGAAGCTGGGCATTCGGAAATGTAGGAGGCAGTAAGATCAACGCTCTCTTGAGCAGTCGCTTCAAAGCTATCACTGGTTGGTAGTATCCCCTTGGTCATGAGGTTTGACCCTGATCAGGAAGAGGAGATTCCCGACGCAAACATAAAGTTCAGCCACGTAGCTCTCCCAAGATCGTTAGTTTCCATGTGCGTAGGTACTCTCGAGTAATCGAATAAAGTACGATAGACCTGGATTCGGTGGCCCCCAAGCGGTAACTCAGCCCCCAGCCTTTTGCTTGATGCGACCAAAAGCACTTACAAACCTACTCTCCTGCCAGGGTTCACTGTTAAAGCAGCTTGCGCTGGCAAACGAGAGTCAAAAGGGGGGCGTCGTTGTCATTCTGGCCGAGAAGGATAAGGAAGAGATGGAGCTCGACATCGCACGATTCGAGTCGGACATGCGGGGCACCATCGTCATCTGCCGCAGTGGCAGCCCGCTTGTCATGGCCGATCTGAAGAAGGTGAGAAGCTACCGTGCAGCACCTTCGGCTGCCATTAGACTACTGTATTTTGTGCACTACCAGGCCGCTCAAATCATCTCATCTTTCTTTCCAATCGAACATGCACTTTCGCTTCGCTTTCTGGTGGCTGCTTTCTTGTAGCCTTCTGCTTCAACGACTCAAACCCTGAACGTCATCGTTGTGCTGTTTGAGTTGTGAAGGACGCTGTCAAGTCTGTGCAGGTGCCCTAAGAAGCTCTTGAAATCATGTGAGGGGGTCTCTATTGGCATGAACTGGGGCTGCTCCAGGACTCTCAAATGTAACTGCGGGAGATTGTTTCCTGCAGGTGTCCGTTGGGAGTGCTCGGTCCGTCATTGTGCTCTTGGATGAAGGCGTGGCGGATGTGGTGAGTTGTTGGACTCCAAACGGAAAACAACGCGCGCAAGCTCTCGGCGAGATGCCCTGGTCATGTGAAGGAGCAGGAGCGAGCTTTCTCCAGATTGTGTCTCTGCGCCCAGAGTTTTGTCTCTGTCTGTGATGGAATCAGCATGCTTCCTTTCTGACTTTTTCATAGGCTAGGTTTTTTCTAGTCCTGCGCTTTTGCGGAAAGTTCCAAAGGCACCAATTTAGCTCTCTGAGTCCGCCGTTTGCAGAGCGATGCGAAGGCGCTGCGGATCGTTCTGAGCCTTTCGGGAGTGCCGGGGGGCCTCAGGGGCCACGTGGTCGTGGAGATGGGGGACATCGATAACGAGCAGCTAGTGAAACTGGTCGGGTCTGGCATCGGTGTCGAAACGGTGGTCGCCCACGATGTGATCGGCCGGCTCATGATCCAGTGCGCCAGGCAACCGGGACTTGCGCAGGTGAGGCGACGGTTCATTGAATGGGAACTGGTTCTTCCAACAATTTTCCCGCCTCTACTCTAGCTTCAGGAAAGGTGGCTACCTGTTCGAAGAGGAGAGCGATGTTGGGCACACAAGTCATGGTACTTGCTGGTCAGGGTCCAGGGGCTGTCAAGTAAGGGCGAAGGAAGAGGAGAACAGCTTTGAAGCTGGATTCTGGCAGACTGAAGTTGACTGGTAGGAACGGGTCTTGTGAGGTGGGGACCTTGAAGGCGCTTGTAATGTATGCGGATGATCAGGAACGGGGCGTTTCTACGGTTCTTTCCTTGATCCGCTGATTCCCGCAGGTATGGGAGGACCTGCTCGGGTTCGACGGGTGCGAGTTCTACTTCAAGCACTGGCCGGAGCTGACCGGCTGCACGTTCGGGGAGGTGCTGCTGCGATTCGCGGACGCGGTGCCGTGCGGGATCAGAGTGGCAGCAGAAGGCGGCAAGGTCAATATCAACCCGCCGGATAGCTACGTGTTGCAAGCGGGGGACGAGCTGCTTGTGATCGCGGAGGATGACGACACCTACGAGCCCGGGCCGCCCAACAAGGCGAGTCTTTTGCAGGGCTTCCTTCGTCACGTTCCTGTCGGTCAAAATGTCTCTCTTACTTTAGGTACTTCTCGAATAGGTGGGATCTGGCAAGTGTTTGCCGGTATACATAATATAAGGTGGAAGAAACCCGTCGCTGGGGAGTAGTTACTATAGGAATCACTGTCGTTCTTCTGCTTGGGTGCAATTCAAGTGTGCCCGCTGATTGCGATCATTAAGGACAGAACTTTGCACGCGGAATTCGCCGAGATGGTAGGGCCTGCCCCAATCAGGCCAATCTACATCGACCCGACGCCTCGCAAAGAGCTCCGCCGAGCACCGCGTTCAAACGTCACGCCAGCGAAGAGAACACGACGAAGTGCGGAGACTGCTTCAAACACTTGAGCTGCGAACCTGACCTGTCGCACGCTCACGCCCCATTTGCTGCAGGTCAGCGCTGGCAAGGTCCTCTCGCGCTCGCTCCCGGAGAAGCTGCCGGAGCGCATTCTGTTCTGCGGGTGGCGCCGCGACATGGACGACATGATCCAGGTGCTCGAGTCGTTCTTGCCGATCGGCAGCGAGCTGTGGCTGTTCAGCGAGGTGCCGGTCGAGGACCGCGAGGAGCGGCTGAAAGAGGGCGGCCTCGACCCGGCCACGCTCAAGAACGTGACGCTGGTGCACCAGAAGGGGAACCCCGTCAACCGGCGCCACCTGGAGACGCTGCCCATGGAGGACTTCGACTCGGTGAGTGGCGGACGAGCTGGAGTTCTTTGGATCTGAGGGAAGCAAAGAAAGGTTCTGAGAAAAGACGAGGGTTCGGTCGAAGGCGTGGCAAACCTGCGGCTCTGGTGAGGAAAAGCCAAGGATGAGTAGTCAGATAAAGCAGCGCGTTGGTGGAGTGCCACAGAACGTCTTCTTTGTATTGCCAGAGCATCGGTCCTACGCATAGCGTTCTGGAATTGAAAGGACCTGGAGAGTGGTAGTGCCTGCTTGGACATTGGGAGTCCCGGCTTGGACGTCCGTAGGAGTTGCGCATGGTAAAGCGATTGTCCTGCTAGCCCACTCGTGTGCTCGGTAGCACTCCCACTGCAGTTCCTTGTAGCTGGGAAGGCCGTGAAGTTTCCTCTCGTCCTCGTTGGTCCCGAGACATCGTTTGCTCAACGTTTCGTTTGCTCAACGTTTCCCCTTACCTCTGCAGGTGCTCATTCTTGCGGACGAGGATCTGGAGGACTCGGTGACTGCGGCGGACAGCCGCTCTCTCGCAACGCTGCTCCTGATTCGCGACATCCAGGTACTTAGCAGTCGTTTCTGGTCAAAGATCGGCTTTTCGAAGCTGTCAGAGAGCCGAGCATCTCGTTCGACAAGCTCCGAGCTTGGGCTTCTGCTGGCTGGCGATGACCCCCTTCTGCTGCTGTTCGTGCCATGATCCAATTGAAAGGTTGTGTTGGTTTTCTACTGCGACTTTTTCAAGTCTCAGCTTTCGTTTTCCGCAGTCTCGGCGGCTCCCCAAGGACCTCGCCCGCTTCAAGGCCGACCAGCACAAGCAGCGCCGGCAGATCGCCGAGAAGGCGCTCCTCCGCGCGCGCTCTGGATCCTCCTCTAGCTCCTCCATCGCCGTCCCTTCTCCGATCGCTCCGCTCGAGCTCAGCGCCGACTCCGCAAGCTCTGCAGACTCCGCTCAGCCCCTCTCTCCCCTATACCCCGAATCATTCGTCAAGGCTGTAGAGCCAAAGAAGCGCAGCAGCAAACTGAGCAAACGGGAGGAGGGCCACTCCGACCAGGACTCGTGGATCGGGAAGATTCAGCAGGCGTCGGCGCGGTCGATTGTGATCAGCGAAATTCTGGACTCGCGGACCAAAGACCTGGTGTCGGTGGCGCAGATCAGTGATTACGTGCTGAGTAACGAGCTGGTCAGCATGGCGCTCGCGATGGTGTCCGAGGACCAGCAGATCAACCGGGTGCTCGACGAGCTGTTCGACGAAGAGGTGAGCTAAAAGTGCATCATTGATGGTCGGTTGGTTAGTGCTCCTTCGATGCAATCCGCGGGACGTGTCTAGAGTCCCTTGATGCTCGACGGGTGTTTTTGCTTTCGCTCCGTTTCCTTAATGATGTTCAGGTTGGAAAATTGAACGGGTAGTATGGCAACGTGTCAATGGAGAGGAAAGAAAACAAGATGGATCTGTTGGAATGACATCGCAATTTTTGCAATCGGACGACCATAACCATCGCTATCGGGAAGTTGTGTTATCTGACATCTCGTTCTCCTTTTGCAGGGCAACGAGTTATATATTCGACCATCTTTCTTCTATTTACGCGAAGATGGAGAAGAGTTGACATTTTATCAGTTGATGGCTCGTGCCCGACAACTGAACGAGATCATGTTTGGCTACAAGCTAGCCAGCGCGGACAAGGCAATGCTTAATCCACCTGACAAAGACAAACCCCGTAAGTGGTCTTTTAAAGACACGTTTGTTACAATCAGCGAGGACTAAAGAATTTGGTACTTGACAGGCACTTGAACACACATAATAATGACAGCAACCTTATTACTACAACTGTTTGCAGACATTGTCTAGGTCGAACCGTTCTCGATATAGCTGGGGACTGCATGTGCGCGGTTCGATCGAGGCTGGTTAAAGCTACCGGTTCATGCATATGCTGCTTTCAAAATTGCTGATGGCATTGGGCTCAAATGAAACAATTGAAGCCAGTGTCAGCTATAAGCACGCGGCTGGCTAGCAAAATCAACGATCGGACGGCCATGACATGCGAGGGCGCTTATTGTCGCATCGGGAATGATCCGCAAGAGGAGATCACATGGGCTGGCAGATCCGCGGGCCCATGATCAAAAGCTATTGCCGTGGTCGACCCTCATGTGTGCGGTCTCATAGAATGTAGTATGCACGGCCCGCATATATGCACGGCATATCCCGCGGACTCATATATGAAGCTAGCATGCCAACGCGTGCCAATGATGCCAGCGCATGCCATGGATGACAGGCTTCAGTGCTAGCTATAGTTCAAGTTAGTAAGTAGAACGACATATGCATTCACATGGCCGGCCATGATCCGTTGCGCGGCGCCGGATGGTAAGTCCGCAATCGCGGCGGATGACCGTTAAATGATAATATATCCGGAATTGTACATAGACCTTGACACTTGAAACACTGGTAATACGTACATGCAGGTTCCTCATAACGACGATGGTGTGTGGTAATTTGCCGAGTGAGCGTGGACCCAGTAATCCCACCGTGCAAAGGCTGACTGAATGAGAAAAATTGAGCGACTTGAAGAAATCCCCCCAATCGTGACGGTGATTCTTTGAGGCGGGCCCGCGATCCTTTCTGACACACAGCCAGAGGCCCACGGGGCCTCTCGACCCGCTCCAATACAGCCACTTTTTGATCCTTTGGAGGAGACATGAGGGCTCGATCACAGCATGTTTGGGGGCTTTCAACAGGCAGACGTGGAGCATTGCTGCCAAACGTGCAAGAGGAACAGCGCCATGAAGAGGGAATTTGGGCTTGTACTCAGGCCCCACAAAACGAACCTGTCGACCTGGAAAATGTTCCAAGAATTTTCAAAAATTGCGGTCTTCTCCCCACGACAACGTAAAGCTGGACTGTTGACCTACTTGGGACCTCCGTCCGCAACCAGCTTGACTTCGAAAACGTTGTTCCCGGCCTCAACTGCACAAAGTCACAAAGCTGATTGAACAGGTATTTGCAGGAACGTTTGGAGGGAGTCAAAGATCTTAGCAAACACGAAGTGTTGCTTTCCGGTACTTAACCCACCCCACGCTTCGAATACTCACGCCGGCATGCACTTTCAGACCACAATTTCCCTTCATCGATGCTCCGGACTCACATGGTCTGAACCTGTAAATGCAGAAGCTGCGGACAGGCAGTGCATGAAAGGAATGTTGCGTCTTTCCCGCGGCTTTCCAACCAACTCGATGCGACTCTCTGCTTGCTGCCAGAAGCGTAGAATGAAGGACCGCAAACTTTGCTTTTGCTTCCACAACCAGTGAATGGCTTTAAAGTGCCCCTATCGAGACGGATCAGTTCGCGGGAAGTGCAGAAGATGGCGCGAAGCGTCTGGCGCAACAAAATGGGGACATATATAGACTGTGAAAGAAGAGGCTCACGAATATCTGCTGTGACCCCGGGGCCAAAGAAGGACGTGAACTTCGCCTGCAAACCAGCCGCAGCGCGAATCATCAGCATTGTTAGAATTATTAGAATCATTAGAATTATTAGAATTATTAGATTTATTAGATTTATTAGAATTATTAGAATTATTAGAATTATTAGAAACACAGGAGGTCTACTGCGTGGCAGCGGGACCGAAGGCCGCACTTGTGAGAACCACAGCCTTCCAACAAGAAACGTCTGGAAGTGTCGACGCTGGATTGACTGTCTGTGAACGACGAGGGGACAGTTAGCTTTGGTATACTCCTGAGAATAACATCACTGCTCGGAATGCAATTGAGTGTACATGCCTTCGCTTCTTAGCAAGGCGGCATCTGTCTGATTGTGCTGATGCGTGCCCCTTTCGATTGGTTACGTGCAACCGACTCCCGTACCCGAATACGTGGTCACATCACAAAAAGAAGCGTCCCGGATGACGTCGTTAGCCACGTGAAAACTGCTTGTCACCCTATCACGAAGCGCGATTGTGAATCGAACAGGATCCACTCGCCAAACTTCTCGAAACGCCAACATTGGGCCGACCAGCCTACGACGCACCTTGGACGGGGACTTTTGGGAACACGAGTGCAGAAAAGAAAGGAAACGAGTAGCCGTGAAGGGGAGACGCAGAAGAGGACGGCGCGAGAGTCTTGCTGAACAACAGAAGATGCCGTGACGGAAGGAATTCAAAAGTTAAGAGAAGACCTCGTATAGGAAGACAGCAGCGAAATCCTGGAAACAGCAGAGACGAACGGTAAAAAAAGAAAAGAGAAGATACGGGGCGGCGCACCTGCTTCTCTTCCCACTGCTCCTTGGAGAGCTTCGAGTCGAAGATGAGCGCGAGCGTGTAGCGCCCGTTCTGGACCTCCTCCCGAATGGCGGTCAGCACGGGAGCGTCCCGGCGCGAGATGCCGCCTCCCTGCCAGCACAGCACGGCTCGCGTAAGGAAAAAGGAGAAACGACCTGCTTCAAATGATTGCACATCACCATACACTGTTGAAAATGTAAATGCTTCAATCGAGCTTTGGAACGAGGAAGCACGCTCTGAGCGGGTTGCAGCTACTTGGGTCTTTTGTCCCAAGGGGTTTCAAAAACGGCCCACTTCTCGAGAGCCGGGCGAGTGACGTATGCATGACTGGCAGAACAGTGTGGAAGACTCTACCCCCTGCAGACGTAGCGCTTCGTCCGAAGGCAACCGGCGGGATGACGGATCTACTCTTGCAAGTGCTCATAATTGCAAGAAAGCAATCAGGGGCTCCTCTGTGCGCCCTACCTGGCCGTACCGGAAGATCCTCTTGAGGGCTTCCTCTAGATGCTGCTCATCTCCGTAGCGATACCGCGTGACATCATTTCGCACCTGTAGCACACATACACATGTTCTTTTTGTCATGGACCAACTTGTAGTCGGCAAGGGGATACATTGGCCAAGTCGGATAGCAGCTGAAGTGACGATTCTGGGCCAGCTGACTCTAAAAAGTAGAACTGGAGGAAATGGAAACAGACTAGCCCCCGGCAGGCAGTAACTTCACAAAACTTGGGATGTTGTACTCATCAACTGCGCACAGGATCTTGAGAGAGGTCTCGACAGCATTCCTCTGGGCAGCGGAAAGACGAAGAAGAAAGGAGCCTTACCTGCTCCAGGATCGGGGTGGCCTGCGATGACCGCAGCGCATACGCATCCGCGTAGCTGATCAACGGCACTGGTTTCAGCTCCGCATACTGCACAACGGGCGCCAAACGAGTGGGGCTGATGACTGGCGGCTGTCACAACAAAACAACCGCAGCAGGTCTCAAAAGGCGTTGCTGTTCAACAGATGGCGTTTGGAAGCGTAAGCAATGAAGAGACAATCTGTCGGGAGTGAAGTAGTGCGACCAACCTTGAGAGCGCACCCGATGAGAAACAGGGGGAAGCCATATGTGAGGAGAAGGGCGGAGAAGTCGCCCCCGGGGGTTAGCTGGAAGTATGAACCGAAACCGAACCTGGCAGGGTGTGCTGAGCTTCAGTGAGAAAGCGCTGTCAAAGCTGGGTTGAGGTGCCACCTTGGGGGCAGAAAGGGCATTGAGAAACTCAGCGGAGCGTCTAGAACACTATGGGAAAGCACCTAGGCGGAGGGTGGCAGGGAGCTGGCATCAGGGCCGAAGGCAATGGGAAACACAGGCAGGGAATGGGGCTTGAATTCTAAGCTTATCAGCATTCCAATGCAGCATCTGAGTTGGCGAGCCTGGAAAAAAGCACCGCGCAAGACGCGTAGTTTGAGGGCTTACGTTAGCAAGCCAACACCTAAAAATGCGCCAACGGTACCGAACGACACCTGCAATAAAAGAAAACCCATGAGAGGAGGTCCGCCTTTCTGTTAGGGTGGCGCATTGAGGAACCGGACATGCCCTCTTGGCTCTAATCCAAGCTCAAGCAGTCTGCCTTTCCAGCATTCGATCCGCAGAGACCGGTTACCCCACAGTCAATGCTTTTCATGCCCAAGCAGACGGCAGTCCTTCCGGGGCGCCTGTGCCTCACCTTGGCTACATTGAAGTCATTGTCTGGTACAATCTCCTTGCCCTTGCTTGTGACCCCAGTGCTTGACGTCACCCCGGTCTCCCCAGCCTGAGCTACAACAACCCGCGCCGGCCGTCTCAACTTTCCCGCATTAGATCTCGAACCCAGAGCTCCTCTCCCCTTCGCCGGCAGCCCCAGAGACGGTGCTATGCAACAAGAAGATGCATGCCGGAGGGGCAATGAGGACGCAGCGAGGCTCTCTGAGGATGCCGCGGCGTGTTGCCTGGCGCAAGGGGAGAAGCAAGGCGAGATGCCGGCCGCGGCAGACAAGGAGGCCGCCATGAGGTGCAATGTGGTGAGTGGGAAGCTCAAATCAGCAAGGTCAGTTCTTGAGTGCGATCAGCCCTGCCACCTCGCGCTTCAGCCTGTCCAGGGTTCACAAATGCAGGCTCGCCTACGCCAGGCACAATCCGACTACTAGATCGAGGGCACTCTTGAATCTTTAACTTGGTCGGAGCGGGCGGTAAGGGCTATCCGATCATGGATCGGATCATCATGCAAGAGGCACAAAGCAGCCGAACTTTTCTCGGAACAACGGACGCGGACACCGTCCAATTTGACTAACCGGGCACTGATTCAAGACTACCGGGAACCTCACCAACACTAAAAACCTAAGAATATGCCTAAGCCGTTAGTATAAACCCTACTCGTAGTGCAGTCACAGTAAGGTGGCACGACCCTAACAAACCGTCACAGGCTTGCAACATAACCCTAATGTCACACGGGGCCCGGGTTGCCTGTCGGCGGTTCCAGGTCCGATCTGTAGCAAACTGGCGTCCGCAGCTTTTTTCCAAGAAAAGTTCGGCTGCTTTGTCCGTTTTGCATCATTGGGACTCATCATGGCATCTCCTTCCCATTCACCGCAGCCGCGGCGCAGGCTGAACTGTAGCGCGGCCTACTAAGCTGGATCGGAAGTACCGCGAGCTTCCTGAGCTGACTGGAGACAACGTATTCGGTGAGTTCCACGTGTTGTTGATCACGAAAATGTAGCACTGAGTACAAATTTGCATAAGGATAAGTGTGAATATGATGCTGCTAGACAAAATCTGAGCTAGTGGTGATAAACATACTTGGATCCAGGTCGATGGTAAACTTCCGGCTCCAAGTTGAAGAGTGACTCGAAGATCGACACTGCATCTCAATTATGCACTCATCCTCGTATTCCCTCATGATGTCCATGCTACTGGAGGGTCAAACGAAAGGGGTCGTGACACTGCTCGAGGCATGACCTCATTGCGATACAATTTTGTGCAAAGGCCGAAAAGATTGCGTACAATCCTGCAAAATCATGCGCTTGGCCACGGATAAGCGCATTTTAGGTCCGCTGATCCGAGAAGATCACCCCCCGCGATGAAGCGTCAATTCATCGCGCGGTAGAGGTATAGAACGTGAAAGTTATGGCTAAATCCCAGTTGCAGAATTGCCCTTGGTCATTACCAAGAGTTTGCTGCAGTCCTTACTATCAAAGTCCTCATCACAATCGACTCTTCATAACTCCTCAAACACTAGACGATGAGCGCCCACGTCCTCAGCAGCCCCCTATGCATCGGCGGTCAAAAAAGAGGTTGGTAGGCTAATCTGCAAGCGGCGCAAGCGAATCGAGTCAGCCCCAATCAACATGCCGCTCTGAACGAATGGCGGAGAGAAAGAGGCTCTCTCCCGCAAGAAGCTTTCGCAAGATGCAGTGCTGCAATTCCAGGGGGGTGGGGGGGGGGCTTGCTGGCAAAGCTCCTTCTGCAAATTCACCCGGCTGCGATCACCAATGAAACTGGCTGTCTTTCAAACGGCCTCTCGACAATGTTCCATGGTGTTCCGCTTACCTTCTCGCCGAGTCTAAACGCAGGCAGCCCCTTGTACGGACAACCGGAACACCGGAAGGCGTCACCTAGGCCGCACTGCAAGAAAGAGGCGTCATTCAAGATAGTGAGAAAAGTGAGGCGGTGGCCCAGGCAACCCGTTCAAAAACCTTCCCGTCTTTGTTTCCGCCTGAGTTCACTCGCATAGACAGTGAGATGAGGTTTGAAGAAACCCCGTCCTTGGCAGGAAATCACCACTCGTAAAACTCATAGATGACCGTAGATGGCATCCGCGCCATACCCAATCAAGCATGCAAACGCTAGATAACAGGTCGCCAAGCATGACGGCAGGGCGGATAAATTCAAAAAGGTGCTCACGCTTCCACATGCTGACTGCGGGTTCTCCAGCAGGTCGCTGGTCAGCACGGCCTTCACAGTTGTCTTGGGGTCCGCTTCCTCCATCTCGGCCCGCCCGCAGGTGCAATTCTTGCACGCCTTGCGCCCAGACGCCCCGCAGTCGTCAGCTGCATACAACCAAAAGATGTCAGGATCATGAGAAGCAAGGTTTTTATCACCCGCAGTCTGCCTGTAACAACAGCGAAGTTCAAATGACAAGAACTTGCGAAAGGTGCTCTAACTCTGGATCCGGAGGAGCTGAGGGCCGTCGTCTGAAACACTGAGAGTCTCGGTCTTTGATCAAGTCGGACGGGAACACGTTGAGATCTCGAGCAGAGGAGACGACCCAAAAAGATTCACAGGCCTTCTGCGCCTCAACTCAAGACCCCAGGGTTTAGACGCATGCCAGACCGTTTATGGACCGTTTGAATACGAGTTTCGTCTCGGATTCGTTCGGAGAGATGCCTTAGTCAGCAGGGACTTCTCTGCCAGAGGAGAGGCCCCTGAGCTGCGAGGACTCGCTAAACCCTGAATGGAAGAGCGGCAGTCCCACCTTTGCCTCCACCCTAGCAAGTACCGCTCAGCAACCTGAGCCCCAAATCCACCCTGAAAGTACCTCGTAAAACACAAAACTCCTCAAGGAAAGTCCGCAAGGGATAACAAGCAAAGACAGGTGAACTAAAAACTCGCGAGCGGTCACTCACTGACGGGGTTATTTGGCAGCGCCGGCCGCACCATGTCCTCCTCTGTCAGCAGCGCATCCTCGTCCACCAGCTCGGCATCGTCGTCATCCATCGTCATCTTCCACACACTGCTCTGCCCGCTCGTGCTCGGGACTGCGGGCGCAGGGGGCTGTGGGGCCATGATGACGTCATCCATGTCGGTGGCGGAGAGGCGCACGGGCGCTTTGGCGGCGCCGTTGGGTGCTGCAGAAGCGGCTACAGGGACGGAGGGAAAGGTTGGCGCGGGGAACTCGGAGACCAGATCGAGGAACAGGAAACCAAGTTGTCTATCCAACACAGACGAGAGCTCTGCCGACATAGTGATAAGCGAAGTAACTGAGAAGAGAGACTTTCCGGAGCCCGAGAATGCTTCTAAAAGCTGCTATGAAACGAAAACCATGAGCATAGCTATGGAATGGATATTGCAATTATGACCGACAAAACACGTTCTTTGCTGCCTGCGGCATGATGAAACCCCATCGTTGAGTCTGGACCTGAGCACACGGGCGGTTACAATTGCAATCCTCGATTGAATGTGGTCAGCCTCCCACAAGATAGACTGCGCACCTGACTTTGCGACCTTTTTCTTCAGGGCAAACGACGTCCCTGTGCTCCACTGAGGCTTCTGTACTTTCACCTGCACGGCGGCACACAGGTTATCAAGATAATGCTGCACAATACTCTTTCATTGACTATCCAGTGTAGAGGAAACAGGCGATTCCACGAGTTCGAAGAAGCTCTTTGACAAAGTAGCAACTCTGTCAAGGAACGTACTCCAACGACCATTCTTGTAAGGAACATACTCCCATGACCACTCTTGTTGAACTCACCGCAAAAGGCTGTACGAGAGGCCCTTGTATCGAACCTATGGACGCGGGTGTGATGCCAGTCCACTGCTTGGCCAGGCCCCCCTCTGGTAGCGCGGGGATGTTCTCCTTTGCTGAGAAGCCCGCCAGTAGGAGGAGCCTCTCAACGTCTGCCTGAGTTTGCAGCCTGGATACAAGCGCCCCCCCAAGCTTCTGCAACAAGGATGGGTCATCAAGAATTAGTCAGGGCCCGAAAGATTCTGCTCAACCCAATCCTGTTTTAAAGAAAAGTCCTAGAATGTGCCATTTCGATAAACATGATCATGGCCAGTAAGGTACTAACTGCAAAGCATGGTGATCTCCCCACTCGCCTAAAGTGAAGGTTTGGTTGGATTTGAAACAGGCTGGATTGCAAGCTTAAGCAGGAGTCAGCATGTGCTGACAGTAACAGTCTCCGTACTTGCCACCACTCCTTAATGAAGACCGGGAAGAATACCAACCGCAAAACAACACACGCTGCTCAGAAATCTGCAGTTCCAGGGGCTGACTTGTGAGTGACAGCACCCTTGACACCAGAACAACCGCGCTCAAACTGAAGAACCTGCTAGCATAGCAGCTCTTGTGCTTTCAGCCCCTAACTTTTCAACTTTGCGGGGTGGTGTTTAAGCACCTTTGCTTCATCCTGGGATGCTTTGCGGCGGGCCACCGGCTCTTGCAGCTGCAAGGTGCCCCCCGGCTGGAGCACCCTAGAGAGCTCCGCCAAGAAGGCGTCTGTGTGGTGGCCAGGAACATCCGAGAGGGACAGGACTGCGCCAAAGGAGGATGGCTCCGCATCCAAGGTACCTGAGAGAAAACCAGAGATGCTTTAAACGGACTTGTCAACCACCATCTCATGAGCCTAGCGGCATCTGAGATGAATACTCAGGCGATCGATGAAAGGGATCGCAGAAGTGACTTCAGAGTCAACAAGCTGGGGAACCAGGAGTGAGTTCATTCACAGACGCACATCAAGCAGGGTGTGTTGATGAGACAAATTGTGAGAACCTGGTGCACGAAATAAGAAACCCTAGGTGCGACCATGGATTCAAGGTGCGGCTTGCCACCACCCTAAGACAAGAAAGGCGGGAAACAAACCCTAATATGTCTTGCTGCTCACAATTGCAGGAAAGCTCACCTAGCTGTCCGGCTTGTGTCACCACATGGACGGCGCTGCCTAGACTGAACTGTGCCTGAAAATTGCCAATCACTGAGAACGGCAGACTTTGCGTGGTGGTCACAATCAGACCAGCTTTCGAAGGCGCCATTGCCCCTGGTTGTGCTCCCACAGTATGAAGTCCTTTGAATCAAAGACTCCACCACCTTGCAGTCCCGACTATGGCAACTGCTGCTGCACTTCAATGACAAAAGCTCACAGCAGATCTGTGTGATGGTGGGGTTCAAGCGCCAAGCGTGGGCTTCAGGGCTACTGCTTGCACAAGATGTGCGGGAGGAAGGTGATACAACTAGTAAGCTCCTCATCAAAGGAACACCAAGGAAGCGGGTTGCTGTGTTGGTTTAACATTCGGGTTAACCGGTTCCTACTAGCTTGTCTCATGCATGAAGCGCTGATGTGGATTCAAAGGGTTAGCGGACAGCCTTCGACTATCCTAACCCGAGCTCTCATACTCGTTGAAAATTTCGGGAAAGTTCTCTTTCCACGCTTGCTTTTCAAGAAGGGGGGATCGTGCGGGCGCCCTTCTGTGTGCTGACAGTGAGGGGGATTATAGGGGTCTGCAACGAGAAGGATGGGGAGCGGGGCTGTCGCAAGGGAGGACCGGGCTGTTAATGACCGGCGGGATAGAGAAAGAGATACCAAGCGGGCTCGAGAGAAGAGCCCGAGTCCGCCTTTCAGAGAAAGGGAGAGACGCCGGTCGCCACCTGGCAAGCGCAGGCGCGAGGATGAGCGCGATGGAGGTGGAAGGCGATCAGGGGGCAGGAGGTAAAGACGCGCAGGCTTCATGCTAGATGGCTACCTTGTTTTTGTGATCCAAGTCTCCGAGAATGGTACTCTTTGCCTAATCAAGTTCGAGCAGCCACGGCCAGGAAAGGGTCATGCTGCTGGCAAATGTCCCCATAGATAACTGGCTAAACAGCTGCAAAATCGTCAGTTGTTTACCATTCTGAGGAGCCGCTGGTTTTCAGAGGGCTAGTCATGCGTCCTTCGGTCCTAGTCGCGCGGTTTTCCAGCGGACATCTGGGGCATCCTGGTGCCAAGAAAGGGCAACGAAGGTGGAGGGCTGCATATGTGGCCAGCATGAGCAGGGCAGCAATCTGCCTCCCTGGAGGCCAACAACACGCTCAATGCAGCAAGAAACGTCAGAAGGCCTCCAATTATCGAGATCCCAGCATCGTTGGATTGTCGAGGTCGATCATATACCAAACATACAAGTCATCGCAGTCCTTCCTTTTCAAGGGCTCCCAGATATTGCCCGCCTTTCACCAGCTTCAAGTAATGAGCCGATTTTACCCCGCTTTCAATCGTCTAGTGAAATTGCAAGCTCCATTGGTAGCTACAACCACTGGTGAATCCCGCAGTGTGAAATCAATTCAAGTGATAGGAGGCCATTGAATCAAGTTACCCCTTCCTCTATGGAGCCATCTTCTCCATCCATCCGAATTCAATAGTAAGGTAGTATTGATGTAAGATTATTTAGCAGCAATCGTCAGAGTGGGAGGGAGCTGAAGGAAGGGTCCGACAGGTATCAGTAATTCCTCAAGCGTGCATCCTCTTAGCAAGCTGGTGGTATGCCAGTTTTTGTATGCTTTTATATGCTTTCGAAAGCTGTAATGCAAGTCTATCCTTTGATGAGCGCGGCAGGCTTAGATTGAAGGTAGGCAAGGTTTTGCCTGCATTCTAATGTGGATGATCCGTGCATTGACAGCAACGCTGACAAGTTCCGGTTTGAAGCCGCGCGAGGAGACTCCCCACCGCCACCTTTTGATGATGCTGGTAAAGTTCCATACCTGCTTCTATTACTGACAGCATATTTGGAAGGTGGTCTGTCGTGTGGGTCGTGCTGCATAAGATTGGTGAACGTGCTTCATAAGATTGGTGAACGTGCTTTCATTGATGGGCTTTGATCAGGTTCTTTCGACCCCTTGGGTCTGGATATGTTGCAGTTCTGCCAAGTAAAGGAGGAGTGGTGGTTCAATGATGCTACCGATGCCACCATGTGGATTGGAAAACTCTCAGACGGCATTCTTGTTTTCCCAGCCCTCCAAGTTCATTTTCATTTGTTGCAGGTCGCCGACCACGCAACGGGGCCGCAGACCCTGCTTTTGCAAGTGGCTGGGATATTCCACCAGGCAGAAGGTGCGAATGGATTTCCAGCATTTGGTATAACGAAAACAGACGTGCCCAAGATGTTTTTGGTATTACTTGTGTCCTCTGCTTAGTAAAGAAAGATTCACTCTGCTATGTGCACTGTGTTTGAAGTGCCTTCCTCGTGACAATGTTGCAACTTCGTTTAAGAAGTTATGCAAACCAATGAACTTGATGTCTCTTTTTGCTGTTGTGTTTCCAGACAAGAGGATGGGGAGGGACTTCAAAGCTACAAGCAGTTCTTACTCACGCTACCTGATGACATCAGTCCAGCCGAAGGAGAGCGAAGGTCAGTTCTTGGTACTTGCCGGTGGACACATCCTTTTGGAGCAATCTAATTTCATTGCTGACTGGTTTTGTTGACAAACGGAGTATCTATGTAATCTATCTGTTGAAGCACCTGCTTTTGCCCCCAATCAAAGGTGATTGGAGATTGAACACGATGCTTCGGGAAGGGTCGCCGTTTTTTTGATCCATTGCCGGCATGCATTAATGAGGCGCCAAGAATCTAGAGCGCCACTTCATGACCCTGCAGGTACGAAGAATACAAGACACAGTTTGTCCAAGCACGCAAACGGGAGTATTTTGAGCGGAACAAGAAACGGTCAGAGTAAGTACCCTTGTAACCCCTGCCAGCTTCACTGACCTTTGATGTCAAAGGCAATGCACGTTAGAGCCGCTGCACCAATTTTTCCTGATGTAAGGTCTCTTCTTGTGTGTGGTAAGTGAGTTAAACCTGTTTAGAAAAAAGATGCTCATGACTTTTCTGCCACAGCTGATCATCCATGGATTCAGTTAAGCAGCAGCGTCGATTCCAATTATAATCTGCTCGTGCCGCTATGAAGAAGTGACCCTATCGATGTTCTGTGCCCCGTGGCCTGTGCTCCTCTTGCACCGGAACTTTTCTATCTGATCCCTGTTGATTGTTCATGCAGGCTTCGCGAGAAGTATGACCCTGTGAAGCTCGAAGAAATTTGGCAGCGGTGAGGCAGCCAGCTTGTTCCCATTCCCGTTCTCGCAAAGAGAGCAGGCATTGACTCAAGTTGACTGGTCTGCATATTGTGAAGGGCCAGAAGTAAGAGTGTTGTGGTAAAACTGTGGCATCGATACATTTTGATGGTGACGTTGGCATGCGCTCATCTGGCATCCATTTGCTTGGTCTCCTTTGCCTGGGGGTGCCTGGTCCATCCACTGCACCGTTCTCAAAGTGAACTTTTGGCTTCAGAGTTTTTCCGAGTACGTTTTCTCGAAGCTTCAGCGATTTGGGGGGGTTCTAGGAAGATTCGTTTTGCAATTTGTGCATCAGATGTGTTGCGTTCTGAATGCAGGAAGTTGGAAAAGGCGCAGGCGGCAGCAGCTACCTTTGCAAAGGATCTGGATGAGGGCAAGCTACGCACGTAAGTTCCAATGGCATTTCAAGTCTTCCGTTCTTAGGATTCAGAGTAAGGTTATCATATGCAACATATGCTGATGAAGGAAGGCAATTTGCAGGCTGGTTGGATAGGTCTCTGGTTTTTGTCCCTTCGCTGGTTATGCTTAACTTGGAGTGAAACCTTCGTGGTTCTGCAGGGGTCCGCTGGATGGAGACGATGACAGGCGTCGTGATGACAAGGTCCCTGCAATTGCGTCAGACCCCCAAAGGATACAGCAGGACATCAAGCAGTGCACGGCGCTCATCAAGAAGCTTGTGAGTTGTTCCATTCGCGAACACCATCTTCTCCTGCGCTCAAAACCGCTTCAAAGCAAGCGCATGCCTTTCGTCCTGAAATTTTTAAGTTGTGATTCTTGCTAGCAGTTGCGACCCAGCTTTTATTTCGTGCACATTGCTCCTGGAAAGGCCAAGGCGACGTAAAAGCCATGCGTTACATTCCCAGCGGTCAACCAGTTTCTCATCACCTTCTCGGACGCTCTTGCAGGACGCTGAAAAGAACATCCCGGAAAACAAGCTGATTGCGTCTGTTGAAGCGTCAGAAACCGGTGCCGGGGCCGCAGATTTTAGCCTGGACGGGGACAAGCTGCTGGATGCGCTGCTCACGTACCTGTGGCTGGTCCATTTTGTGGACTACTATGGGGGGCTAGAGGCCAGGTCGGGGCGCGGGGACCGTCACCATCGGAGTGCCCCCGTCAGCGAGGTAGCGGCCACGCCAGAGGGGACCGCTTGGGAACAGAAGGTTGGTCTCTGCTCGTGCATCTGCCTTTCCTGGGGCAAGTCCAATTCTCTTCCGACGTTCGCATGAAGGGTTTTGATCACAGCGTGCCGGTTTCTCGAGGTGGCTCGGCAGCTTGATTTCAATCAATCCAGGCTTAGTTGGATGATTTACATGTTCCATGATTCGATCCATCGAAGCAGTTGCAATGACCGGGAAGGTGGGTCGTCTTCGAGCGAGCTGTCAAGTCTGACGCGGCGAGTCACTAACGGCTAATGGCACTGCTTGCAGATCGACGCCGTTTGGCAAGCGAGACTGAAAACGGGGGATCCGATCGAAGCTCTGCTTGGTGCGGATAAGGTGAGGGACAGTAGGGCAGTCCTTTTGACCACCTTCATTGCACCTTTCATTGCTGATGTAAGGCCTTGCCAATGAAGGATTGGGCCTGAACGCCGTTTGTCCGGGTAACGCGTTCACCAGAGTTTATCAGATTCTAGTCGACGGCGCTCACTCGCGGCTATGCAAATAGCGTCTATCCTTCCTCTTTGACTTGAAGAAATCTGCACTTCTCTGAGGATGGATTTTCTTCCAAGAATGTTTCGTGCTTGAACGCAACCTGCGAGCAGACAGTGTTGGGGGTAGTCTGACGTGGCGAGCGTCGTCATGGTCTTCTGCAGGTCCAAGCGGCCATTGACAAGGGCCTGGATGGGTACACCAAGAAGACCCAGGATGCCAAGTACGGCTGGAAATATGGTTGCGGAGCGCAGGGCTGTACCAAGGTGAGGCTGTGATAGCAAGCCCATGCTGGAGAAAGAACGTGTCACTGTCGACTTCGAATTCTGTGGGGAACTTGTGTCATGCAAGTGACCAATTGCGATCTTCAAGGCTACATAGTTTCCGTTCTTTTTCAGTTTACGCCTAGAGCTCTGGTCTTCTAGTTCCTCTTGTGCCTTCTCGGCGGCAAAGAAGCCGGGATTAGACGATTGCCATTTATTGTGCTTTGTTTCCAACCCAACCCGACGCTACCCAGTTTGTGCTCTGACGTGAACGTGATGTGCGGGTTATATTTCCTCTGTGCTCTAAAGCAAACGCTCTGCTTTGCAGCTGTTCCACGGCCCCGACTTCGTCCTGAAGCATCTTAAGGCCAAGCACCCGAGCTTAGTCGAGCCGCTCAAGGAGCGGGCACTGAACGACGTCTATTTTGCAAACTACCTCAAGTGAGCGCTCCCGTCAGACGATGCTGATTGCTTCATGGCTTTCGTCAAATGAACGGATAGTCGCTCTTTGATTCCGTATCAGACAGCTGATCAATGAAATATCACAAAGTTGCAAGGGAATGGAAACGTTGATTGTCGAAAGGTGGCGGAGTCAACTCTACTCTCGCTTCGAATTTTACTCTTTCAGGGACATGGATTTAGTTGGAATCGAGCGTGTGCATCTGAGATAATTACCAACCACTAATTAATTCTGGATATGAGGTCTCAGATCATGTCATTTGTTTTTGCAGTGATCCGAACTCCCCCGTCAACCTTGGTCCTCCACCCTCGAAAGGAAACCAGGTAAGCCGCGGCATGATGCTTCTGTGGCTCTTTGAAATGGTAGGCTGTATCAGGCTGTCAGGTGAATGAACCACCCTCACAAAGATTCCACAAACTGGTCTCCTGGGCGCTCGTTGGAGCAACGAACGTGCACCTCTCTTCTCAAGACTCGACTAGAAACTCTGCACAAGTCAGCAACGCTCTTTTTCGGAAACACACGCTTTTTCGGCTTTGGCGATTTTTGTCTACGTTTTGTGGACGATGGGGATATAGCGGCAAGAGCTCGCCCAGAACAAAGAGATCCGTGGCTGCTTTTGATCAAATCGGCCCAGCAAATAGAAGGGGACGGTCAATACATCTGTATGAAGCGCCTCACGTCGTCTCTCTTCTCCAGCCTCCCCCCCGCGACCGTGGCCCTTTCCGCCGCGACGAGCCGCCTCGGCGACCCATGCGCGAGCGGCTGGGCCCGGGGATCGCCGACGAGCGGGACCTGCCCCCCCAGAGCCGGGAGCTGCTCGAGCGCGACCTCCCGCCCCCTCCCCCGGCCACGGGGGTCCGGGGCCGGGGCCGGGGTCGGGCCGTCCCCCTCGCCCGGGGCTTTACCCCCCCTCGGGCGCCGCCCTTCCGGGGACCGGGGATGGAGGGCCCTCCGTTCGACGACCGTCCGATAGTGCCATTCGACGACCCGCGGGACATGATGGACGGACGGCCGGGCAAACCGCCGGGAGATGGTGAGCTGCCCAGGCCTTTCTGTGGGAATCTGCTGCAGGGTTTTGGGTCTTTTTTGCCATTCATTGTTTCTGGCTAAGAGATTCGATTGTTTCTGACCTCCTCATTGTAAGTCTTTCTCTCGAGAATCTTTTCTATTTCGCTGCCTCTTGTCGGGAATGTGTTGCGCTCTTTTCCAGATGCTGATTCTTCTGCTGGGTGCTTTTGCGCAGGCTATCTTCCCCGGGAGCGGATGCCCGTGCCCATGTACGACGACGAGTTTGGCCCCGGGCGGCCAGTCGACTTCGACGGGCCCATGTTCGACGACCCGTTTCCGCGCGGCCCTGGGGGCCCGGGTTTCGCACCCATGCCGCAAGTGCTCATACCAGTGCCCGGAGCAGGGTAAGGGACGCACGCTGGTGCCCGTCTTTCTTTTCTAGGTGCTTTGGATGAGCGGGCGGCTGTACTTGTGAATTGTTGGCAAGCGGCCGCCCTTCCGCCTTGCAAGAATGATGGCTTCGCTTCCAATCGGTTTGCGATAGGGTCAACAGGTTTGAGCTGAAGCCGCTTTTGTCGGGTTTTCGGAGCGGCCTTTGATCATTTCGCAAAAGCGTCTAGCCACGGTTCCAAAGTCGCGCTTCTCATTTTACCAGCGCTTTGAATATTCGAACAACGTTTTCTCCTCTTTCACAACGTCAAGGAACGAAGTATTCCTATCGCTGCAGCCCTCTCGGTCCTTTCGTCCCCGCGCCCCCAGACGTCGCCCGCCGCATCCTGGCTCAGCGCGAGGCAGGCGGCATCCCGCTCGGCCCGGGCCCGGTCATCGCCAACCAGGATTTCGACGACGGGTTCATCCCCGAAATGCCCCCTCCCCGAGGTCCCCCCCTGGCGGATCGACTGGGGCCTTTGCCCCCCGAACGGGGCCCGATCGAACCGCGGGGCCCCCCTGAGCAGTTGGGCCCGCCGGAGGGTAGAGGCCCACCCCCTGACAGGAATCTGGCGGCGAGACTGGGACCGGTGCGGGAGGATATGTCTCCGGAGGAGATGGGCAGGCAGGAGGGGCGCGGTCGGGGTAGAGGGGGCTTCAGGGGGAGGGGCAGGGGTGGGTTCATGCGGGGAGGGTTCATGCCCATGATGCCGCCGCCGCCAAACATGAGGCAGGACCCGCGGGGAGTGAGAGAGTGAGTCGTTCAGCTCATTCTTTCAATTTGCGTGCTCGTCAAAATTTTACAGGAAGGTATTTGGGGTATTTCGACATTACGATTGCCTGGGATATGCAAAACACGCATGCTTGAGAAAACTGCTCTAAGGGCAGGATTGTCGTGAGGCTTATTGAGCTGGTGGTTGTGCAGGTACGTGGATTTGGATGCACCAAGTGACGAGGTCCCAGTGCTTGACTACCGCAGTCTCTGAGCGGAGTCCCTGAGTGTCGTTGGTGACGCTGTCTACTCTGCAGCGTTTGTAAGCGCGGAGACCCTTTGACTTCACCTTCAGTCAGCATAATTCTTACAATTTACTCAAAGCAATCTCTCGAAGTTTATGCTTGAATACCCAGGTGCTGCTGGCGTTTTCGAAGCAATGTTCTGTCGCGTCCTTCCCTGTGCTATCCAGCGCACATCCAGGTTGCAATTGTGCCATCCCCAAATATATGGCTGTATTGTCAGCACGCCATGAGTGCACCCGCGTTTATGGTGCTGCTCTTTCCAGAAAAAAGTATGCTTCATACGGATGTCGTCTGAATGTATCTAATCAAGCAAGGGTGGACGATATCTCTAGCTCTAAAGTATGCCCGCCGCATACTTATGTTGCCAGGACGTAACTACATCAGATCCATGGTGCATGGACGAGATGATATAAACTACAGAGCTTCATGGCGGCATGGTCCTACAAGCTGTCTGATGCATGATAGCTTGTGGAGACTACCCGGCCGCTCGAGTGATTATCTGATTGCTCACACCACACCTCGCGAAGCATACTGCCATGATATGCACACGTATCGTTAAATGACGATCGGACATGTGCGCTGCTCTCATTCCAGCTGTCTTAGTATAAGAGGAGTAACCGTTGCGCATGCCAGCAAAATCAATTGTCATCATGGAGGTTCATGATGCAAGATTAATCTTTACGACCACCCCGCGGCATAGAGACAATTGGGGCTAAGAGTTGCAAGTCATAGGATTGTCAAATCAGTAAATTTTCAGCGGCGCTCAAACTGAGCGCTGTCTTTCGGTCCACTGCTAATCGCCAGGGTCTGAACAGGTGCCTAAACATCTTGCAAGCGTAGTGTCTGAACGGTTTTCGATTTGATGATCTAAGAAACACCAAAGAGGTGTTTCAAGGGGGCTGTCACGAAAAGAACAAGTCTCCCTGTACTCAAAAGGGCAGTGCCAGGCTCTTTGCATCAAACGTCTGACTTTTTGACCGTACGTTTTCGGTGCATGTTGGATTTGATGTGGGTCTGTCCAAGCGATTGAGCTTGAAACAAAAGCAAAAGTGTGACTCACAAGGATAAACAGACATTCCCGGAGGGAAGGTCAAAGCAGAGCAGTAAAAGGAAAGGCAAGCGTCAAGTTCTCCAGCGTGTTGATTCCAGGAAAGTTTCCAGGAAGTTCTACCCGTGACAGAACGGATTGAGGCGTGTCTGGCAAAAGTGGCAAGATCGACAATGTCCAAGTGTCCAAGCTGTAAAGATCATTTGACAGGAATACTTGTCAAGGAACAAAAGAGAGAAAAATTAGAGTAGTTCAGCCAGACTTTGAGGTACAGAAATAAGCGGGGCAACAAATATGATAGACATTGAAGTGTCCTAAACAAGGGTAAGTCTGCAACCAACTTGCTGCTGTGGCGTCGCGCATCTGAACCTGGTTGCAGCTCAACTCTAAACAAGAACAAACTGCTGTTCCACCTAAAAGACACCAGAAACGCAATCCTGACTGCAAAGGGTGCCCCTGGCATTGCAGGACAGCAGATGCAGGAATCACAACTCAGCACCTCGTCGATTGAGCTACGAATAGCACCAAGGCAATTCTCCCAGCTTGACACGTACCAGTGTCAGCTTCTGATGAAAAGATTGCTTCAAAGAAACCGAGAATGAAAAGAAGCAGGCGCCAAGAAGATCCAACCGACGAGAAAAGACTTACTTCGGCCCATCAGCTGCTTGTGCTAGGTTCTCATCCGGACAGAGCGGTGGAGCCCCTAAATGGAGGCTTCGACACAGCGCTCTCAGATCTCCGTTCTAGCTCATCATCAGGCCGACAACTCTGAAACAGAACTGGCAAATCAGGTAGCGGGGGCGGCGCCGGCTGCAGGGGGCAATTCAGATTGAAAACTATGTGCCGACATGCTGAGACACCAGGGGTGCCACAGTCTGGGAAGCTTTTGTCCACATGCGCCACTCCGTGCAAAGCGCCACCAACCTGCTTCCTGCAATGAATCTGTAAAAACACACACGCACACACAAAATTACAGAGCAGGTAGCGAGCAGCTTTGACCTTTTTAAGGGGGCTCATTGAAAAGCATTATCGCTCGGTAATGGTGAACTCATGTGTTGAGAATACAGCGGCTGCTGCCCGTGGTTTCCAACTTGAAGGGCAACTACTTCTAATCAAATGCCTGAACGAATTCCTGCCCCCCTACCAACTTGCCCTCGCGCGCGCATACTTATGTACGAAGCGTCACATTAATAGGAGCACAGGAGTTGCTGCAACTTGCAAGCGCCATGTGACAATGGCGCCGCTCATCAGAAAAGTCATTGCGGATTGTTTGCACCTCTGGTGACAGTGACACGTCAATAACCATGTTGAGACAGGTGCAGCAATCCGCCTCATGGCACCACAGCGCCGCCGTGCAACAGCAGTGGGCGGTTGCACTTTCGAGCAGCGGGGCGCTTCGAAGCGGTTGCGGCATCGCGCGGTTGCGAGCGGTGAGCAATCCTGCCCTCATGCTGATCTCAGTTGAAGATGCAGGCTTCAATGCCTTTTCCCACACAGATCTAAGTAGCGTCAGCAATGTTCATCATGCATGCACCTTAAGCAGCAAAAACCGGTTGTTGTCTTTGGCGGCTCCCCTGCAACCATGGCGGACAACTGGTTCTCAATCAAGAAGCAATCAGCACGCCTGCTCCACATCTGACAGGTGGCGCTCAGCATTGGCCTGGACCAATGGCCCCCCGTCTCCGGCCACTCCTTTTGCTCGTCGGCGCCCCCCCCTTCTGCACCACCCTCAGCATCACCCCCAGAAAGCGCGGCTGCTCCCCCAGCAGATGCAGGAAAGTCCACCTCCCCAAAAGATTGGCCCATCATCAGGCGCTTTGCAGTTGAGTCGGCTGTCAAGAGCTACGGCGCCAGCACGCTTGCGGACGACATATTTGTCCTACACGGACCACGCGGTGTGGGGAAACGGACGGCCGTCAAAGGTGGGGGACACGAGTTCAACTGCCACCACTTTTTTGTTTCATAGGAGTGAGAGAGCTTGACTCTCGGAATCCAGCTCATGAGAACTGCAAGTTGTTGGGCCGCCTCTTGAGGCTTTTGGGTTCTTTGGCTGTTGGGCAGCCAAAGGTCGCCGCACAGTTTCACTGCTGTTCAGCGCGGCAGTCCTTCGGTCAGGGTGGTTCCTTCAAGGTGGCTTTTCTGGGATTCATATGTCAGTTCAGCCTGACCAAAGATGTTAGAAAGGTTTGTCATGTCTGCATCTCATCGGTGGTGTTCAGGGAGACCATATTTGTTGTTGCCTCCTGGTCACACTCAGGTAATTCAAATCAGAAAATGAATTGCCCTTATTCTGTGATACTTCCGTTCTGCGGCATGCGCCCCTGTCCCTTTTCATTGTCTGCACCCGATAAGGTCAAGGTATTTCAGGGCCTTTTCCCATGGCTGTACTTCTGACTCCTGAAAAGCATCGGTGAACATTGCGGGTTTTCCCCAAGTTACGACCTTCGTTTCGCTCATCGTAGAATTCTAGCAACAACCAGTCCCTCAAAAGCTTTCGTGACCCGAAACTGCCTTCTCAAAGCAGAGTATTCGTTCCTTGCAGCGGTGTTGAAGGACTGGGCCAGTCCTCCACATGCAGTTGCGCATGTTGACCTCTACGCTGCACTCCTTACCCCCCGCTCGGACGCTAGCCCTTCTCCCCCCTGGCTCAACCGACTTTACCCGGAAGCCGCGTCGAGCCCCTCCAACGAGAGCAGTGCCTCAAGAGCAGGACTGGCGCACCTGTCAAGCAGTTCTTCGCAGACAGAGGAACCCCGTAGCAAAGAGCACGCCGTCGACGGAGCGTCGATGTCCCCGGACTCCGAAAGCTTCCCGGGTCCTGCCGTTTTTCAGCCCCGATATCAGAGAGCTCTCCGCACCAATCTTGAGCTCGGGCTTCTTTCCGTTGTGAAGGAAGGAATCCGGCGGAACAAGATCAAGATGGAAGACATCTTCTGGGCGCTCACGTGGAGGCGCCACGTGGACGCCGCCCTCGAACGCCACCTTTCAGACGGCAGCGTCCGCTCCCCCGACAGCTCTATGAGCTTCCGGCGGCTCAAGAGCGTTGCGGGGCCAGCTTATGCTGAGTTAGCGAGCACTTATGAGATCTTCGAAGTGACGGACCCGGACAAAAAGGACGCATCAGACAGCGGACCGGAGTTGGTGGTCAAAAAGTTGCAGTTCCGGAGGGAACCGGACCCAAACACAGGGCGGTTATGGTTAGAAGCTCTGGTTAACGTCCCCGCCGTGGCAAAGAAACAGTACCACGAGCCGAACCAAATCGGGCTGGCGCTGAATGCGCTTCATTTGGCGCGTCAAGTACTAGAGGTGCAAGAGGAGTGGCGGAGCCAGGGGCCGGGGCGGGGGGCGGCGGACGCGGCAACCGCATGGAGCGTGTTAATGATAGATCTGCTGTCAGCGGCTGCGGAGGCGGGGACATTTGAGCCCAAACTAGTTATTCACGGGATCGAGTTGCTGCGGCAGGCGCCGGGGCTCGGGCACAGCCGCCGGAAACGGTTACGCCACGTGGTGTCCGGCGCGCAATTCCACGACCAGTTAATCTTGCAGTTGACGGAGCGCGCCAAAACGCTGCCCGTTATACTGACCACTTCCGACGGGCACTATTCGAATGACTTCGACACCGAGCAGAAGTTCCTCGAAGCCCGGGTGAAGCCCTCCGAGTACTTTGGCTGGACGGCAGTAGAGGCCTCGGTGCACTTGGTGCCCCGGTTGGTTTCCCCCGCGCAGTGGGCCCGGTTGAACGACGCGGTGGGCCTGAACGCGCGCCACTTGGCGGAGTTCCATTCGCTGTGGGCCGAGCGTGCGGCGGGGCTGACGTCAGCGGTGAGGGACTCATCCGATGAGGGGTCGCATTTTGACAGGACCGTGGTCGAGTACCTGGACGAACTAGAGCGGGAGAGTTTCAGACCGGCGATGCGGGACGTGGTGCGCAGAGTTGCGGAAAAGGGGCGGGAGGCGTGGACGGCGCGGCGCAGCTGGGCCCGGGGGCTTATTCGGCGATGGGACGACGTGCGATGGGTCCGCTGGGCGACGCTCCAAGTTCTCGACTTCCTCCGGGCGCTGCAGCGAGCGCGTTATGGGGTGAGCCATGTTTTCCTTTTGATACTCTTCGTTCTTCTTTCTTACGAGAGTTACCTTTTGCTTGATCGTCTTTCGCTCCACCCGGCTTTTTCGTTGAATCTCTTCTTTTTCTACCTCGCTTCTTGACGCGTCTGTTCCTTTGGGCCGAGGGGCCCGTTCCAGAAAGCTTAAATCTCAACATAAAGAAGTGGGTCTCAAGATTTCAATAATTATTTTAGAGTTGTAAAGTGGATCCCAGAGATTCAGCTCCAAATCGTGAGTACCCTTCAAAAGCATTCAAGCGATGAAGCCTACGCCTGCTTCACTTCGAATGTGGTGGCGAACCAGATGGTCTCTTGGCAGGTTCAAGTCTTTTAATCATGGAGATATTCTCGTTCAAGGTAGGTCTTGATTGCTCGTGCGAGTTTTCGTTGGAGATTTCTTCAGGGGAGATTGCAGCCAGACAGTGGACGACCTTCCTAGCATGAGGCGAGATCCAGAAATCAGCCGCTGTCGCTTCACCACTTTTTCGAGCTCTTTCAGACTAACGGGGGCCCTGTCACCGCGGTCTGCTTCGATACGCTGTCTGCTCCGGTCGGTCTCTCTTTAGAAAGGTCGGAAGGACGGTTTACCGAGCCGGTTTGGATGGCCTGTTTTTGTTGCTCTGCTTAAACTGAACACGGCGTCTGATCCGGTCAGCAAAAACGAATCCGCATAATAGCGACTAAGGAAGCTATATCACCCATCTCCAGGTGAACTACGTCAATTTGGCCGCGAGCGAGTTCCTCGAGGACGAAGTAGCGCGCGCTCTGATGTCAGCGGGCGTCCTCTACCAGCAGAGGGATCCCCCTTACATCCGTCCGGTCACCAAGGCCTTCCAGGGGCTCATGGAGGCCTGGTTACGAGACGAATTGGTGAAACTGTCGTTGCAGGACAAAGTTGCATATGCGGGGCTCAGGCTCATGAACGGGCGGTATTATCGGCACCTCGTGAAGCCGAGTCTGGGGCCCAAGGACTTTGTGATGGGAGACTACCGGTATGTTTGAGGAAGACCGCCCAAAAGAGGGCTGTTTCCCGAGAAAACCTTGTTGGGCAGGCAAACTCAGCCCTGATTAGTACCTGATGAGGTCTTGATGTTATCAGACGATTCGAAGATGATTTGTGACACTGAAGCAACGATAGCATAAGCAGTCACTCCTCTTTCTCGTTTCCAGATCAACTTCACATATTGCCGTACGACGTATGGCAAGGTACGAATGCCCCATGACACCATATCTGGGTTATGAAATAACGTTTGCAGGGGCAAGCTCAAAGGGTGCAGCGGCATGTGCTAAGTTTAAAGTCAGAAGCAATCAACACATTCAATCAATCATGTGCTGCAAGCTCATGTGCGACCAAGCATGCTCCAATCTGCTCTGATCCTCTAAGAGAATCGAATGAGACTCGACAATGGTCGCTTCTCTTAAGCAAGCCATGATCGGATCAGTGCGGCACGTACACACAAGACGTTAAGAAGAGGTCAAGATGAGCATATGTGGACTCGAACATGTCCGATCAGTGTGGATTCGAAGAATCAGGCAAATCATGGGAATCATGGAAGATCTATACGCATGCCACAGCACAAGATCGGATTGTTGTGTCTCCTGCAAAAAAAAGTATTAACCATCGACGCAACACCATTTGTCGATCTTCAATCGTGATGTGGTGAGAACCAAGACCGGCCTCTTTTCGGAATTTGATGCGCTGTCGGATCTTAATTTGCGTCGAGTCAAGCTATACTGTTCCCCTACTGTTCAATCTCGTCGAGCTTTGAAGTTGGCGGCCTGCTTCTCAATATCTAATTATCGGTATACGGTATCTGCTTCATCCAAAGTTGATGGATGGCTCCGTCCGTCCATTCCTTCTAGAGGCTAGAAAGCTCTGAACGATAGAGCGTGAGCCTGTCGATGTTTGTGAGCCCGTTAAAGCTTCAGTGCTCACTGCTAAGCCGTCGATAGATTTGAAGGCCGCAATTTCATTCATATCTGACGGCTCAAGATAGTCGGAAGTAGAACAACAGATCGACGGGGAGAAATTAGGGTTCCAAGCTCAATCGATCAAGAGACGTACAGCCAGAGCTAGGAAGCCTGAACCTTGAGCGCTATTATTGTGCATGCCGGTCTGCGCTTGTGGGACTGCATCTTGACAGGAATACGTTTCCTCCATCTTGACCTTGGACCCAGGTTGCTACATATTGCAGGACAGCCCTGAAAGTAAGTGCAGGCGCAATGTCCTCGTGCTGTAGACGGGCAGCTATCCCTCTTCTTCTCCTGGTTGTGCTGTACTTGAGTGCAGGAGCCCTGAGCAAACCGACTATCAACTCGTTCGATTCCAAGGTAAGTGCAGTGGTGAAAGCAAACCAGCTTGACCGGCAAGCTCTAGAGCTGATTGCAATGTTGTTTGACGCCTCAGTTGTGCCTGTGCCAGTATAATCTACTGCCTCAATACCTTTCAGAACCCCCGTTTCACGCACTCTCTCATCAAAGCTTAAAGGCGACTGCTCATAATGCTTGTTATTGCCCTAGAAGGCTGTAATTTCCTCTGGATTTGCCAGAATCAACTTAGTGAGAAAAGACTCTGCCTTTGATCCTGCAGCTCCAGAGCGTGGTGAATCAGGGCCAAACAGAAGGTGAGCGTGATTCGAACTCAACACCTGCACTAGAGAGCGTTTTTGCTTGTCAACACCCTTGAAACCAGCAGCATCGTCACGCTTCTTAGGGAAGCGTGCCTACATCGGGGCTTGTTTGGCTTGGGATTGGCAGAATGCGAGCTGCCCCCGCTCACTCAGTCTACGAACTGTTCATACTGCGCCCAAAATTTTAGTGAGCCAGCCCCTGAGCTGTTTATCAAGCTCACAATCAGCAGGATATCTGTTGCTTTCGGTGTTTTATTCTTCGATGCTCGTAGGTCCTATCAGGGACCCATGAACATACAAAGTGTTGTAGGCTTGCAAGTCGAATTCAGCAAAGAAGGACGCTACAACGGCGTCGATGATGTCTCATTTGAAGTTGCCCTGACGTGGTCTGAAAGTAGTCTCGTTCTTTTGCAATCTCTCTTCAGGTGCCATTCAACAGGGGGAACCAATGTCAAAGACCTCCTGGCCGGAGCTTATGGGAGCCACTGGGTTGCAGGCTAAAAGCGTTATTGAAACAGAGTCTCCTAACAAGCTGTCTATCTTCATTGTGCCTGAGGATGCCATTGTCACCATGGATTACAATCCTCTGCGTGTGCGCATCTATGTAAACAAGGAAGCCAAAGTTGTAAGGCCGCCAATGGTGGGATAGAATTGATCAAAGCGGAATAGTATGCCATGGAGATGCTCCAGAGCTGACTCAGCTCAAAAATGTTCTATGTCATTGACTGTCAGCAACCAGGGTTTGAACATTGAACGCAGGTTATAAGATGCAACCTTCGATAGCATGATAACTGGTTATGTATTTGAGACTTGATATGTAGTACTTACCAGCAGGACTCTTCCGCAGAATGACCAGAATCGTTGATGGGTTCCGAGTTTCCGCTGAATTAATGCATGCCCAATGATTCGTTGTTATAGGCGCGATCGTTGATCTCAATGGCAATTTGACAGAATATCTAGATCATCTGCAGTAGATCTAGCCGTGTAATTGTTGCTGTGGCATACAGCTCTCTCTTTTCATACATAAACGTACAATCAAATCCACTTATTTGAATGATTATGGCGTGTTTGAAGAAACTGAGACCATCATTGTATAGCGAAGTGGTTACATATCCATGCCAAGTTGAGCAGTGCGCGCGTACGCATTGCATTATAAGACCACATTTGAACACCCTTTCATCATTCGTGCACTGATGACAGGCGTGTCCGTATGATGCCGCCTGTATACAAGGTGTAGGTTGATCGAAGGCGCCTTGACATGCAGCATGTATGATTGAGTCACTTCTGCCATGTGGTAAGGTCAGGTCAAGCTCCATACCAGGACATCTCAGGAATAAGTTGGAGCATGAGGGGTGACGGTTAGAATAGTGTTTCACAGATCTGTAGCTAGCTTTCGAACTTTTTCAGATCACCCTCAATCGAATCGACTTTGCCTTATCCCTGCGCCACACGTGGATTGGGCGCGTGAAGTAGAAAACTGCTACATCTAAGAAATCTCATCGTCTTTGCAATGTCAAATTTAGCTTTAAGCTCAACTTATGCAGGCCTCGAAGACTCTCCCCTCACCGCCGAAGGGCCTATCAACAAGCGATCAATCATTCGAACCAGCTATGTGGCTGCCCTACTGCTCAAGTTACATCCACGTCCTACGCAGACAATGTGTCTGACTATTACAGCGGCTTAAATATTATTTACAGCTTTCCAGACAATGTGTCTGCCTCATCGCCCCACACATCAAACGCAGACTACGTTTTGACCCACCACACACAGCTTTGGCTGCTCCTATGTCAAGCGCGTGCCTTTTTGACCTCGCAAATCTATTGATCCTGGACTCAACGAAAGTTTTTGTTTATGCGGCTGATCTCGTCCTCTTATTTTATAGGGCAAGCTTCTCACAATCAGGGGCTCCGAAGGAGGGGAGTTCAGTGGCGCAGGAGATGGCACCACGTGGCCACATCCAGCGCGGCCACGTGTCCGATCCAGCTGAGTGGCGGCTCCACTGCTGTGATCCACGACTGAGCCAGGTTTTGCTCTGCGGACGCTGCCGTCCGAAGGCCCTCGTTTGCGAAGTCCGTAATCTGTACACTTCCCGAAGTAAGAACCGCTCCCAGCGCTTCTGCCTTGTCCACGAAAGACTTGGCCAGCGTTCCTCCTGCGTGGATGGCCGCATCAGCGGTCCCGACTAGGTGCGAGGAGGGCGCTTCGACGCCGGGGTGGATCGGATAGGCGTGAGAAGCTTCGGCGGTGCGGTGCGCGAGCGCAGCAGCATCTGGAACGGGGTTCAAGGTTGACACCGCCGTGGAGGGGTTGTTTTGACTGCCGTTGAGCTCCTCCGAGTTAGGCCCCGTAAGCCCTCCGATCAGGCTACCGCTCCACGACTCGAGCGACGACTTGGCCGCCGCGAGGCGGAGCTTCGTCTCAGCCATGACGCGCTGCGCCTCCGCCGCGTAGAACGGCAGCTTGAGCTGCGTCGAGAGAAGCGCGGCGGGGAGCGCCTCCGAGTTCGCCTTCGGGGCGGCCAGCTCCAGCTTGGGCAAAAAGGCCATGCCTGTCTCGGCCGCCTCCAAACCCTCCAAACCCCGGACGGCGCCGAACGCGGCCGCGGCTCCGCGGAACGCCTGGCCGCCGACGGCGAGGCTGACCAGGAGGGCGGCCCCCAGGGTGGTGGCGTTGCCCGGCGGCTCGCCGCGAACGAGGAAGGAGAGAAAAGCGCCCCAGACGGGGATGGTGGTGTAGATGAGCGTCGCGGTGGAGGCGTGCACGTGGCGCAGGCCCTTGAGCTCCGCCCACTGGCAGAGGCCTGGACAAGGACGGAACGGGCGGAAAGGAGCGTCAGGAACAGTAACGGATGAGCCATTATACAAGTCTTTTGACCACGCTCAAGCTGTAGAACGAGCTATTTTCCCACGTACTTAGACTTGGCGCGCAGGAGCAGACCAGCATCGAGCGTTGTGTACAGTCAAGAAACTTGTGGAAATTTCGCTTCTTCGTTGCAGAGGGGTCCGCCGAGCGAGCAGCCATGGTGTCAGAGCACGCCGAAACGATCAGAAGCCTACAAAGTACGTATTTGAAACAGAATCATAAGAACAGAAAGTACATTTTCTCCTCGAGGCAAGCTCAGAGTATGCGAAGAATCTTTCACGTGGCTCACCAGCACAGACGAGGCCGCTGTACAAGAGCAGCCCCCAAGGAAGGTCCTCCAGCTGACCTTGTAGGGCGTCGAGGTGCGTACCGCCGCTGATCAGGGTGAAGGCCTCCCAACCGGCGGAGAGGAGGGTCAGAACGCCCAGCTGAGAGCGAACGCAAATTGGGGTCAGCAAGTCATGACCTTTGAAAGCGAAAAGAAGGCAACGGCTGGCACGAAGTTTTCAGTCAGGTAGAACGGACGTACAGCATTCCTGCAAAGCTCGGAACGGGGGAGGAAAAGGAAGAAGCGAAACAGAATCTACAACATCAGAAAGGAAGTGCAAGAAGACGTAAAGCTTGCTTGATTAGAGCAGAGCAGAATTCGATTGTGACGCTCTTTTTAGAGATTCCCTTGAAAACGTAAACAGCGTGCTCTTTGAGTCGACAAGCATCTTTTCTGTGCGCTCACCTGGACCGCAGTCAAGTGCAGTGGGTCGAACTTCGCCGAGAGACTCTCAGAACGGAAGATTTGTGCGGCTGACAAAGCGCACCCGATAAGCGGCCACATGTCGCCTGCGTGAGGGGCCAGAGCGTCATGGACGTGGGCCCCCTCCCACTCGAGCAGCCCCATAGCCGATATGGCCGCCAGAGTTGCGCCCCAGGTCAGCTTGCTCACCGATCTGCCCGCAAAGATCTCCATCATTGGCATGACGATGATCTGCATACGTAACAAACAAAGGTCGGCAGGTGAGATGGGTCCTCTGCGAGGCAAATATGTCTGCACGGAGAACGCCGGTTTTCATGTCCTGTTTGCAAGAGACAGGACGAGAAGGGCCTAAACTAGGGCACCGAAAGGCTGTGCGGTACAGGGTTGGGAAAAACAAATCATCTCTTTTTGCGGAGTGACCAACATCATTGACAGCACTCCCTCCCGAAGAGGAACTCATTGCAAGGCTACCGGTGCAAAAGTACGGCAGAAATCTCCTCAGATTGAGACGTTTGTTCGGGCTCAGATCCAAAGCAGACAATCTTTACACTTCCTGACGTACCAGGGGTGAGCAGCGTTGCTGTCTGATTGAAGAGGAGGGGGATAATCCTAAAAGCGAGCCAAGCAACCCATCATGAAAAGCAAGATCCGGCAGGACCAGTCAGGCAAGAGGCTACAGCAGAGGCTGATACAAGTATAAGATAAGAGGTAGATTACAAGGACTCAATCAAGCTGAACGATTGCATGTGCCACATACCGTGAACGTGAACAGCATCGACGCGTTGCTGGCTGTCGCTGACTTTGCAGCTGCTGATCCACACAGGATGCCAAGGAAGGCCTGCAGGCCCAGCTCACACCCCCCCAAGAAGAGACCATCTTCCTTTGAGCGGAGAGCTCCCCAGAGAGCAGGTACAAAGGGCAGCGTCGTGATGACGTATCTAGCCAAGGTTGTCAGACTGGGGGGCAAGTCTGCGGCTGAGGAGTCTATGAGCTTGGCGACGACAGTGTTCGATCCGTAGAGTGCTGCGAGAAGGTGAAGGAGGAGGGTGCTCGTTGTGGCTGGGGATCGAAGAGCTGCGATTGATTCCTGGAAAGTTGACAAAATGACTGCCTCCACAGACTTCAGATCGGTTGATGAAGACCCGAGGCTGGTTGACGACGCTTCCAGTTGCCTCCAAACATCTTCTTCGCTCGAAAGAGGTGGAAATGCCACCTGCACAACGAGCAAGGTTGTAGATCTCTCCTCAACACCAAACATAGTGCTTCATGCAAGGAGGAAGCTCCTCGTGTTCAACAAGAAAGATCAGAATTCAAGGAGAGTGGTACTCAAGATATGATGCAATGTTCCTCACGCTCGTGTGAGCATTCAATCTACTTGCTCTATGCAGCAATTGCCCAGGAACTTAAAGATTACTAAGGCTCAAGCACTCAGAACTTTCTCAAAGCACTCAAAATCTGCTCTACAAGGAAAACGGAAAGACTTCTCAGACACGAGACCAAGTCTAAGATGCTAGTTTCTACGAGATCACAACGCATAAAAAGCATGTCTCTCGATGCAGTATGATCTGGAAACGTGAAGGCATGAACTTTGGATCAGCGTCTACCTGTGCGGTACCCCGTGTGTGAACCGGCCTTGATCTCTCAGCAGCTCTCCTCCTCACTGGAGACTCCTCAGTGCTAACTGGATACTCCACCGCCCTCTTTCTGAAGCCTCTTGGTGAAGGAGGTGCCAGGCTAGGACTGGCCGTTTGAATCGACTGAACCAAGGCCGGCTTCCTTCTTTCAACACTGACAACGAATTGCACCTTCTGCACCGCTGGGATAATCTGGTGCCTGAAGCTCCGCAAATGAGGGTCACTGTTCAAAGTTACAGTTGTCAATTGCTGAGCGCCTGACTTCCCAGACTGTACTGCAGAGTAGGGTGCTTGACGCACCGCTGATTGGGATCTTTTTGCTCCCTGCTGCTGAGGAGTTGCAAATGCGATAGAAGAAACCTTAACACGAGCTAGACTTGAGCCAATCATCTTGGACTCTCTGCTTCTGAACTGCCTGGACTGGATCAATCAGAAGGACACTCCTTTGCATCCTCTAGTGCGGGCTGATCAGATTGTTCGACTGGCTTTGACTCTTGACTGGTCAGGCACTAGAAGAGCCAGACCTGCAGATCTAGAAGAAGTCTGCTATAGAGATCCAAGATCAACTGCGGCGATGCTACCGCTCAGGTAGATGGCTGTTCTCAGCTGATCAGTCAGTATGCTTAAGACTCAAATCTTTCTTACTGACTATTGCACTGAGACTGTTGCTCGCGAGCGGAGTGGCTCTCAGGAGCGTGATTTGTGCTATGGCAATTGCAGTGCAAGTCAGTACGTGGTGGGTGTACTAGCGTGCAAAGTTTGTCTTTGAAGATTGGTCACCGTCACTTGGCCTTCTGCTTATGTTAAAGCTTCTGAGTCCTGAAGCAGAGACCTTAAGGCAGATCACTTGTTGGCAGTCAAAGTCATTTGGATCTGCCTGGCCAGACTTCTACGCGACAATTGGGCAGAGCAGCTGCTTGGTGTAGCCCCCTTGTACTACGCAACTGGTGCGTGACAAGCAGCGGCGCTAGACGAGACAGTGCTGCGGACTTTCGTCCCCAATGGGGGTTTGCCTGTGATCATGTCGATGACCGAGATCACTCTCAACACGGTTCAATTGGTGGTGCCAGATGGACATGATGCAGATCTCGCGATCTCGCCCCATGCCCAGTCAACAACTCTTCTGTCTCTCCTGTGCCCTACCTACTTGCCGACATTCTAACAGGCTCTGCTGGAATCTTCCATGCAGGGCGCCACCAAACCGCTAGTCCTAGTGCTGCGTCCAAGGCTCAATTGTGCACCATCCGTTGATGCTCGCAACTTTTAACTGTCGTCTTGTCGGTTACGAATCTGAGTCCCGTCGTTGCCAACACCTCCTCCGTCGACCATCCAATAACTGGGAACGCTGCAGAGAACAATTCGACGCGTATGTTTCGGGACATTACCATGTCGGTCAAAGCTTTCATGCGTCTCTGATCACGTGGCTCTGGTGTCCACCAATCAAAAGCTCTCAGTCACGCAACCGGTTGACTTTTCCTTTGCCTTTGACTTTGATGAGGTCAGCGCGCGGTTTTGCTCAAACCTCCGCCCGCGCGTCATGACCCGCGCGCGGCGCCGGCCAGCCGGTCGGCCGCGCGGCTCGCTGCGTGGCAGTGCAGCCTGAGTCATGCGCACGGTGCGGCGCACTACAGGCACTACCTCAGTGGACTTCCTGAAGGCTCATTGTTGAACTTAGGTGTCAATGTTGCAGCTGTGCCCGGGCCGGTCTATTTTAGTCAATCCAAAAGCCTACCATTACTAGAGAGCCAGAGAGCGCGCCCCAGCGCCCCGCTATTCCAAAGCTCCGCTCACATGATGATGCATACATGCCAGCTACGTACATACTGCATGCAGTGGTCATGCATGGCATACAATTTCCGTCTAATTAAAAATGTCGTTGCTGTCACTTAATTGGATCTGGCATGGGCTGTTTCCGATCAGGAGTTTGTTGAGCGCGTCGATCATTGTAAGCGTGCATATACAGACAACATGCACCATGATAGCAACGGCTAGCCCGTTTTGCTAGTGTCTCAGTAGCGAAGTTGATGTGCATCCGTCTCACTCTAAATTTACCGCGATCGGTAATATTATGATGGAGTGCTCATGCAGCATTGGATGAGTGAGCCACGAGCTACGATGTCGGGCCTACAATTGAATAGGCTGGCTTGGATAAGCGAGAATTTGTAAGCAAGGGATGTATATAGCGATAGTCATCAGGGGGCCATCAGTTGATGCAGCCTGGTCGGCGGTCTGGATCATCTTTGCGGCATCTTGTGAGATCCACCGGCTGAATCTTACGGTAGGTTTCGACCGTCGTTTTGATCCTCCACATGAGGGGATACGAAATACAAACAAGCAGATACTTTCAGAGTCATGTTGCAATCCAGCTTCCATGATAAGAATGCGAGCCAGCCTGCGGTTCTATAATACTGTCTGACATGTCATCGCCTCCTCGATCTGGTGCTCATGCTAGTTTGCCCTCGCCGGTATCAGTTCGACATCGACTTGACCATAAAGCGCAGTGGCTTCGATCGACGTCTGCATATATACCTGCTTTACTACGGCGCCACTCCTGACATCAGCAAGCGTCACCATGTGTAAAACAATCTCTACTCGACCTACCGGATCTTGGGTCTGTCAAGTTCAAAGCATCCGGCTTTTGAATCATACAGAAGTTTCACATTGATAGGCAGTGCCATCAATTTGTTGTTTGAAGACCCTAGCCTAATAAAGCGTACACAATACTCCCCATCAAAATGTAGTACGGCAATGCACTGTGGAAGGCGAAATCGAACGGGCCCAGCGCTTCCCGCTGTACAAGGATCAAAACTCAGGCATAAGAAAAGAGACGTCCACAATAGGCAATGAAGCCAGTTTGGGTCCGTTGATAGAATCGATTAGGGTGTTGTATCCCTGGGTTACCACATGCGATGGTCAGGAAAAATGAGGTTCGGAAAGATAGAGCTGTATTCCCCATGGGTCTGGCAAAAAGAAACGGTGTCAAGAAAGAAGATAAATGCTCACGAGTTATGTACGAAATCTCCCCATGCTTTTTGACAAGAAGAAACGGTGTTAAGGACGAAGACAAATGCTCACGATTTATGTACAAAGTCCCTTCATGGAGCTCGGCCCCAGGAACATGCGAGTGCCCAAAGACGACCACGTCCGGATGCTCAGCCGCAATGATGTCCGCAGCCCGAGGATCGACCGCTGGTGGGAAGCCGCAGATGTGGCTGCAAGTTATCCAGAGTACAATATGGACAGAGGAGCGACCAGGCAGGCAGGCCAATCTTTATTCCAACAAAAAAATTGAGCCACCTGCGCCGGGTAGAGCAACGAGCAACCTGAACTACAATCATGGCAACTGCCGTGAGAGGAAAGTCCTCGTTCACTCTTGGCCAGGATCGGTCGGATCGAACCAAAGAGGCAATCGTTCTCCGAAATCTGAGCGATGTCAGGCTTACATGACAAGGAACTTCCTGTCGAACAATCTCAGGGTCCGGAAGGCCGGGTACAGAGCCACCCTGCAAAAGACGGTTTGAGCGATCTCAGTAATAATGGATTTCACAGGGCACCCATCAAAGTTGGCGCATATGTATCTGATTGTGGAAACCCACAAAAGCAGCGCGATCAGGAAGAAGGCTCTACAGGGGAATCGATTCACAATGCGAATAGTAACTTCTTTGCGCTCCAGAAACAAGCCTTAAACACCATGAAGTCATCATGATTACAAAACATGATCTCGAGCGGAAGAAGAAAGAAGTAAAGGATCTCACGTTTCCGGGCAGTTGTCGTCCACATTGCCAGTGACTGCGACGACTTTTGATCCCGTGCCTGTCTCAAGTTCTTCAACGAGGTCAGAGGCTTTGAGCCGACTCTTGTAGCGTGGCTCACCTATATCACCTGCACTGATGCAATGCTTCAATGTTTGAGCGTAGCGACTCGAACCAGCACCCTGTGCCCAGATTCTTATAGATTCATGGCTCAACTCTCAACAAGTGACGAAAAGGTCTTCGAAGACGACTTGTCTTTAAGTGAACCTTCTGGACGAATCTGTTGCAGGCCAGTCGTCCCAACCTCGTAGGTGAGGCCATAACTGGAAAGGCGTTGAAACAAAGCCTTGATCCTAGATCCAATTATGGCAACTCAGAGAGGTACCAGCATTTACTTCACTTCAGCACGTGTACACCAGTCACCTCGAAAGAAATCTGGCTCAAGTGACCAGGAATTAGAGTTACTCACCGGCGTGAATGATGGTCCCTGTGGCGGCGCTCAGAGCCCGCACTGCCTCCGGAAGCAGGACACCATGCGTGTCCGAGATCAGTCCGACCACCTGTGCCATGACTTGAGCCCTGCTGCTGAAAATCCAATAGCTGCTGTAACCATCACGTTGGGGATGCCGCCGTCGCACTACTTTGTCAGCTTGCTGTGCAGCTGCACTATCTAACACTCTTATCTCTTATTTGATGGCTCGCTGTCTCCAAGGCCTGGCAGTCCCGACAACCCCCTCAGCGCTTCATTCTGCCGTACGTCGTGAATGCGCTGCTCAAATGCGGCCATCTGCTCTTTGGAGGGTGGCTGCTCATTGTAACGGATCGAGCGATGGATGTCGAGGGTGGTAAGGGCGACTACCACACACCTGCAAGAAAGTCAAACCGACCTCTTTGCCTGCGATACTCCACATTGCAGAGTAGAGAACACACTGACAATGCCCCCGACAGTTTTGTGACTGATTGTCCGGGTGGTGCAACTGGCATAACAAAGGCTGATCGCAGTGGAGCTTTATAGAGGATGTTGCCTTCAAGAAAGTAGAATCACTCAGCTCGTTCTCCTCAAACTCACCCGCCAACGAAGATAGCAACCTTCCCAAAGGGTGTCAGCCGGTCAGGATGAATCATGTCAGCTGAGAGTTGGAGGGGGAGATAGCCCGGACCCTTTGCAACCTGTAGCGTCATAAGGCGAGTGTCTCAAGCGAAACCCCTGAGCAAAGCATCACTCCAATCACTGAGCCGCCACACTGGCCGGTCACTCCTCGGGTCGTTGTAAGTGGTCTATGCTTCAAGAGGCAATCAAGAAGAGATGGCTCAGCGAGATTTTCAGAAGTAAAACAATCCCCGTAAGAGCAGCAAACGCAATCTAGTCACATTTAAAAAAGGATTTTTGGAAATAGGTCCATGAGATGCGCGATAAAACGGGTCAGGAAAGGAACCTGGGAAACTGTAATTCACAACCACCAGCATGGTTCAAATAGAATGACAGGAGATATGTAGAAGAACCCACAAGTTTGCTCTTGCTGCCTTCCACAAGCACCCAGTTCAAACTTCCGATCCAGCTTTTGAATCCTGGCTCTGGGGTTCGGCGCTCAATGCTGTCAGAAAGAAAAGCCTCCACGAAGAGGCAAAGACTAAAAGGAAGTGAAGGCGCCCTGACAGGAGCGGAGCCTCAACGTCTGTCGCAGTGTTCGTGGCGAAAATAAATCCTGAAATACACTAAATAGGACCTCCAAGACACTAATTGGCGAAAATGACACTAATGGCGAAAATCCTAGTGGCGGTTGTGGCCGGTAGGGTGTCCCGGCCCTAGAATCTGCCATACCGACCTAATTTTCTTCGTTTTCTCAGAAGAGCTACTTGACAAAGTACAAGCAGAGGTAAGAAACGGGGTTCTGAGCAGGGTTAAGATTCTTCAAAACCGGTGGGAACACCCGAGAATGTAAAAACTGGCTGACGGCCTGACCATTTTCGCCAGGCCGGTGAAATCCCGTTCCCAAACACTAAATGGCGAAAATCTGGCGAAAATCAAATTGGCGAGAATAATTAGTTTCGCCACGAACATTGGTCTGTCGCTACCTCAACTTTGAACTGTTCAAAAATGTCAGCATGCCCAGCATGCGCCCACACCCCTTTTGGCGAGATCATCTAAATGCCAGCAGGCCAACAATGCAATTCTAGAACCCTAAAGTCGTAAACGCTGAAAGCCCCGACCTCGATGAGAAATTGGAAAGGCTGTTTGGAAAACGTTGAGAAGATTGATCAATACTGTGGCAGTGTGGGAAGGCGCCATTGGAATCATACAATTAAAGGGCGCCTACGAGGAGGTGGGAGCAACTGCTTGCGATGGCACAGACCTTGGCCTGTTGCCAATGCCTGCATGCATCACCCTTTGCTGCTGTCTGCAGTGTACCGCAGCAGCGACAGGCGCTGCATCGACAGTTCCCCTTGTTTGCAGCAGCCAAGGTAAGACAGATGAGAAGTGATGCTTTCAGTGAGCAATCTCATTCCCTTGCTAAGCTGCCTGTTTCGGGTTTTTGCTGCAGCTGTAAGCAGCTCGTGAGGGAGGTCAAATGTCGATGCCGCCGGCCAGGTTTACGGCTTTCGTTTGCAACTGCTTTCATTTTGGTGAAAAAGTCTAGCGTCTAGCAGTACTTAGTCTGGCCCTCATTGTACAGTAGTATTCTTTTGCAAGGTAGTGGTTGTTACGGGCCAATGTTAAGGGAAAGTACCACCAACTTCTACTTAGCATAGGAAATGCCGTAATCCTGTGTAGTTGAAAAGAACGTGGGTGCTCCTCCGCTACTCACTGCCAGCTGTCAAACAGAATATCTCGTTCTTTTTAAGGTTGACGCAGGCTGCTTTCATTTTGTTGACCCCTCCATCATACTTTTTGTCAAATTGGTTCTGGAGCTCATATGCATGACTATGCATGGCGTTTTTGTCTCCTGATTGCTCGACTACAGAGTGAAGCACAAGCTTGCCAAGACAGTCATCATGTTATCGTCTGCGTTCACATACAATAAAAAGTGGCGGGCCCTTCTGCCTAGGAGTTCGGTATTTGGGAAAGTTGCTGCCAGCGACACTGAAGCCTATCTTATTTTCGCACATGCAGTTTTCAGATCGCTGTTTCAGCAATCGAGCTTTTCGAAGACGGGCTTCTTCTCAGATCAGATGTGAACAAAAGAGCGGTTCAAACAAAGGTCCGGAGGATTCTGAAGCTAACAAAGGTGGGCACATGGATTTGCTGTACTGAATGGGTGGCTAGCTGCGACGCTCACTTCCACAATTTGCAGGCTCCAACACAAAAACATGTAAATATTGGTTTGACGTGGCACTATTCAGCTTTGTGTCATGTTCAGAGATTGGACTCGTAGAGCATACTAAAAGAAAACGGAGGTTGAAAGTTTGACAGCTCAAATCTATCTTTCAAAAGTCTCTTCTTAATGCAGATGCAAATAAGAACTCGGTTAATTGGGATGGGGCCTGGTCGAGCTTCACGAAATCGATTCAGGGGGGCCAAAAGCAAATGGAATCGTACGTGGAGCGGCCAAAGGCACGACCACCACCCAAATTCGCCCGTAATGAGAAAGAGGACGAAACCAGACGCATAGAAAACTCGGCTTTGAATGTTTGGACTGACGAACGTTTTTTCAAAGCTGGGATTGTTGTAGTGGGGCTGTTTTTGCTTTTCGTTGTAATCGTAGTTGGGCCCCCACCGTCGCACTGATTCACTAGTAAGGATTTGTCTTTGTGAATTAGGCTTAATTTTGACACCGATCCATCAGCGGAGGACTCGTATGTACAGTATGTCTGTGCCTCTGAATTAGATGACGTCTTGGGGGCGTGCCATAGTTAGCAGCGACGTTCGGACAACATACGTAGCTCAATCGAATGAACGTACTCTTCTTAATTGCAATTACGGACGTACTTGTCGCAATGACTGATATGTAGGAATCAAGGCCCTGCTAGATCTTATGCTATATCCAGGATTTTGGTGCGATGGCGCCTGCCGTGGAACGTTTGAACGATTGAAGAACTTATGTTCGCTGCCAGTGCGCTTTTCCTCGAAGGTCGTGGAATCAAGCTTGAAGAATACTTTGAGCATGATAGATGTGCACGATCGCGGCTGACAACAAGCAGCCTGCTCAATATACACGTGGTCACGCAAGCTATATAGTGGCATGTCGGACCTAGCTGCCACATTAACGGGCTGTTCAACCATTCCGAGTATGCTACTGGTGCCGGCCCACGTGCTTCGTACACAGACATGTTTCGATTATCTAACTTCGACTCAGTGCATTGCATATCTAACTGAGCTGCACAGTTTAGTATATTCAGTGGCCGACTTGCATGCAAAGTGCACCGGACTTATTGCCTGGAGCTACCAATAATAGGTAGCTCAAAAGATCCGAAGTGACATGTCAATCAATGCTGCATACATCGCACACCGCTCTATGCTCGAGTCCATTGGGGTAGCTGAAACATTGTAACGGAGGAGCTCACGTCTGCAAATTGATGCCACTTGGCGGGAATCTTCTTCACAAGTTTGACGGATGTATCGCCAGAAAATAGTAAAATCGGATAAACAGGAGGTCGAAGCAAGTGACCACCGGGTCACAATCTGTCGGTACATGTCGATGCACATACCGCAAGAATACAGAAGCACTGGGTGCAAAGTTCGTGTCAATGTTGGTGCTCGTCCACTTTCTTCAGCGCCTTCATGTCGGTGGTCTCGACCCTGCGGAAACTGGAAATGCTAAGCACGGCTCGTCGAAACCCCACTTTCGAAGAACCTAACAGACTTTCAGTGAAGATGAAACCTCACAATGAGCACGCGCGTCAATATCACCTATCAGAAGCCAGTAAGACAACTCTCAGTCCGTCAAGGACCACGTCTCGTCGGACTTACCCCCGACTTACCCAGCTGGCTCTCACCATGACCGCAAGAGCTGTTTCCAATCGTCTATATTTTCGGAAGTAAGCTCTTCTGACTGGTGACCCTCCAATCCGATTGTGGATCAGCAGATGAGCAATATCTTTACTCGCTGGTCCCTAGCAGGGTCGGACCGACCAAATCAAGTTGGTTCATAAGTACGGACGGTCCAGTCCTAGCCTGGGCCGTATCACAAGTCGAGAGATTGAATGGCTTTTCCAGAAGAGAGAAGGGGCAAAGAGGCCTCACGTGGAACCAAGCAGGAGGATCTTCTGGATCTTCGTTGTGTCTTCGTCCTCTTGATTACTCTCTACAAATATCGTCAAGCTGCACTACACAAAGTTGCTTTGATGAGAGTAACCGAGCGTGTACAGAACCGTTGGACAGGTCACGTCAGCATAGCGTCACAAGAGGAAACGGTGCTTGGCCGCAATACGGGGATGATTGTTGCCTTGCGAAGTCAGATACAATCCTACAGCTGTTGGCCGATTTCCGTTGATAAATCTCAAACGAAGTTTGTAGGAGGCACCTCACCTGCGTACACCTTGGAATTTCACGTACTTCAAGGGTATGGGTGTTCCCTGGATTGAGGAGGGACTTCACAATTGAGAAACCAGCAAGCAGAGAGCTTCGAATCAAGACCATGATTGCAGCCGAATTGCAGCAATTGCAGAGCTTCGGAATATGAAACTTCGTAAAGAGGGACGGCCAAGAAGTGATAGAGCTTGCACAATTTCACCGACATTTGGTCTTGGGGGTCCCTCCTTAAAGGTTGAACATGAAGGCAACTTGATACATGCAAGACTTGTGACTTACATCTAGTTGTTCGGGGGTAAAGATAATCTCTTGTTGAGGAACCAACCCATCCGTTGCTTCACTGCAGGAACCGAGACCTGAGACTTCAGATCGATAGCCAAGAAAACACGTATGTGGCTGTAGAGAGACCAGCCCCCTGGGTCTGCCCCACAGATAGGTACGGCTAGACTGGAGTGCAGAAAGTTTGTGCAGACCTTCACCATCCTATTTGACGTCAGCTCAGACACTCACCTGAAACCGAGGCTGGTCCGATTGGTGAATAACTTTACTTTCTTTGGACCTGCACAGACCCTGGACGCCCTGAATGTTGGGAAACAGATGCGACGCATCTCGTTCGATTTAGAATCATTGATCCTTGCAAACAATGGCGGTTCCCATTCGTACAGCCCAAGCGGAGACTTCAGCTGTGCTCCCAACAACCTTTGGACACTCCTAAGACATTGGTTAGAGCAATGATCTGATCACTGCCATAAGTAAAAGGTCTCTAGCTCGTGGAGAAGATCTCACCAGAGTCAGAGGGGGCTTTCAGCCCCAGCGAGTGAAGCTTGACCACCTGTTGAAATGGTACTGTGAGCAGTATCTGCTCGTCTGCATCACTCTCTAAAATCAAGCCGTCGTCGTCCCTGTAGCCCTGCAAATCACAGTTCCTTAGACCGTCAAAGATCAATACAGATGACGGTGAAGAAGAGCTCGACGAGCTAGCGCAAGCACTGTCTTGCAGCTAAGAAATGGATTGTTCTGAGTTGACCGGTATGCACCTGGGGGCTCGATACAGCTCTCAGCAATTTCAAAAGTTTGAGAGGGCGATGCAACAAGCAGGCATCTTGCAGAGAGCAGAGGCTGGGGGCTATATGAGCGAACATACCTGCTTGAGTGCATTTGCAACTGGGTGGTCCGAGCTTTCATTCAAGCACTCCACCGATGGCCAGTCAATCTGGTCGAGGAGATCAGTCTAGAAACACAAAGAAATACAACGTGAGAACTGGTAAGAGCGAATTTAAGAAAGAAGCAACAAGCCCTGAACCTTTGCTCAACTGGTGTCCATAAACATTGTCCAGCTCAAATTACACACCGCAGCTTTTCAACAATCTGCCGCTCACCTGCCCCTTTGCTGCAGAAGTAGCCATCACGAGTGCTTCTATGTGCCAGATGCTGCCAATACTACACGCTGCACAATGCACAAACGCTCACCACCACAACCGGCTCTTTACATAGGTTGTTCTGTCAGCTGAAAACGAGATGTTGTCAACATGTGGCCAGCTAGCTGCAGGCAGTGCAGCGGCAGCAGCGCTGCAGCCCGTCCCCTTCCCCCTTCTATTCAAGCAAGAAACTGTTACATAGTCGCTTGTTTTTGGTTTGAATACAGGGGTCGTTCTTATGAGTACATAAGTGTCTTGCCGACAAACGTAGTCTCAATTCATGAAAACTACCTAGGTACGGTATAGGCCACATGTCCCCTTATTCCAAATACCGTATACCGGTATACGTCAATCCCAATCTGATCAGGCGACTCATTCACAACATGAGTGGCCTATACCGTACTATCGAGATACTTTTGCTTGTAATACTATCTAATTTCCCGCTTCACTTCTGAATCCTGGTCGAAGCCTAGCAAGGGGCAGCGCACTGATCAGAGCTGGAAGGTTGACATCCGTCTCTGGAAAGGCGCTAGGTCACACGTAGGAGGGGGTTCACAGAGGTCACTGGCTTTGGGGTAAGGAGGAGGCATTGCATTGCCCGTTTCGTTGGTGCGAGGCCCACATTCTGTGCAAGTGCTTGAAGTAGCTGCAGTTGGTGGAGTCAAAAGAGCACGCAAACCTCCACTTCCAACAGCGTGCAGACCATTCAGAGCTGAGCACAACCAAATGCTACATCTTTGTTGATGGCAGTATCAAGGCAGCCAAGAACCAGCATATAGTGGTCCCAGTTCTGCACCTGAGGTAAGCCATGGACGCAGCAACACATTCTGACTCTTTTTTGATTCCAAGTCAGACTCGAGGCACATGCGAAGAGCACTCGCACTAGGTCCGTCGAAGTTGGAGTGCATTGGTGAAGGGCAAGCTGCAAGATGTCTGCACCAACAGTAACCCCTCCCAATGCAGTTGTTGCCGTCTCCTATAGCTGCAAGGTTTGGGGTTCCTGGTTTCATTTTCTGCTTCAGGGCGTGCGAAGGCGTGCAAACATGGTCTTACTGCATTGATAGAGGGCACTAATATCGTCTCTACCAATGGGCTGCTTTAGAATCCTTTACCGTCTACTTGTTGACCATTGCCTCTTTTCAGAATGCAGCGATGTTATGGTGGCAATGGTTTTCACACCAATGAACTTCTATTAGTTGCTGAATCAGCCCGCCATAAAGAAGGCCACTCGGCTTCATTGAAGCAAACACTGACTGACGAAACATAGTAATGTCTAGACACAAGAGCTGCTGAGCGCAACCACTTATATTGACTCGGGCACAGAGCTGAGATTGTACGGCTTTCTGCCAAGAACCAGCCAAACTGGCCTTTGCCTAAGTACCTACCTTAAATGGAAGGTGTCAATTCTCATCGCAACGTTAGTTTGTCTGGCAGAGCGAAGAAACATGGGAAAGTCAAAGAAAGGAAAGGCAGACTCGAAGCCTGCGGCTGATGGGGCCGTCAAGGAGGAGATAGAGGCCCCGCCTGCAGCGGCTGTACCAGAGGAGAAGGTCGAGACGCCTGCTGAGGAGACTGCCTCAGCCAAGACGGAGGTGGCTGCGGAAGGGAAGGGAGAAGAATCAAAAGCAGAGGCTGATGGGAGCAGTGCCGAGGGGGCGGCCCTGGTAGAAGAGGCAGAGAAGGTTGCAGCGGAGGGGTCGAAAGCAGGAGGGTCTGAGAACGAAGAGAAGAAAGAGGAGGAGGGTCAAGGTGAGCTACTTGCCGCAACTGCTGAGGATACTCGCAATGCAGCTGAGCAATGCAGCCTTTTCCAATTGCCATAACGAGGTGTCCACTTGCATACTGAGCTGCTCGAGGTTGCTCTTGAACCTTACAAAGTAGTCCCTACCTTCCCCCTCAAACGCGCTACTAACATAAGGCTTCTCAGCAGTACTCTGACCAAGGCAGCCCTTGTCCAGATGAACCAAACCTGTACCCAATGGAGATTCGCGGCCCTTCTGGTGAGAAGACGGAGCTCCAAGTGGCGGCCCAGGACACCATCCTGGACCTGAAGCAGTTCCTGCTGGAGCTGCCTGAGGTCACTCACTACACCCACTATGACCTCATTGTCAACCTGAAAGACGGCCTGCGCTACCAGCTGGCGGACTTCCAGCCCCTGCAGGACGTGATCTCCGAGAAGGGCATCGAGGCTGGGGGGGCATTCTTGGAGGTGGTGCAGCGTAAGTGGTGTGGCCGCTGCTGCTTTCACAATGTGGGAGGAACTAAGTCGTGGATGGAGGCATTCAGAAGGGCTGTGGCTTAGAGGTGCATGCAAGTATCACTCTTGGCACACAGCTCGGTGAATAAGAGGATTTGCAGTACGGCAAACAGCATCAATGCTTTTTTTTACGAACTTGATGTAGGAACCGCCAAAGATTCCTTTTGCCAAAGACAGCGGGAGCGCCAGGTATGACTTCCGTGACTGATGCCAGGGTGGTGCAGCTGCTCTATCCCCTAAAAAGCGCCTCCACAAACAGAGGGCTCGGACAACTCAACCAAGTCATTCTCTCTGGTGCCATCCTCACAACACCTGCTCCCTGCGCGCAGTCATCTATGAGGACCGCCAGATGCAGTTCCACGTCAGCCGCTCCCGCGAGCTGCTCACCTTCCGGCGGCCGCACCGCTCGCTCTCGTCGGCGCTGCAGCGGGAGCACGAGAAGCGCGTCGAGGAGGAGGCCAAGGCGGGGGGTCCCAAGGATGATGAGGTTGATGATAAGCTGCCGGCGGAGCTGGTCGACGGGCTGGGCTTCGCAGCGGAGGAGAAGGGGACGCTGGAGAAGGTGGTGACAGAACCTGAGGAGGAGAGTGTGCCGGACGCGGTGAAGAGTATCGCGTACTCGGCGTATAACCCGCCGCCCAGCCATAGGAGGTGCGTTCGTGGGTAGTTGTTAGATGGCTTCTCTCTGTGCGGAGGAAGGATGTCGCTGCACACTTGCATGCACAACAAAGCCCGCTGTGGCCTTGATTAAAGGCAATGTGACCTGCGCAGAGCTGTGGTTGTACTTCAGTCAAGTTGTGTCGGTCCTGGCGCTTTTGAAGCCCTAATCTAAGAGGAACACAGGCATTGGACAACCCCTGGGCCGAACAGAGTCCATCCTATTGCTTCTTTCTCCTCCAAGGCACCTCCGACTAATGAGTGCTTTGTGTATCGTTGTAATAGCTCTAAGGTAGATACTGTTTTCTTCATTGTTCAGGATCGTTGGTGACCTTGTGTACCTTGACGTGGTGACGGTCGAGGGCGAGTCACTCTGCATAACCGGCCACTCCCAGGGCTTCTTTGTCAACAAGACCGAGCTCAAGTCAGGGCAGCCGTTCAATCCCGAGATGAAGAACCCGGAGCTGCAGCACCACACTCTAGTTGGCCTCCTGAGCCTGGTTTCCCCCAAGGCAAAGGAGAACTACGAAGCCATCCACAAGCAGAAGCTCGAGACAGACCAGTTCGAGCTGTTCCCTCTAACCTTCCCGGTTAACCAGTGGGTTGGGGGCCGAAAGCCGAGGGAGGTTGCGGCTGACCCCGGGAGAGCGGAGGAGGCGATGGTTGCATGGTATGCGACGAGTGGAGTGAACGAGGGGCGGGACTTTAACGAGGACCTGCAGGGCAGCAGGGAGATCTCCAGGGAGACGCGGCAAGAAAGGTACAGAGGAGGGTCGGTTTTGTTCTATTCCGATGCAACAGCCTGCTCATGCTGATGTGGTCACAAGAGATTGACCGGCGCCTGGGGTGTGGAAGTACTGGGATATCTTTGAAGTTTAATCAACCCTGGAAGTACTGGGATATCGTTGAAGTTTAATCAACCCTCTCCACGTCAGTCTCAGAAAGATCGTCTCCCGTAGAGTTCAAAGAAAAAGGTGGAACATGCAACTCGAGCATCTTTATGGTGCACAGCTTTTATGTCCCGAGTGATAAATATCTCCAACATCCGCGACACCAACGTGGATCCTGGATGCCAAATACTTGCTACTTGAACTTTTTGTCCGTTGACCTCTGGTCCATCCATTCTAAGCATTCTCAACGCCCCATCGCCCTGCAGGATCAACCGGGACATCAACATCCGGCGCGTGAATGCGGACTTCGTCGACACTGCAATCAAGGGAGTGAAACAAATTGTGCGACAGAGCATCGCGCCCATTAACGGGCACATGCCGGAGGCTTATCACATGTGGGTCCAGAACGGGATCGTTTTCGGTTATGCCTTGGACCACGATTTTTTGGTCCTGCAACGGCTGCGGCAGAAGCAGGAGATTGAAAAGAAAGACGCGGAGAAAGAGGGGCGCACGATCACTAGGCCGCCGCCGTCTGAGAGGGGCGGCGGGGATGGGCCCTCGTTAGAAGAAACGGAGGACAACTCGCCAGAGGCGGAGGCGAAGAGCCCGGGGCGTGGGTTGAGAGCTGGGGGCATGTTGCAGGCGGAAAAAGACTGCACATCATATGCGTCAGCGAACGCGAACCTGCGGGGGCATAGGGCGGTTGAAAGTGCGGACGTTCCAGGTAGGTATGCGTTCATACATGTCAGCAAAGCGTGGAGAATGTTGATCCTAGATAGCTCGTTCACGACCGATTTGAGTGGTCAATGGGCGCTTTCGCACTTAGTTTGGCGGTCTGATGAAAAACCAGGCCATCGAGCTCAGGCAGCGTCCAGGTTAAGGGCAGAGCCCTCTGGATTTCAAGTCCATATTCTGTTGTTTTGGTTCGCGACGGGGAGCCCCGATGGAAGTCGACAAGGTGCTTCCTCTACATGCTGGTCTCTCTCAAGCCGTCCCTCCTGATCGAATCCTGACTTTATCTAACATAGCAGTACCGTCTGTTAGCCCTAAGCGACCCGTTGCCGTAGTTGACAAGTGTTTTCTGCCTGGCAGGCGTCCACACGCTGGCGTACTGTGTTGTTGACTACAAAGGCCATCGCCTGGTCGCGCAGTCGGTCCTCCCGGGGCTGCTCTACTCGAGCAAGACCGCGGAGCTCAAGTACGGGTCCCCCGACCTGGGAGAAACCATCAAGTGGGACAAAGACTTCCACGAAAAGGTGGGTTTGCCAGAGTCTGCTTGAGACTCACGGTGTGATGAAGTGTTTTAAGGTTGTGTTGCAAAGATTCCGGAATGTTGCTTGCTTTACCGAAACAAAGACAAAATCTGGCGTTCTCTTTCCTTCTGGATTTCTTCATACGAAGAGCGATGAGTTGGGCGCACAGATTTGCCTCGACATTAAGAAACGAACAACAAATGCCAGGGTTTTCACGCATCTGCGAGCTTGTGCGTCTGCTCCCGAAGTATCTGCTCTAAGGCAACGACAATCGTAGAGGCCGCTTGACTGGCTCTCAAATCTTTCCCTTGTGGTCAAGATGAAATCTCTCGAAAGATTCTGACCTGATAATGCTTTCGCGGACGGTCCCCGTCCCCACCGTCACCACGCTCGCACATTCTTCCGCAGATCGCGGAGGTGGGTAAGAAGCTCCACATTGCGGAGCACAGCGTGGTCGACGGGGCGGGCAAGGCGGTCGAGTTGGCGGCGGGACTGGAGGTGAAGGGCGTGCTGGGCGCGGATGGGCGCAAGTACCTCACGGACCTGCACCGCGTCACGCCGCGCGACGTCAACTACAAGGGCGTGGAGAAGGCCAACGCGGTGCTCCGGCCGGAGCTGATTAGCATGTTCGCCGAGGTGGGCGCCTGGGCTTTGCGCGTATGCAAGTCTGGCCGGCGAGCGGTTATTGCTGATGTTATGCTTGGCGCTTGGCGGGACTGTGGTGTTTTTGAACCCACGTGTTGGAACGACGGGAAGGGTCTCAAGGGATTTGCAGCAGTGGAGGAGGAGACACCCTTTTCATGGCCCTCAACGGTGAAGCTTGGTATTGTCTCAGGGCTTTCCGTTCCTTTATCCGCTGGGTTTTCGCCTGATCTTCTGCTTGCCGGTATGCTTTCTGCCTCAATTCTTTCAGTGTGCTGGTCTGGTTGTGTCAGGCTCACGCAGTGACGCCCTTCTTCTGGTCTCAGTGTGTGCCTGTCTTTGTCTAGGATGCACTGTATCGCGGTTTATCGCACGCAGTCACGATTCTGACGAGTTTCTCTGCTGTCTTATGCAGCTGGAGTCTGAAAAGGCTACGGAGTTGAAAGGGAAAGGCAAGGAAGGGGAGAAGGCCGATGCGACCTCGGTTGCCCTCCATCCATCGGTCTTCTCGCCATACAAGCTGGGGGGCGACAAGGAGGTGCGCATGCTGGACCCTAGTTGTCCGTGCTGCTCTGTTGAGCAGAACTGTCTCCTGATTATTCTTGTTCCGTGTCACTCTCTTTTCAGAGGGCCATGTCAGGATCTCAAGGTCCTCCTTAAAGCCGATGAGTAGTGATCCCGTCGTGAATGCATCTTCTCGCATCCGAGGTATCCAAGAGTCTCTTACTCAGACCACCCGTGTCCTCATTTTTTCTGAGAAAATACATTCAGCAATTGGGCGGCATCAGCTTGCTCGTATGTTATGCAGTTGGCTTGTACGGAGGGGTTAAAGAGGGCCTGTTTTTCAAGGCCTTACCCATCCGTCTGGTTTCCCTACAGGAGATTGAAAAGGCGGAAGACCTGGTACGGCGTGCTGGGGAGTTCTTGGTCAAGACGCAGATCCCGAAGTTAGTGGCGGGTATCCACGCCCTTGAAGTGCTCCCGCTAGACGGCCAGACGCTGACTGCCTCCATGCACGCTTTTGGCATCAACATACGCTACCTAGGAAAGGTGAGCCGTGGGCGCCTTGAAGATGTGTGGCAAAAGTTGGAGTCGACCTTTCATCAAACGAAGCGGGGCTATGTTTGTAAGCGATCGAGAACCAACTTTGTCCCTGCTGCGCTCGACTTGAATTCTAAGTCTGTGTATCTTTGCAAGTACAAGTATTGTCAGCTTGTCATGCTTGGAAAGGGTCCTTCAAGCAAGTCATACCACTCCCTAAAATCTGCCTTACATCAAATTATCAAAAGTGGATGCCATCACAAGTCATCTGCCATCCCCTTCTGAACTTGCGCGCTAGCTGGCATCCCATTTGTATTTCGAGACTCTGACTTTCCAGAACGCCAAACCATGTGCAAGCTGCTAATCCGCAGTAAGTCTCCTCAGTACACTCGCAAGCCCAAAAACAATTCCCCCAAATTCCCGAAGTCGGGCTGAAGAAGCTGAATAACAAATACCGCCGCTACAGGGGTGCTCGTTGGTGACACTTTCGTATCCCTTCCCAGGTCGCCGAGTTGTCAGAGCGCGACTACTTCCGGGACCTGTGCTTCCTCGAGATGATTTCGCGCGTCTGCAAGCGCGTCTTCCGGGCGATCCTGCGCGAGACAGGCGAGTGGGACCTCGCCCCCGCCATCGCGCACTACCTCAACTGCGTCGTTGGGAAGGCGCCCGGACCCGGGGAGATCAACCCGGTCACCCCGGCCAAGGCGGAAGATGCCCCTAAGAAGAACGAAGAACCCGAGGTGAAGGAGCCCGGTACGCCGCCCCGGGCAGAATCGCCGGGGAAGAAGAAGAAGGGTAAGAAGGGACAAGGGAAGGACGAGGCGAAGAACGAGGGTAGCGAGAAGAAAGAGGTGGACGGGAAGAAGGCGGAGGCGGCTGATGGGGACAAGGCGGGCGCGGAGAAGAGCGAGGAGATCGACCCGGCGCTGCTGGACTTCCGGCCGGTGTACATGAAAGTGACCGGGGAGTCCATCTGGGGCGACGTGGAGGAGGGCGTGTGGCTCAAGTACAAGGCGCAGCTGCCTGAGGGCACGCGCGAGCGCGTGCGCAAGCTGTCGCTGCTGCGGAACCTCTGCCAAAAGGTCAGCCCCGCGGAGACCCTCTCCCCAGTTTCCGCCTGGTTCGGGAAGTTGACCTGGGCAAGTTTCTCGGCAGTCTCGCATGGCTGTGGCGTTGCACGTCGTGCTGTTGAAAAGGTTGGCGTTTGGCAGAGGTGGTGCGTAGTGACGGGGGATGCTCAAAAGGGGAAGGCCCCATGTAACAGAGCCGTTGATAACCCCTCCTGAAGCGCTGCCCCCGTGTTCTACTACAATCGTTTCCCTTTTCCTTCTGCTTCGTAGATCCTTTACGCTTCCACGATGCTGTAGACTACGGAGTTCAGCCGGCTGCGTCATACGACGCCGAGCCAATCCTTCATATCATCGTCCCCAGCGCACTCTTGTATTCTGACATGTTAGCACCAACTTCGCGCAGATGGGCATCTCAATCGCCGCGCGCGACTACGACTTCGACGTGTTGGACCCGCTCAAGCCGGAGGACATTCTGGACCTGCACCCCATGGTGAAACATACCGACCCGACCTCCAGCGAGGCGCGCACGCTGCTCGAGGCCGGCAAGCTCCGCCTGCAGGAGCAGGTGAGAATTTTCGCTGTTCGACGGCCATCTCTTAAATACTGGAGATACCAACGGAAAAACCAACGAAAAAGCTTCATTCTTAGTCGAGCAGCAAAGTTTGCCTGACGACTGTCCCAACGAAACGCTGCTGTTCCTCGTACCCTTGGTCTCTAGAGCTGTTCGAAACACAGACTGACGAACCATTTCGTTAGCATCCGGTGGCTGCCCCTTGCATTTTGGAGCAAAACAGCGCTTGACCGTGGATTGAGCGGTTGTTAAGAGCTCCCTTGAACGAGGTCTCATACGAAGGCGACTTTTTGTTGATCTGGAGCCGCTAACTCTCCCAAGCGAGCACTTTCCAAGAGGTTTGATTTCAACCGTTGCGGCTTGTTGTCTCTGCCACTTTCGCGTTTTGCCAGGCTTTCCGAGCACACTTTTGAGCCCAGCCCTCGTCCAGCCCTGCCACCGGGCCCTGACCCCGCTCCCCTTCCTCTCCCCGCAGAGCGACCTGCAGGGCGCGTTCGAGCTGCTGAACGAGGCGGCGAACCTGTTCCAGAACGTGCACGGCGCGATGAGCAAGGAGGTGGCGCAGTGCTGCAAGCTGCTGGCCGTGGTACTGTTCCACGCAGAGGACTTCGGGGGCGCCATCGCGCAGGGCCACAAGGAGCTCATCCTCAATGAGCGCATCCTGGGGCTGGACCACCCCGACACCATCCACAGGTGAGAGGTCTCTTTGAGGAAGGTGGGAAGCAGTGCGAGGCTGCATTGTTTGGTTCGGGTGGGGGGGCAGAGGGGAATGGACTCACCTATTGTGGATATTGGCCTTCTCAATTTGAGTCAGAAACAAGAGGAACAGAGTCACGTACCAGGATCCCAGACTTCGGGTTTCACTGAGCCTCTAGAGAGGCTCGGACAGATTGAACGGTGCTCTTGTGGGGCTTTCGTGGGCGAGTATGATAAGAACGGTACAATCTACTTAGGAGGCCCGGCAAATTCAGTCTGACTCCAACCTCAAACTTGGCCAGAATCGTTGCCACTTCTCAATGTTATCGACCATGAGCGTTGTTTTCACCTCGACAACCATTCATTAAATTCGCAGTGCCCCTGCACTCGTGCCCGTAGGGGCAGGGTACCTGAGTGAGTTGCAGTCCCTCTTTCTGGTGCTACATCCGACGACAACGCCTCTTGAGATTTCTGCCTCTTCCTTGCAAAATGTTGATCGTCCCCATCTAAACGGCCCACGTGATTCCCGCAGCTACGGCAACCTGGCGTCGTACTACCGCAACAGCAACGTGGGCACGGGCGAGGCCTCGCTGCGGCACCTGAAGCGCGCGCTGGAGCTGCTGGCGGTGGTCACGGGGCAGGACCACCCCGAGGTCGCGTCCACCATGATCAACATCGCCATGCACTACCACGAGCTCGGCCGCTATGGCACCGCGCTGCGCTACCTCCAAGTGAGAACATGGAGCGCTGACAAGCTACGCGTTCACGTGGACTGGTTTGCTGCTTTGGATTGATTTCTTACACGCGCCTGTTGGTCGTCCCGGGTGAAGCTGCCAGCGTTCGACAATTTCGGCTTTTGTTCTGTGCTTGACGTCTGGTGTTGAGGTTGCTGGTGTGGTAAAAAGGAGGCTTGTCGCTGAGGAGTTTCGCCGTCAGATGGTTTGTCGTCGTTCTCTTGGTAGCGAAGAGGACGCCCCTTGTAAGCTGTTGTCAGGTCAAGTTCAGCATCTCCAGGATGCGGAGCCTCCCGCACGTTGGTCACGTCAAAGAACTTCGAACCAGTTGAGGAGTCCCAGAAAGGATCGAAATCCGGAAACCCTCGGGGAAGAACAGAACGTGCAGTCCGGCGGAACTTTGGGGTACCTCGGAAAGAAAGTGGGAAACGACCAGAAGGAGTGTAAACGAGCGACACGGTTCCGCAGATGTCTGGGTACGAAGCCCGCTGCCAAGGCTGAGCCACATTCACCAACATCTTCCACGAGACCGCCATACGCTTATCCAATCACGACTAACCGCGTTATAGAATCTGCTCCTCCTGCAGGAGGCGCTGAAACTGAGCTAGATCTATAACACCTTTGGACAGACCTCAAATGCAAGACTGACCGGCGTCTTATTGTACCCCCCTGCAGGAGGCGCTGAAGCTGAGCCAGAAGCTGCTGGGCGACGAGCACGTGCAGACGGCGGTATGCCTGCACACGCTGGCGCTGGTGTTTGACGCGATGGGCAACTACAAGCTGGCCATCCGGCACGAGACGAGCACGTACACCATTTTGAAGAAGGTGCTCGGGGAGGACGAGCAGCGCGTGCTTGACAGCGCCACCTTCCTGCGCCAGTTCAAGCAGAAGGACGCCGAGGTGAGGCGGCGCCGCGGGTCTCGTTTGCTTGGAACGAGTCGTAGGAAAGTACATGTTCCCTATTCGGCATCGTTGTAAGCTGTTGCTGTATGCGGATCAAATAACCAAAAGGGTGTACGAGATCTATGTTTGTCATCTGCTGGCGCTGAACCTGCTGGAGCACGAGATACAAGCGAAAGTGTGAACGGTGACTAATGGGGTTATGCCGCAGTTTTAGCTCAAACGGGAGTCCCCTCAACGAAGCTTTCAGGTTACATGGTCTCAGAGCGCTGCCTTCAAAGATCACATTGGTCCTGGACAAAGAACCCGGAACCGGTTAGCTCACAAAACCGAAATCGGCACCGTCCCCAAGTCCAAAAGTCGCAGAAAGAGCCCGCATCATTGGTCTTAAGATTTTCTTACCGATGCAGCAGATGTAATCCTCACCCCTGGTTCGCGGCCCTCTTTCTGCAGGCCCAGCAGCGCAAGAACAACCCGCTGCTGTCCCCGTCGGTCGCCCAAGTCGCGCTGCGGCAGCAGCAGTTGCAGGCGGCCATCCAGCGCGCAGGCGGCTACACCCAGTTCATGAAGCAGTACGAGCGGCAGGCCGCCGAGGCGCAGCCGCGCGTGCGCCGCGGGGTCGACGAGCGCACCGTCAAGGCGCAGGAGGAGATCCGGCGCAAGGCGCAGGCGCGCGGCGTGGGCCAGAACCGCGCAGAGCCCGGGAAGATGTCGTTTGAAGAGCTGCTGCGGCTCATCTCCGAGGGGGGCCACAATCTGAAGCACCAGGGCCCCCCCCCGGCAGGTGGGGCAGCGAAAGGTGCGGCGGGCAAGAAAGCGGGGGGGCCAACCGGGCTAGGGGCCCTTGGCGCTGCGGGGGGTCTGGGAGTCGGGTTGGGACCGAGGCTGCCCCCCGGGGGTGGCGCGGGCTCGTCTGCGCCGCCCACTCCGAAAGCCGGGAAAGAGTCAGTGAAAAAGCCGTCAGGAAGTGTGCCGGCGTCGCCAAACGCCAACGGGGGGGCAGCAGCTCCGCCGCAGGCTCCGCAGGGATTGGGCGGGGGGCTGGACCTGCCCGGGAAGGGGAAGGGGAAAGCCAAGGCCAAGAAGAGTAAAGATTAGAGAGGATTGGGCGACCGGAAAGGCAAGACCCTAGCCTTTCTACGTGAGTGTTTCCATCGAGTTTACCGACAGCCTAGTGTAGAAAGTAGGAGAAGCCTAGGCCGTGACGCTAGCAAAGTCACTGTTGTGACGAGTTGAGAATTCTGACTGACATTGGAATGCGTGCCTGGTCGAGCTCAGCTGGACGCAGCGCTTACGTTTTGCAACCAATCTACCTTTCGGCTGGCGGGACTACGGGGATCTTGATCGCGGTCTTGACTCGGTAGTCTATGCACAATTTCTTAACTGGAAAGTTTCGGGATCAACGCACCATGTGCATTCGTGATACATGCACTCGACTAGAGTCTTGGAGCTTTGTGGACTAAATGTGGCGCAGCCGCCGTGCGCATGACTTAAGGCCTGACGTATTGCGTCGATCATGCACGGACTTGCAGACCGTCTATCATTCAGTATCCACGATTTCAGTCATGAGCGGTTGGCTAGGGCCTACATCACCGGCGGCGGGGACCGTGACCTTAGGAAATGTTCATGGACCTTGAGAACCTGCACGGACTGGTCTTGACCGGCAATTGCATTAAGGACCCGACTCTTGAAAACCACGAATTATGTACGTTTATGCACAAATTATCCATATATGTGCATCAGTGGGCGCCCAAATCCTCTCGAATGCAGCCCATGTACGCAACTGCGTCGTCATGTCTAGCCCGGCGGCCCAGATCTTATGGACACGCTTGAGATGACCGTTAGCTTAGTACCCTTTCTGGCCCGGTGTGATCGACTCGATAGTGCGGCCGGCGCAGCTGCATATCGCGTACGTAAATGAATGCATGTTGCCGTGGTTTGCCACATGCCGGAGCACATGTAGCATGTGATATACTAATGTTGATTGCGAAAGAGTGTCACTTCCATCAACGTCGATTGTCACGCACCATGGTCACTGGTATACCAACCTGGCAGGGCTCAGTATAGTATACGCGGCCTTCTAGTCAGAGCAAGCACGTGCATGCTTCAGAATCAAAGCTGGAACCTTCAGTCAGTACCGATTGCCACGGCGTTCAACTTCGTGTCAAGGGCCTCGAACCACGTATACGGTAGCTATTTAGGACATGATGATTGCCTTTCGAAGTTCGAAGCCACCACGAGAAGCGGACAGTCAAACAACGTCAGCCCGACATTGCGTGCATAATGAAACATGCTTGGCGTGTCCATAGAAGTATTTTATGGACTTCTATGTTCGAGTGACATCCCGTATATCCTGACTTGACACGCTAGTGGGTGTCGCAATAAAGCTTGAGTTTCACTCTAGCATCCGCTGGTATTCTCGTGGGCTTATACCGCTTGTCCAAAAAGCAACCCACTGACGAGGCCTCGAGTACCTTCTGCAAGAGGAGACAGGCTTTTGGAAGATGAGTTCACCGGTTGAGTTAAGTAAAGCACGGAATTGTAAGCTGGAAAGGTCGGCCGCCAGCACTGATTCCTGGACATAAAAGTCGCGACAGGGTTCAATTTGAAGAGTTGGAAAGAGCAAACCTGAAGGGGTTCATACATTCGTGGATTGTTTGAAGACTCCGCACCTCTTTTTCCGGCAATCTGAAAACGGCCTGCTCGAAGATGAGTCGAACCGCAGACACCTTGGATATCCGGGTGCTGACGATAAAGTGGTCGCCACTCTGTAAGAACGTGTGGGGTTGCGTGGTCAGATTACCCAAATGACATGGTGACTTGCTGGAGGCAGTCAGGGCTTTTCAAGACTTTGATCAAACCTAGGCTTTGGCTGATCGACTTGAAGTAGGCAACCCAGAGACAATATGGAGGCAACAAACATGAACCAAACATCGGTACTTACCCGAAGCGGCCCAAAGAACTTGAGAGTCTGCTCCGCAAGTGCAAGCGCATCTCCAGTTCTCATGATTGCTTTGATGTCCAGGCCCATGTCCCGCAGCAGCTCATGACGGCCTGGAACGTACAACACAGGGAATGTCCTTCTCAATGATTGGGGAAGGTCGTCAATCTGACATTCCTGCCTTCATCGGGTTGATATTTGCAGCAGTGGCACAAGGCAATATCGTTTTGAGGGTACGGTTGTACTAAACCCAAGGCAAGCTTGGATTCTTGAAGACATGAGTCTGACTCTTTAATGAAACACACTGAATGTCCAGACTGTGATTCCACAAACTGACAGAGAAGATTCAAAGGCACTTAGGATAGAAGAAGAATGCATCTGAGAACATAGAGTACCTTGGTTCAAGCGCACCTGGCGCACTCCAAGTTGAGAGACCTGGTCCGAGAATGCAAATCTCACCATGCTCTATGTACACCGAGAATATCGCGTTGTTGACGACTCCGAAGGCATCCAGCTCTGAGTCCCGAACAGCAAGCTCGATCTCGAATGGGTTGGACATGCTGCCAAATAACAGTAGCGCACGGTCTCTTAAGCTAGATCCGGGAGGATGGCCATGCTGTGGCATTGGAGACTTGAAGGCAGTCACCAGACTTTCATTTGAACAGGTTATGACATAGGAAAGGCCCCTCAAGCCTCTTTTTTGGATATGATGAAGTTTTCTTCAATGTGAGCGTGAAGCTGCGTTTCCTGATGGACGGGAAAAGCTCCCGTGGCACGCGGGAGTCCAATGATGTCAGCTATAATGAAGTCTTTGGTACGCGAGTTGGTGGCAAGCCGGCAACCCAAAGCTGCAAGCCCAGAGCAACACTAAAAAGGAGTTTCATCTCAAGGAAGTCATACCACCAGTGAAACAATCAAACTCCTGCTAAAATACTTCGCTTCTGAATCTTTTGATGCAGCACACATGCCTAATATGTATGTCTCAAGACATTGATGCAGGCTGATGGAGAAGCCGTGGAGCCTTACTAGGGCTCACCAAGGAAAGTCATGGGTTTTCTGATAAACGCTTCTGCGCCATCTCCAAGAGATTGTGCCTTTGAGCTGCCCCTTTTTCCCGCCTTTCGGATCTGTTGACCACTCCCAAAAGGCAGAGTGCTATCTACCCTCAGCTGCGGCGGTGGCGGACTAATGCAGCAAGCAGGTTTGAAAGACGTTCTCGCCCATCGGCAATGTGAAGGACGGCTTGAAGATTCGCTCTCAAGCCTTTCGGTACCTGGGAAACGTGTGCAATCGCTAGCACAGTGCCCTGGGACCCTACAGAGGCGCTGCCATTCCAAAGTTGCTGATGATGCGGCCATTTTGTGGTGATGCTCATTGCCTGCAATGGCATTGCATGCAAGCTGATAATGCCAACTCTCTTCCGCACTCTCAAACCCTAAAACTTGAAACCTCAGAGTCAAGGCAGGGCCTGGGCAGGGCCAGGTTCGCGTCCCCTGAGCCCTCTGCTCTGCTTGGTGGCATTCATGATTGCAAAATTTGCGCTGGCAAAAACACTTCAGAGAAGATTCACCCCGAGACTTCTTGGCACCTGTGCGTGCTGCAGTCCGCATTGTCCTGCATATGGCGAGAGGCAGCGCCACTTTGGCACCAGATCAATCCCTGCAGGATGCCAGGAGGGGTGGCAGAAAGTCAAGTCAAACTCAGACAAATGCAGGCCTGCAATCGATCCGACGCTCTGAAGTGAAGTCCCCGAGTGATCAGCGCACACCGTTGCACCACATTGCTGCGCAGATTGATCTTTAAGGGCTGGTGACAGCAGTGGGCGTCAACCGTCTGCAGAGCACCACTTAATCAGCGGGGTTCTGGCAGCTACTGCACAACTGCGTTGATTGGCTTGCTGCATAGCAGGTCGAGTCAGCGATGGTGCAGTTGCGAGAGTTGTATCCTTGGCCAAAGCAGTGTTTCCTTGAGGTTGAACTTGAAGAAAGGAAGACTGTGCTGTCCAATTCTCTGGTCATACCCTTATAACCGTGCATGCAGTGAAACATTTGGCAGACTCCTTGCTGATCATGCTGCATTCGGTCCAGTGCCTTCACAGTTGTTATGATGTTCTCAGGGGATCACCATCATCTGACGCTCTTCTTGCTATCTGCTTGCATTGCTTTTTCATCTCCTGTCAAAGTCCTTGACCAGCGACCACAATCACAGCCGGGTAGTGCTCCCTGTGTCGGTTGAAGAGGTGAGCTGCCCAACCCCCTCCCTAATCCTGATCAGCGAGCCTGGAGTGACGTAATGCAGGATTATCCATTTCCAAGCTGTCAACATTGTCATAATCGATCTTGGGGGGGAAGTGCCCCAGGGGATCTCGGGTTGGGAGCTTTTTTGCAGTTGAGATAGACATTTGACCTTTCAATACATATGCTGTTTCCAAGACTGAATTGCGAGATTGTCCAGGTATCGATCGATGGAACAAAGGCCCAAAGATACGGGGGGCCATCAGTAAAGATTGCCCCATAACATGGCATCTAAAAAGTGCTACAGTGTTATTCCTTGAAGGTTCTGTTGTCCATTGTGTGTTTTCTGCATAAGTGAACCTGGAAATTCTTTTACCTGCAGTACCGAGTCGCTCAGCTGTACATGGTGGCCAAGTACTCCGCTGCTGAGTCAGGGGGCGACAGTGGTTCAGACGGAGTTGAGATTGTGAAGAACGAACCATTTGAGAATGACTTTGGCCGGGGCCAGTACACCAACAAGATCTACCACTTGGCGAGCAAGCTACCGTCCTGGCTGGTCAGCCTCATCCCAAAGAACGCCCTGACGCTGGAGGAAGAGGCATGGAACGCATACCCCCGCTGCGTTACAGGTGCGTCGAACTGCACATCCTCGTGCACTGTCATTCACAGGAGTGGAAAAGGAGTGCGCCTGGTCATCTGCATGAAGTCGATGCAAAACGGAGGCTGTGTGCAGATTGCCGACATCTACGAAGCGCTGATCAAGGGCTTTTGTTGATCATGTACTTTCCTGTGCATGTGTTTGCCAACCTTCTGCAGTTTTGAAGGTGAGAAAAACAAAACCTTTTTTACTTTTGGAAGGAACTAGCTTCCGCCTCTTGTCTGTTGCTTCTTCCATGTCTGTAGCACTGCCCACTTTTAGTTCCCCTAATTTCTGCTTCCGCGAAAAAGCTTGTGAACCTCCATTCTGAGTGCTTCAATTGACCTAAGCTTTCTGATGCAGTGCCCTTATCTCAGCAAGTTCAAGCTCCAGCTTGACACCATGCATCTTCCAGACAGAGGAGACTCAGACAATGTAAGTTCTGTCCGCCGATTGAATGCAGATTGAGGAACTTTGTGCTTGCTCACTCAATCCGGTCCCATTATGAGGTTGGACTTACAATTTTCCCCACAGACTAACCAGTAACAAAGTTAGGCGGTAAGTAGACATACTTCTTGATCGTTGTATGCTTCAAGGCGATCCTAGAAAGATCATTCGGTCATGTGTGAGAAGCCGACCCTCCTTGCAGGCCTTGGATATGAGCGCTGCTCAACTGAAGAAGAGGCAGGTCGAAATGATTGACATTGCAACGGACCCGGTGGAGAAATATGTGGAAGAGGAGGACCCCTGCAAATTCAAGTCCAAGAAAACAGGGCGAGGGCCTCTGAAGGCAGGCTGGCATGTAAGTCGATGGTTCTGACGCCTCAACTTTATGTCGTCACCTCTTGGCAGTATGTGGATCAGGAGCTGTTTCCTCAGTCAAACAGGATTGCCTTTTTCGTCACCATCTTGCAGGACGGTTCATCTGTCAGGTTGTACAGGGCTGCGCACTTCGAACCTGCAGCCAGTGGCGGCTCCTTCGAAGAAGCAGATGCCCAAGAATGAAGGCATCTGAGATGATTGAGACAACCCTCTTATATCGCTGTACTCGGGACTCAGGATATAGTGGTCACGCAACAGCTTCCGTTTAGAGGACAATTGCTGGTGGACAGTATCGGTGTGCTATTACTAGCAACCTACCAACTGCCCCTATCACTCTTCCCTCTGGTTCTGTCTGTGCAGAAAAAGTGCGACCCTGTGATGACTGCGTACAAGCTGGTGACGGTGGACGTGCCCTACTTCGGTTGGGGCAGCTCCGTGGAAAAGTTCGTAGCAAAGGTAGGCAGCCCGGCCCCGTTTCAAACCTAAGCAGCTTCGTTCACGAGTGCTGCGGTTTCAGCCCTACTTTTGATTCAACCTCGGAGCTTTTCTCTCTTTTTCGAGGTTCGTCTCTCCACAGCAGATCCGTATAATGGTATGGCGCAAGATTCGAACCGTTGCAACGTTTTCAAACGTGAAAACGGCGTATGCCTCGTCTAAAACGGTGTCGAATTGAATTAGACGGTCAGTAAGTCGTCTAAGATTGCAGGTCGACGTCATTGTTGCGCGCTTCAACTGCTTCTATGCAGGCTTTGTGCTTGGCACGAGATTGCCGGAATGTGACGCATGCGCTGGCGTCGTGCAGCATGCACAGCGGAAGGTGCTGCTGGAGGGCCACCGCAAGCTGTTCTGTTGGCTGGACGAGTGGTTCGGCCTGAGCATGGACGACATTCGGGCTATGGAAAAAGAGACGGCGGAGGCCATGCTCCGGGTGAGTCCTCGCATCCCGTCCGTGGAGTTTGAGGCCGTTGTTCGCCGACAGTTCATCCAGACAAATCGAATAGGTCCGGAGGAATAGTCGAGTTCTCGTGGCACTCGACTTGCCAAGATGGGAAGCGAGGGCCAATTGCGTTGCCGAGTTGGCTTTCCCGACTTCGTTTTCCTGAAGCAGCGTGACAGATTGAATGGACTCCTGTGTGAAGCACTTGCTGTCACTCACAGGCACGTGGCGTCTCACGGCCGCGGGACGATAGTGACATCGACGTTGTAGACGAGGACGACAGACCGGCCATCAACGAAGTGGAGGTGGCTGGCACTGACGGCGAAGGCCGGGGACAGGATGCGGTGGAAGGGGGGACTCCGGGGCGGGTAAGCGGCAGCGTTTGAAAGGAAAGCTGGGCTCTGCCTGTCTGCCTGTCCTGACCAGGTTCTCGAGTAGTTTCAACAACCGCGGGCAGTCTGATACTGGTCGGCATTTGCTAGATACGGCTGTCTGAGGCACCCGATGACCGTGCCTGTGGTTTTCGATCTCGGACAAGGTCCTTACAATACTCCGTTGTGCACTAAGCAGCTTAGGCCGTGCCCTTTTGGTTTTTGTGGGTCGAATGTCGTCGATGTGCTCTCGTCGATCGACACAATCCGACTGGTCAGAGGCAAAGGGAAACGCCCTACCGATCTAGCACCTTTGTTCTGCTGTGTCCTAGCGAAAACCTTCTCTTCCACGTCAGCTGTCCAGAATGTCGAGCCCAGTTTCCGGTCCGCAGGTTTCACGCCAAGGGAGCGGCGCCAGTGACGGGCCCGATCCGGGGCGGCTGGGGCGGCAGCTCTCGCGGCGGGCGTCCCGTTTGTCGCGCAGCAACTCCGAGGAGAACAAGCCCAGCCTGAGCCGCAGGACGAGCTTCAACTCGGCGGGGCCGTCGTTCTCAATGGGCATCGCCACCAACTCCGCGCTTGAGGACCCTCAGACGCCGGGCACGGGAGACGTGCCCCCTATGCCGTCGTACAACCGGGTGGTCACGCCGAGGAGTAAAGCGAACGCCGATGGTGCGTTCGCGAACGGGATCGCCAGGGACCCGGGCATCGAGCACATGCCGTCCATTCCGTCGTTTGCGGAGCTGGAGACTGGCGGCGGCGTAGCGAGCCCCGTCAAGAGGACGCTGGTGATGGAAGAGGTGTCGGCGGGGTATGAGAGCGAGGAGGTTAGGCACGCGATCTTGCAGCTCGATACGGCGATCGGGCTGGTGAAGAACAAACCGGGGGATGCGGGAGCCAACGGAGAAGCGAACGGGTCAAAGACACTGGCCGTGAGCGCACAGGCTGGAGCGAGCATGAACGGTGGTGATGGGAGCGAGGTGAAGCACTGTGTGTCCGTGCTCGATTCAGTGATGAGGTCTCTCAAGATAAAGGCGTCAAAATAAGTAGATGCAGCGCTTCTTTGCCGCGATGGCCGATGCTAGGAATTTGGGGCTCGCAGATTTGCATTGGCGCAACAGTCGTTTTTCGTTCATCCTGAGACATCATGGACATTGTCCCAATCTGCAACCAGACGGCGATACCAGGGCGTCGGAATGGATATACAGATTTAGCTGATGTAGGCTCACGCGAAGTAAAGCCTCCTGTTCAAAGAAGACCTGAAAGACGGTACAATAAACTTCATAAAACAATCTTCTTTTGAGTACCACAGCGGGCCATGGCCCCGAAGATGGTTACTAGAAGGCTGTAATTGGTGTGCGTACTAATGGATCCATCAGGCAATGGTCCAATCGTCATTTCGAGGCACCAATCAGAGATCGATGGTCTGAGCTGAGGCATGGTACATGTGAGTATATATTATTGTGCAGCATGCCGGCCCCGCTCATGGCCTGTGCATATATTTCAAGTTTCGTCATACATCAATTCACCGAGCGGCCGGTGGAGTTTGCAACATGTGTGTCCATGGCATGCAGACCGGTCTTCATGTGTGTCATTGTATGCAGCAGCCTGCAGTGCATGGCCCACCTGCAATTCGTTACTCACGGATCCGACATGTAGTGTGGTAAGCTATAGCTTCGATGCATGAAAATGTCGAGCTAGCAATGCTAGTATTGCTCGCGCGCGCACGAGAGCTGCTCGCGTGCCTCAGTAGCTTGTTGCACATGCAAGCACTGCAAAAATCCACATCCTTAATCGCAAGCGCTAGCGGTGCGACGTCGGCACATGGCCCTCAACAACATGTTATGTGAGCGACCGCCGGACCGCCGTCGCAATTGATGTCCCGGTTAAAGCGCGTGCAAGCTTTTTCCATGCATAAATCTAGTATGAACCATGTATTGATCGATGTAGTAGCTGTGTGACATGGCTCGATGCATGAAGAATCTGCTTGTTTTGTGATTCGAACTACTTCTCCGAAAGGCAAAGCTTACCATGTTCCACGGCTCTGATCATAGATTTGACTAAGAGCGTTGACAAATGGAAAACTACCAATTGCAAGGAAATCCAAACATCTACCTCGGAGCATCAACCTAGGCCAGCGCTGAAACGAACTACTCTTTGAAGGTCTTCAACACCTGTGGTACAGCATGCATCTATCCTACCATTTCGTTGGGGGAAAAAAATTCCAATTGGTAAAGGATGCGGGTTACAGCTACAGCTTAGCGCAACAATCTCGAAAAGAGACAAGTGCAGAAATGATATCAAGTCAAACAACTTTTGTTGAGTGCATCCCAGAGGACAGACAGATCAAGGTTGCCGCCACATAAGACGACACCAACGTTCTTGACGTCTTTCCACTCCTCGTTTTCGTGAAATGCTGACGACAAAACAGCTGCCAACCCAACAGCCCCACTAGGTTCTACGGCTACTTTAAGCTGCTCGTAAACGACCTTCATTGCTGCGACTATCTCCTTGTCATCGACTGTCACGACAGCATCGACGAGGTCTCTCACGACAGGCCTGCAGAACCATCACAGCACAGCTGCTCAAATGCGTCTCCATGCTTGTCACCTCTGATGCACCAAAAACAGGCAGTACGAACAAGAGCAGATGCGGAGCCAGGCGCAGCTCTTCGACTTCCAAGCAGGACCAGTCGCTCAGCTAAACACCTTACTCGGATTTTGGCACCCGAAGCACCGCTGATCACAGAGAGCTCTAAGTGTCCAAGCCGGCCTGAAAAAGCCATGATCTCCTATAGGCGACCAGCCCTAGCAGACGTTACTCACCATGTTAGGTCACCCAAACTGGCTCGAAGGCCATCCGCGATAGTCTTGGGCGCCGTACAGGGTATGCATTTCCCAGCCGCTTTGGAGAGAGCCGCATCATTGGCCCCTGCCGGCTCTGCGGCGATGATGCGGATCCCTGGCTTGAGAGCCTTTGCCGCAATGGCGATGCCGGAGATCATGCCACCCCCTGCCATACAGATGACGCCCAAATTAGGGTAGGGGGTCTCAGTCACCAACTTATCCCCAGTCACCAGCGGTTTAGATATTGTCCAAACTTATGGCTCAACGAATCAATAATCGTTTGCAGAGCTTTGGTTGATAGATTGGACATCCAGGGCACGCCGACTTTCTCACTTGGGATGCGAGAGACCAAGAAAACTGGTTCGACCATTGGAGGCTTAGCCTATCTACAGACTGGTCTGCATCACATCAAAGTCAACGCCGGAAACTCCCAACCCCATTAGGACTCGACAAACTTTGTTGTGCGTCCGGTAGACTCCAAGATTGGACTATCTAGAGTATTATTGGAGACAACTCAAACAAAGTCCTGTGTTCCTCACCGCTGATTGGCACGACTATAGCTTCGAGGTCCGGCACCTGCTCCAATAACTCCAGTGCGATTGTCCCCTGGCCACTTATTGTTGGCCCGTAGTTAAACGGCGGAATCATTATGGCGCCAGTCTTCTTCTGAATGAGGCTGGCAGCCTCTTCCCTTGCCTGCAGAGTCGGTTCACAGAAGACGACGTCCCCACCATACCTTCGAACAGCGGCCACTTTGCATTCTGGGGCTCCGTTAGGGACCACAATGTGTGCAGAGATGTTGCGGAGGCTGGCGGCAAGGGCGCATGCTGCGGCATGGTTGCCACTGCAAGCCATGAGGATGACAATAAGGGCCAAAAAAGTCCTTCAACTCTGAGAGTTAGTTGGCAGCAGAGTCCGGAAAGTGGAAGGCGCATTTGACCATTTCAAATTGGACATACTAAATGCAACATCCGTCCAGGGGACCCGTGCAATTGCTCCAATCGACATTCAGCTCAAATATTAAGAAAGAGGACTCCCAGACTTGGGCCCGCTGAAAACATCAGATGGTGCGGCTATCACTCCCAATAATATTAAAGCTCTTATCAAGGAAGATGAGGGGACTTGCCTGCTGTGAGTAACAACTCCGTGCCTTGCATCTTCGTCCGACAAGGAAAAGATGGAATTGCAGGCCCCCCGGAATTTGAACGAACCTCTGAGACAAGAGGGGGACGGTTTTGTCAGCTGGGGTAAAAAGAGGTGGTAGGCCTGGTGGTGGTAGCTCAAGTCATCTCTTCAGTGAGCATTCATATGCTTCCACAAAAGTCGCTTCAACATGAAGCACCAGGAGCCATCAGATCAATCTCCCACTTGCAAGGACCTTTTTGCTGAAGATGCAGAAGAATCAGAGTTGTGCCGCTTATGGGCCGAAGAGCAGCGTGCAAATGACTTGGCATGCTCTGTCGTGTATAATGTTGGAACCCATAAGTAGGATCAAATGCATTTAATGTGCAAACAGGAAGTGTGGCTAATCTCACCAATGCGGTGGTGAGCTCCACTCACCCCTTCTGGAACACCTCACATTTGAAGTGCAGGCTCCTTCCCTTTGCGAGACCATCTACAGACGACGACGTAAGAACTGGGGTGACATGGGCATACGGAGCAATCCGCTTCTGAGCATCTTTAATGCTGTCAATATCCGCGGCATAGGTCATGGAGGGCGCCATCTAGCAGAGTGTCATGGGCCGGTTGCTTCAACTTCAAGTCTGAAGCATGTCATGATCAACAATTGCAATGATGCTGGATTATATGGCTACCCCCCTGGGCCCCTTCCTTGAAGTTGAGCGCCTTGGCCCTTGCGAATGCCAAATGTTGGCATTGGGTATAGAAAGGAGCTGATCGACATGCTTAATTCTGCGAGCCTAAAAGTTGGCATGGGGGTGAAGGTAGGGAACACTTTCGGAATTCTCTGCTCGGAGATATACACCGGCTACTTGCAGGGGTCAGAGAAGGTGATGTGATGTTCCCGGCTACCTAGTCGGTAGACCAGGTTGAGCTGTTTTATGGAGCGCATGGGGGGGTACGTGGTCAACACTGACAAAACAGCTAGGTAGAGATCGACGGGCACAAGTTCAACTACTAGTACAAGAGCTGCGTTTCCAAAGAGAAGGAGCGAACGGTCAGCATGGCCGCTCACAAGATTGCCTTCCTGGTGCTCGCCATCCTCTGTGGTGTGCTGCTGCTGACAGACGGTGAGTTGCTTGGTCTTGGATGGCTGTATTGATGTAGGCTTGAGCTTCTTCTGCTTCAATGGGGGGAGCCATACTTAGACTCGAGAATATTGCTTCCAGATGCAGCTTGTAGCTCCCCATCATCTGACGCTCGATGAAGAAGTGACTGAACATCACTACAAATGCGTTTCAGGTCAATAAATAGTATGAGTTTGATTTTGCAGTTGTATCTGCCAAGAAGAAGTCGAAGGATGTCACGGAACTTCAGATTGGTGTGAAGGTAAGCATTCTTCATTGCGCGAGCCTTGATGAGAAAAGGGGCCATGATCAACGCCCCAGTCTATAATGTGTCGATCTGTGCTCCCGCTACTTCAGAATACGGACGATATTCAAGCTGTTGTGTTGCAATTGAGAGTGCTTTGTAAAGTGTTTCCCAAAATCCTAGCAAAACAGCCCAAAATTGGTTACAATCTTGGCCACTGGTAGCCCAGACCCGCCGCTTATAGTTCTCCCCCTGGCTTTCCAGTTCAAGCCTGAGGTGTGCTCCATCAAAGCCTCCAAGGGTGACCAAGTGTCGGTGCACTATCGGGTGAGTATGGTGCCTCCACAATACCCTCAGAGACACCCAAAGGACATCATGTCCCAGAGGACATGATGTGAGAGGCGGTGCACATCAATGTCCTTTGGTGACCTGTTACTAGAGTTTGAGGCACTTCTTCTGAAAGTTTTGCAGTGCAGCGCATTGTAGGTTCAAGATGGTTTTAAGTTCTATCTCAACATGACTGTTTCGATCCCCAATGTGAACCTGAATGCATGACTCAGACACAATTGCCTGCAGGGGAGCCTGACTGATGGTTCCCAGTTTGACGCAAGCTACGATCGTGGTGCGCCATTTGATTTCAAGCTCGGTGCTGGCCAAGTCATCAAAGGTAGGCAGAGAAACTTTGCCCAATGACTTTTTCTGAATATCCTCTCCTCAACAACGCAGGGCATGCTCACCGATGGGACAGTCTTTGATGCTAGCTATGACAGAGGGCAGCCAATCGACTTTGAACTTGGAGTTGGCAGGGTCATCAAAGGTGGGTCTAATCTTGTGCCGTTGGATGGAACAAGCTGCCGAGGCTCTGGCTTTGAGTGCAAGGCTACAGCAAGGGATTCTGAAGTGGGCTTTCAAAAAGCGCTTTGCTACGTTAGTGCAGTATGGCCGCTAAGTCCAGCCGACACCGTCTGTTGGCAAAGCACCCAACGTGCTGACACGTATGCTCCATATCCGTTTATGTTCTGGCAATCTGCTAACCTACTGGTGCTTTTGCGACAGGTTGGGATCAGGGCATTGCTGGGATGTGCATAGGCGAGAAGCGCAAGCTCCGGATCCCCTCCAGCTTGGGGTATGGTGACCATGGTTCTCCACCAAAGATTCCAGGTATGCGGAATGTTGTCAAACCTGGAAGCTGGAAATTGTGCTCGTATTCTATTCCGGTGTGCTCTTGTTGTTCTTACGTGAGCATTTCATGACATCCACAATCACTTTGTCACCGTGCAAAGTGCAAGGATGCTGATGCATCTTTGTGTTCATGCAGGCGGGGCTACTCTCGTTTTTGACACTGAGCTGATCGCAATCAACGGGGTTGATAAGGACCCTGCAGCAAAAGCACAGGAGTTGAGATAGATTGGCTAGATCGGCTTAAAATTGAGGTGCAGTTACAGAGAGCATTAAATGCTTTCTCCTGCAGGCCTAGTCGCGATTGCAGACCATATCAGTTCTTCATTTGAAACACTTGCGATTTCTTGGACATCTTGGTGGTCGTATGGATGTCGTGCGATATTCACCTTCATGATATGTCACGTGTCGCCTAGTCACAACATTGATTCGAGATTGTAGTCTTCTGAGTCTGTGATAGCAGCTTTGTTATTGCACGCTAAGTATCTCTTGCATGTTCCTGACAAACGCGCATCCTTGCGATTACCATCTGAGGTCGATCAATGCGGATGGTCAACTCAAAATAGCTGCATACCTATATAGCTGCTCGGCCGCCTCTGGTTTGTGCACGACAAATCAGGACTGCCACTTCAATAACGACTCCGTCTGAGATTTGGTCATAGTGTATGCAGCTAGGATTGGTAGCTGAGCCCGCCGACTGAGCTCTAAATCTCGTCAGGATCAAATGTTAGATCTAGCTAGCTCTGATCCAGGCCGGTTGGAGGCCTATAGCTATAGACTTCAAAGATTCAGTCCGTTCTGCATACAAGATTCAACAGGCCGTGTCCTAGCGAGCTGTACATATGGCCAACCTAGGCCTAGGATCCAATCGTCACGCAACACTTTGCGGGGTCCGAATAGAATCAACAATTCAACTCTAGCAATCAGCAAGAGCTCTGATTTTCTAAGAGGATGCCAACCTAACCACTACGAATCGTGCCAGCCATGCAGTGCATTACAACTCGTCCGTAGCTACATTGAATACGACCCGGCTCCACCGACCCCAGCCGCAGCATACGGTATCGTTCTCGAGTCGGGCGTGGGCCGCAGCAACGTGCGCCGCTCCTCTGAAGTTTTTGACATGACCCGCATGGCTAGCTGAATGCAGTCGTCGGTGGCCCGGCCGTGGGGGTAGTCGTGGCACTCCAGGTCCGGGACAAGGCCCCCGCTGCAAGTCAGGGCACCAGCAAGTGACGTCACGCGAGAATCGTAGATTGTTTCCGCCGAAAGTGCTCACTGATAGCGTGAATCTATCGCCATTCCAACCTTTCGCAGCGGGAAAGAGCCGTGGAGGATAGATGCGAGGTTGGGCCAACTTGCTGACTGCACACCTCACTCTCAACGAGGTGGGTTGGAGTCCTCCCCGCTTGAGCTCTCCCTGCCACACTGAAACATCTCCTGGTCTTCTTACGCTCCTAGGATGGTCGAGTACCCTGTTTTCAGACCAGGTGCGCTCCTAAGAGTCGTCTACTAGATTTTCAAGGGGTCCTGATAGATTTTCAAGGGGTCCTGATAGATTTTCAAGGGGTCCTGAATCTTTTGGAATGCGCGCGGGTGCTGACCTGGCGGCGATGTCGTACTTGGCGGGCGTGAGGTACTTGGCGACGGTGAGCTTGAGGCCCGAGCCGTCGGTCATAGGGAAGTAGTACTGAATGACGCCCTTCCCGAAAGAACGCTCCCCGACATACACCGCGCGGCTGTTGTCGCGCAGTGCGCCAGCCAGAACCTGCGCGTCAGCTTAAACCTAAGACGCCATGGTCTCGGGGTTGGCCAAGAGAACAGCGATACGAGCGGGTTCTGTGAAGATTCAAGACTCTCTGCAGGGTTAGGAAATCCTAGGTTGCAGACTGCGGCTCCAGAATCTGTTGCCGGTTCAGACAGCGAATCAAGCGGTTTGTCGAACACTGCAGTTTCGTGTGCTCCGTTCAACCGGAGCCTCGGCGTCTGGCCCAAGGAGGCTTCGACTACGAAACCTGGACGATGTGAAGGCTCTGGCGTGATCTTACAGTCCTGCAGAGCTCGAAAAAGATAGGCCGCATCCCCTTGGAACACTCCGCTGCCTGCGTGTTCTCTGAGATAGTGCAAAAAACAAAAAACGCCACTTGTAGATCTCTTTGGCTCGCCTGACGAGGTTGCGACAAGGAACGAGGAGCCAGGCGCAACAGCCCATCTGCAAAAACGTTGGACTTTTTTCCCCAGCAAAAGGTCCGACTTTTCGCCAGAAAGCGAGTGAAAGGAGTGCGCTGACCTCGCTCGCACTGGCGCTGCCCCGGTTGGCCAGCACGACGAGGGGTGCCCGGGTGAGGTTCCCCGGGTGGGCGGGGAAGACGTTCTTGCTCAGGTTGTCCGCCTGGTAGATGACGTCATCCCCCGCGTTGGTGTTGACGGTGGTGACGACCTGGCAGCTGCCGCAGTCCAGCCACAGCGCAGCGCACGCCACGGCTTCCTCAAATACGCCCCCCGGGTTGTTCCGCAGGTCGAGAACTAGGGCGAGGGCGAAAGTGCAGGGTTTAGGCGGGCAGGTCGCCCAAAATGCAACATGGCATGGGCAGAAATTGCACGGAACAGTTGGGTGCTTAAGCGAACCTCCTGTGAAAGGTTCGCAGATCTTCCCAGCTGAGAGACTTTGCTTACGAAGGCAGGTACGAGAAATAAAATGCACGGTCGTAGTTTGCGGGGACCTATTTAGAACGGGTCTTCGCGCTTTCCTGAATAGAATATGAAGGAGCCACCGCCAGAATGTTTGGTCACTTGCCAACTCACTTACTGACCTCACGATGGACTCTGAAAATATTAGCCGATGATAAGGAACGAACGAGAAATAGTCCGCTGTGCGACTCACTGTATCCATCAACGCCGAGCGCCTCCCCTTCTTTTATGGCGGCCTGCACCATCCGCGTTCCGTCTGAAGAAAAGTAGTGTAACCGAATGTACGAGAAGAGCTGCCCGCCCGGCCCGCTGACGTTGAAGTGCTTCATTGGCGGCCGCGGAAGCGTTCGCCGCTCGATCGTCACCTGGCGCTCCTGCCCCGCGAGACTGACCACGTCTAGTTGTACCTGTGGACATGGGTGGGTGAAGTGTCCGTCGAAGGGCGTCGGAAGCCAAGGTTGCTGGCTACTGTACGGCAGCAGTCGCGCTCCCATGGTGGTGAAATTGAACGCTTGATCTTCAAAATAGCGTGTGGGAAAGGACGAACTTCTGGCTTTTGACCCCTGAAATGGAAGTGACTTCGTGAAGCTCTTCCCAACCTTTTCTGACCTCTGAGGAGGAAGTGACTCCTCGAAGCGCTCTTCGGATTGGAAGAATGTTTGTGAACGGGGTAGGAAGGACGGGACCCGTTTGCAGAGCTCGGTTTGCAGGGTTCTTGTGCAAGAAATATATGAGGGAGTCTGCTGACGACAAACAGGATCCGAAACACTGTCATAAACGGGCAGGTTGAGCAGTTTTGAGTCAAATGCATCGAGATAGAGGACACCAATCGAGGATAATGAATGTTGTATCTCGGGGCACTCAGATTGGTCGACGGGTTCTGCACGAGAGCTCCAGCGATGACGTTGCAAAAGCCCAGCACACGTACCGGTGACCCCACAGGCCCCCGCATGAGAGTGGCGGCCTCGTCTCTCGTGAGCTGCTCGCAGGGGAGGCCATCAATGGCCACCAGGCTCTCCCCCGGCCGAATGCCCGCTTCCTCCGCCGGCGAACTGGCAAACGGGGCCACGATAGTGAATCCCCCCAAGGGAGACACAGGGCCCAACTGCAGATACACAACTCTACTGTCAGCCGTTAAAATCAAACCGGCTTTGCTTTCAGGGATTGCATGCGATACGGAATTTGGGCCACCTGAGCTAAGTTCGAAACCCGTTGCGCGGTCTGGTAGTTGCGAATTTGGTGGTAAAGTTCGCCCAACTTTTGTGGATAGAACAAAACGATCCGGATTAATCGGCGTGGCTCATGCGTATGGAATGAAGCTTGATACAACCCCCCCGCGATGCTGCAAGAATTGGCCACACAATTGTCAACAATGGAAGGACGAGGAAGTTTTCGATGCCACCAGTATGTATATATAGCGTTCCGTCCACTTTTGCAAGTGCAACCGCCTTCTGAATCCATCTGGCAAAAAGCACGGGAGAGCTGAGTCGAGCTTGTCTCAAAGTAGGCGCTCCGGAATTTGACCGATGGGATAGTAACTTAGCCTTCAAAACCAAGTTGGTTGAAGCTTCACCAAAAGTTTCAGTCTCACCTCGATGCCAATCCCTGTGTACTGCGCCGCGAGGTATCGCACCTCTGAGGGGTTTGGGTGCCGGATGGCCAGCCGGTACAAAGAGGGGGGTAGAAATGCACTGTAGCGGTCCCCCAAGGACGCCACCATGTCGGTCAGGACGGCGTACGTTTGCGCTTTGGTGCGCAGCAAGCCCCCCGCTTTTGCCATGCTGGTGTACAGTGCTTGGGCCCACTTGGCCTGCAAGATTAGACACGGTTGATGAAGAGAGAGCCTGTGTATTTGGGCTTGAATTGTCTACCACTGGCAGTATGTATGGGAGAAGGTGCTTCCCTCCGAGGGGGGATGAAACTCCGTATTCATGTCATCCAGGACTTGATGTTCTTAGGACCTATGTGGGTCCCCAACCTAAATCTATAGTAGCAAGGTAGTCGATCGGAGTGAAAGGAAAGTCTTTTGTCGCCAGCACGAAGATTACTAAGCAGGAGTTTCTGTTTGCCGGACACAGGATCAATGTGACCCCTCATTGTACACCACAACCAATGTCGCCATCGAAGCAGTGGCCCATCTTTCAGATACTGGCTCTGAAGACGCTGACAGCCACTGCTCATTTGGGAACAGGAACTAGAGTGGCCTCAATTCCAAAACGTACACAATTTGCTGTCTATTCCCCTTTCCATGCAGGCTAGCTCCCATCCCCTCACCTGCGAGAAACCGCGCACCGGATCGTAGAACTCATTCGACACAACCTGCCAGGCCCGCTCGACCAGCTTTCGGTTCTGCAAGCACTCGGCGCACGCATTCTCCTCCTCCTCCTTGGTCTCAATCAACCGCCCGTACTCTCGTACAATGTTCATTCCTTCCCAGGCGTCATCTGTGAACATTGCACGATGGGCTTCCTCGTCATTGTGCAACTCGCTCAACCGCCCGTACACCATCTCATTGTAGGAGCCCTGACCTCCACTCGCCGCAGTCTCACTGCTCACTGATGTCGGTGAGAGCTCCGGGGCGGTCAGCGAGGCAGTTGACAACACGGGCTCCGGATCACTGCTGTTTGCAGCTTCAGGAAGACTGGTGGCGTTGAACGCTACATTGTGAATCAGTTCCAAACGCTGCTGTTCGGTTGCATGGCTCAGCTCGGCGAGCGCAACGTCCCCGCTGCTTGCAGAAAGCACCAGCCCAGCGGCGACGGCGCCTGTCACTAAACTGGAGACAATCCTGCTTGAAGCAATGCTGTATGTTTTGCTGAGCAGCTTGGGAGCGCCGTCTTCTATCTGGGCACAACCACCACCTACTGAAGGGCCCTCCGTACCTCTTTTTAACATGCAAGCCTTGGCAGAGGCTGATTTGGAGAGCGCAGAAAAGGTCGCATGAAGACATCCCTTCCGTGTAGTTTCCAGCTTGCATGTGCCGTGCCACACCAAACGAGTGCCACAGAAGCTGCCAATGTGATTGCAGACATTGTTGCAAGCTGCTTTTCTTCTAGGATATGGAGAGCTCTTTGTCTGCATTGACTCCCCCCACCTGTTGCCTGTGATTGACCCATAATTAGGCGTTCTCAAGCCTGGTCTCAGGCTGCAGAGAGATCCGCTGAGAGCCATCTGGTCTTGGGCCCCTCCTACCAGTACGCGTGAAAGCAGCTTTACATGAGAGCTTGCAGCAGCGGAGATACAACCGTCCCGCCTACATTCTCGGGATTCGGAGAATACTACCCACTACCAGTGGCAGACCGCATTTGGCTAACATCACAGCATTGGCAAACAGGACACCAGCGGCGAGCGCTCTCCTCACACACCGTCTGCATTGCCATTGGCATTGGCGCGCATGAGGGACGCATGCAGGAGCCTGAGGGCGTGCAGAGAGCAACGAAAAGCTGGCCACTCAACAAAATGTTACGCAAGCCACGAGCCTGCCGAGGCGTCCCGTCTTGCTCGCCGGTTTCCGACCCTGTTTCTTTGACACTGGCATTTGATTTCATTCTTCGGTAGACCATGGGCAAGTTGCCCGGTGCCAAAGATGCGAAGGAGCCGCCTGTTGCCGGTGGAGCCAATCCGGCAATATTCAGTTGGAGCGCGCGCAAAACTTTGTTCATGGCGGTATAACCGACTGTGCTGCGCAGCCTGCGCTCTAGATACCTAGAGTCCGACTGGGGTCCGACTCTAATCAGTGAAGATCAGAGCCTGAGGTGCTGATGAATCCCTTAAGTTTTGTGGCGGATCGCTTCATGTTCAGAGCTGTGCTAGCTCATCATTTGGGAGCCCTGGCGCCCCCTTTGGCCACATCGATGAGGGGCAAGCTTTGTGCCTACTAGGTACATAACAAGGGCACGTGCCAAGCTGTGGTCTCGGACAATTGCAGAAGCTCTAGCTGCAGCATCAGCAAACTAGCTGAGAATAACTTTGCAGATTGGCAAGCTGCTATTCCCGTGTGTTTCTGGTGCTACAAGCTCTCAGTTGGGGCCCTTGATAGACATGATTGCAATCTGTCTAAACTTGAATTGCAGCAGTACTTCATGCAGCCAGCAGCTCACGACCAACGGCTCGTAAACAAAAAGAGCTTGGAAGTTTCAGCCAACTCAAAACCTGCGCAACTGCTTTACTGATAGAAAGCAAGCTGGCCAAATTATACCAAAGCAATGAGCTAACCTTGGTCGACAGTGGCGGAACTGCGGACCCTGATATGGGCTCCTGGTTGGGCTTGACCTCAATCTGCCTTACCCCCCTGCTTCTGCCCTGGTACATCACTTTTGTCAGATACTTCAAGCCAGCAACCATGGTGGAGGAGATTACGTTGCCAGCTCGATTCCTGACTACAGCAGCGCACCTTGTCTGCAGCTTGACGATCTTTTATGACGTGGTAAGAAATCTTTTGTAGGAGCAAGATGTTGGTAATTGCGTGTGTTTCTCATCTCTTTGCAAGTAGATACTTATCAGCATTTCATGAAGTATGGGGCTTGCACTGTTCTCACAAACATCCTCTCAATACTTTTGAGTTTTAGCTGTGCTTGAGAGTCTAGCTTTTGTCAGCTTTCAACGTTGCGGTATAACCAACAGTTGGTTTCAATCTTGGCTGGTTGGCGGCTTTCTCTTCTTGACTGAACTCTGCAGCATTTATCGATGATGCAACTTTCCAACCATCATTCAATTTCCAAATTCAGCACTGTAAGAAATGAAAATGGTAATAAATGAAAATGGTTAGTGGTAGCTGCCATTGGCCAAGTGGTTCGAAGAGCATCTGGCCAGCTATAACACAAACGTTTTGCTTGGCCTGCAGGACAACATAGTGTTGCGTGCTCTGGATATCAATGCAACAGAGCCTCAAGTGCAAAGGCATCGAACAGAGTGAGTCTGGGTTTAAACAGTTCGTTCACTTTTAACCCGGACATACCGCTGATCTTCTCTGCCACACACAGTGGAGACTTTAAAAGGTCCAATAGGTTAAGTGAGCTGACAGCGAGCAAAGTCTGGCTGAAAGACATTTTCGTCTTTCGCTTGACCCGTTGCAGCAGGGTCTGTTGCCCCTGTAGACAGCTTTGGTGATCACACAGACCCAAAACTCTTTCTTTGAAGCAAGCTTTCCATACAACGTCACGTTTCTTGCAATTAACTGCTGTGGGCTCACAAGACCTCTCCATGAATTTTTCAAGGCAACAGAGGTTCATGTCACGAATTGTGTGATCCTTCCAAAATCTGAAGGAAGAAGTCGAGTATGCACACTACTCTGCTTGCAGGCTGTTGGCTCTGTCGGCCATCTCCATGGTGTGCTTTGTGGCCGAGTTCCTGGGGACCTTCTCCGGAGTCTCTCTCTTCCTGCCCAAGGTCAACGGCCTCTGTATCCTTTAGCCGTTCCACATCGCTGTCCCTTGCAATGTTCCTCATCAACTTGAACGCTCGCTCGATCTAGCAACAACGGCGTAAGTTCGATTGGCTGGCAAAAATAAGTCAGCATTGTGCTAATTTGGAGAGACCGATAAAAGTCTGCAAGTCCCTGCTTTTTTCTTCCTTTCCTTGTGGTTCCTTGACAAGTCCAGCGCCCCAGATATCTGGCTACACTTCGTAGGTGCGGTCCTGCTATCGTTCTTCGTTTCCCAGGTGAGACAGAAAAGCTCGGGCAAGTTGCAAAGCACTTGAACCGGTGTTGGACGGAGGATCCTAGACATCCCCAGAAAGATTCTCCAGATCCACTAGTTCCGTTCCTGCAGAGGATTGAGATCGACGCGTGCATGCTTCACCAATGAAAGCAGGGTTTGATACGAACGCTAGGTTTCTTCTCTTCTCACTTCGCCAAAGCTGGAGACTTGACAGGGCATATTAAAGACCGTATTCGTGTCGATGACCGGCGTTCTATATTTGACTGCAGCATTGGGAACTTGCCTGGTTCGTCTACATCGTGGTGTTTTGTAACATTCTGCCCACTCTGGTGGAGGTGAGATTGCACGACTTCCGAGACCGCACCGTCGCCTACCATTCGGTTTCCTGACAAACCTCTCGTTGAAGCAATGAGTGTAGATTCTTTTTCGGTAGGGCAAACGACGTCGTTTCCTGATGTGCACGTAAGTTGTGCTTGACAAGAGCTTTCTCATGGCCAGTTCTTTGAGATAGCGGTTCAAAATGGTTGATCCCTCCCGTATCTCAAAGGCTAGCAAAAATCGGACGTGTTACCCATACAGTTTCCGAAAGTCTTTTATGACGGGGCCATGATCGATTCTCTCCTTGTAGACCTTGGGCAGTGGAGCACTTTTATCGGACATCTCGTTCTTTTGATTCCGAAAGAAGCTGCACGCTTGTTTTGGGGAAAACGTGGTTTTCGCAATGTGCGCATGTCAACTTTTTTTGTGTAACTTCTGTCGACGTTTTCGTTTGATTGTGACGACACCTTGGACGTTCTTCGAAGGCCTCCAGCTGCTCATCCAAATGGGACCACGCAATGCATCCTTGTTACGCTTTACTTGCAGATCTGCGTGGCTTTTGCTCTGTTCAAGCTCAAGCTTATGGAGTACTCATAGCAAATGATAGCGCACGAGTGCTTTCAATACAGCTGGAACTGTCACGTAGTCGCCGAAAATAAAGAATACTGCAGACACGTCGCGAGTCAATTTTGTTCCATTATAAGGTTGCAACAAACGAATGCTGATTGGACACAATCGATCCTTCTGCATGAGCAACACGGCCCGTCCCGGCCGTGCAACCATACGTGTTTGCATTAGTCAGATCTACTGCGGCCCAAAGAGTGACACAAAAATCGTGCATCTCGAGGCGCCGCAATTACAGTCACGATGTTGCACGCGTAGTGATTCAAGTGACTTAAGCCTGTTTAATTGAAAGCATGCAGTCTATCCTTGGACGCGTCTGAGTTTGTAGGATATGGTCGAGGTCCTTCCCATGTCGGGCCCGGTCCATGCATGACGGTCCGTCCTATGTATGCATGGCCATGGCATGGACGCGCGCGAAGTGCTGCTTTGGCATGGAACCTCGGAACTTTTCAAATCAATTTCCATTTCGAAGCGCACTGAACCTTAGTGCATGCATTGAACTGCGGCCGAACAGCAACCGATCCGTCGATCATGCATTACATCGCAACGCGATCATATATATGCCGAAACGCAATCCATGCTTCAGCCGCCGCGGCCGGCCCTAATTCGAGATGTTTTTTCGCGCGGTGCGGCGGGCAGCCCAGCCGCGCCGTTGAGTTAGTTTAAGAGATTGAATATGCATGGGCGGCCACTGAGTGTCAAGTGCATAGAATTCCTGCGGGTGGTGCGCGCATTCATGAAGTACACACATGCTTTCAGTGCGGGCCGCAGGAGCCGCGCGAGCACGGTACAGAATGCGAAATGCACAACGGTGCACACACGACTGCTAGCCCCGCGCTTAAATTACCAAGCGGCACTGCGTGCAGTCAACGAGATCATGTGAGATCACGGACTCCAGGATTCACATGCTATGACTCAAGGATGATGCAGCTAGTGGTTCAGTCTTGCGCGCTATATATGGCTAGAGCTGTTCAGTGGCGCCTAGGTTGCACTATCCGAGTCGATTGCGGCTTGAAAGGATCCCATGAGCAAGCCTGCTCGCCTCGTGACACTTGGTCATACAAATTGCCATTCCGGTTCGCATCAGAAATAGCGCAGTCATCTCTTCTTGGGAACATGTGGCCACCAATCGAAGGCGCCTCACCTGTACACAACTCCTGTTGGCGTGCGGCTCGTGCGATATCCTATTACTTTGTCAAGATACCTACGCCTTGCTGCCAGAACAATCTATTTGCTGCAGACTCAGTCCAAGGACAATTGTACCTATCTAGAATGTTTTGACGTTCCAGCCTTCGGGGAAATATCAATACGACTATCTTCTTCGATTTGACTAGGTTCGCTGTCATCAATCCTAGAAACTCGGTCCGGCAAGTCGCTTTTCACACACGTCCGTTCTGCAGGTAGTAAAAGTTGACGGGAGTTGGTCGACGTGGTCAGAGCGAAAGAAGGTTGACGTGGTCAGAATCTGATTAAGGGCAAAAAGGTGAAGCGCGGTCTCACAAAACACTGAACTTTACAACGCAACTCGTGTCATTATAATCTACCCATGTCCAGGGCTGGAGTCTCCTGGCGACAACTCGTACTAAAGATCGTCAAAACTCGGTTGTAAAGATTAGTTTGCCGACAAGGTAGCGAGCCTTTGTAAGTATGACTGGTTGCGCCCTTGCAACGAGAAGGGGCTGATTGCTATGAGGACGGACGACTGGAGCAAATCAATAGACTGCTTCTGTAAGGGCATGACAGCCGTTCCGGTTCCATCATATTGGAAAGAAGCGAATTTGGACCCAGCCCTCTTCACAGCAAGTACGCAGCTTGTCAATTGAAGCCAGAGGACAATCCAGAAAAGGATTCGAGATCGAGAAGGACCTGCAGAACTAAAGTTCATTCAGGACCTAGCCTGGCATTTCAAACGTTGGGATTCACAATTGGGAAGGGAAACGAGAAGTAGTAAGTCTAACAGCCAGAAAGCGTAACTGCAACGGAAACAAAGCGTTGGACGTGATCCGCACTTATGTACTCGTAGCCAACAATGATGGCCCCCGTCGACAGTGCCATGTAGGCCGAGTACGGGAACACCCCTCGAAACAGGCCTTTCGCGCCGTCCTGTTGCAGCAGGCTTCGGAACGTGCTCGCAATGGTCGGCTGCTTCCCCGAGGACTGGTCGAGGACCTGAGACGACGGAATACAGCTGGAGAAACGGAAGCACGGAATCGAAAGATGCATCGACAAAGCCGCAACATCGGATCCAGCTCGTGAACGCTTTCCCTTGGCGTCTCGACCCTGAGAATCCGGACCGATCTGCCTTCAAAACTGTGGTACGAAGCTGCTGGAGGGCAAGAAGTGTTGACTCGTGTCCGTCCTCTTCTCTATATAAGCACCATTTTACCCAACAAAGACTTGTGTTCACATGAGGGCTTAAAACTCCGGCCTTTGGCATGAGCGCGCAAACTCCATCAGAATCTGCAAATTGGTTGCCAAGAGCGTGCAACGGCACAGGCAGCCACGGGGCAACCGGCCTGACCTGCAGCCTGGTTTTGATGACGTCCAGCGGCGTCGTGACCACCCCCGCAATGGCCCCTGCAAAAGTGCCGGCCGCTGCCTGCACTCCCATCAGCTCCTGCGGGCTGGGCTCCCCTCGCCGGCCTGACCCATAACCCAACGCCCTGCAAGGCGAGGACCCGATAGCCCTCTTAGCCATTAAGTGGAGAGGGCAGAACACCAATGCACAATGCGTTCGTCCAGTGGCGGGGCTCGCAGAAGAGCAGCCTCACTGATGCGGGGGCTATCGAGGAGTAAGTGCCTGAAGTTCATGATGTCGGCGAATGTCAAGCTGTGCGCTTAGGACTTCCCCTGTCCTTTCGGCATGCACACAAGTGCTCAGAACCTCATTTTTGAACCACTGAAATGAAGGATTTACCCGATCTAGACTTGACCAGAGATTGAGATGTTCTCAGTCTGGCGATCTGCAAGCTCACCTCCAGAGTGCTCGCTGCGTCGCCCCGTATGCAAGCCACCAAACCATGCTGCTGGGGGCGTCTGCCAACACGGAGAGGCCGTATCCCCGGTACAAGCCTCGCAACCCTTCCTGGCGGATGATCGCTCTCGTAATGTCAAGGGCGCTTCCCTGGTACCGGTTCGAAAAGGCAGAGGAGTGGGCCCCCTGGACCATCAACCGCTGGCTAACCTGCAAAGGAGATGGCCTGACTTTTTCACTCAGAGGCAAGAAGTGTGCCTCGACAAACTCTTTCCAAGGGAGATCTTGGCGGAGATCTTGACGAGAACTCCCAACCATCCTGCCAAGTGATGGTCATTGTTGAAAACAGTTGAGGCTCGGAAAGGGATGGGCAACAATGAGCCACATGACTGGATTTGATGCATTTTCTACTTTCTGATCTAGCTGTAAGCCGGAAGCTCAAGACATGTTCCTGAGTCCAACTTCACTTCTTTGAGAATACCCACAGAAGTCTCCCTATGGGAGCGAGAGAGAAATCTGTCCAAATTTCCATAAATCAAGTCTGACAGCAATCAGTGGGGGCCCTCACCACTTCGACCGGAACTGTTACCCCCTGCGTGGCAACCCCTGCCACGAGCCCACCGCAACTGTCGGCCAGCCCTGCAGCCGCCTCGTCTGACCAGCCGCCCTGCTCCGCAGTCTGTCTCGTCCCGCTCTTTGTGATCTCCAGAAGACCAACATAGACAATCTCTGCAGGGACCGTGCCTAGCAGGACTGTGCCCAGCCCCTGAAGCAAAATTGGGCATACGCAGTCGTTGTCTTGGGAGATACGATGAATAACCAATTGATCAATGAGCTGTGACGAAACGCACAAGGACATCACCTGATTACAATCAAGCATAAGCACCAGTTTCATATTGGTGCTTTCGCATCAATGGTTTGAATTCCAAGATTTGGAAGTTTTTTGGGCTTCTGATCTACCATCAGTTGGACAGATGCTGCATCGATGCATCACTGATCCTTGGAAGGAAAAGGAGTCTCACAAAATCTTTGGCTCATGGTCAGTTTGAAGGCACTGCCTTGAATGGTCTGCATTTGAGAGTGGCGCCCTCTCAATTCCTCACAACGTGGAACCTTCCACCACCACCATTGCAAATGAAACAAGGTAGCGAGAGAACTTCTCACCCTATACAACCCCTTTGGACCTTCCGCTTGCAAGATCTTCCGTACGGCGTGTGCGCTGTTTCGGTACACCCCAGACTGCTGCGCCTGCAGCCGTGTCTTCACAAGGGACACAGGGTGCAGCAGGGCTGTGAATGCTGACGAGGCCACAGTCCCCAGCCACAGAAACTTTGCCTTGTCCAGCTGCTGCCAGTCAATGGAGGCCTCAGCAGGCAGGACTCCCATGGGGTCGACCCCACTCTCCATACTTGACCGGTGGTTAGAGCCTAGCTTGGGCAATTGTCATCGCCACTCTTGCCTGCAAAGGGGCCACCCTATGTTGCTTGTTTCGGCCTTCTCGAAGGTCCGTGCAGGAGCAGAGGCGGGGCGTAAGAAATGCACCACAGAGAAATGCACCACTGAGCCTTCTTTGCTGGGCAATGAGCTGACTAGCCTACGAGGTAGCGCAACTGTGCTGGCGCCATCATTGTGACAACTAGTGTGACAACATTTACGGGCCTTCTACTTTTACACTGTATCCATTATCAGACAGAACTGCTAACGAGAACCGGCATGAGCAGCCCGTACATTATCGCCGGTCCTGACGAACTTAGGTAACGGTATCTGAAAGATTCAGGGCCAATTTCTCGAAAGTTAAATGTCAAGAATAATATTAATAAACCTAGCCTCCCGAGTCCGTCGCAGCTGCTGCTCTT